TATTAGCAGGGAAAGTACTCGGCCGAGTGGACCGGAAGCTAAGGTTCCTATAGTTACCTAATGATATGTCATCTGACAATCCCTTGTCCATCTGTCCGGAAGCCAGGGTTCCTATAGTTACCTAATGATATGTCATCTGACCATCCCTTGTCCATCTGACCGGAAGCTAAGGTTCCTATAGTTACCTAATGATATGTCATCTGACCATCCCTTGTCCATCTGTCCGGAAGCCAGGGTTCCTATAGTTACCTAATGATATGTCATCTGACAATCCCTTGTCCATCTGACCGGAAGCCAGGGTTCCTATAGTTGTCTAATGATATGTCATCTGACCATCCCTTGTCCATCTGACCGGAAGCCAGGGTTCCTATAGTTACCTAATGATATGTCATCTGACCATCCCTTGTCCATCTGACCGGAAGCTAAGGTTCCTATAGTTGTCTAATGATATGTCATCTGACCATCCCTTGTCCATCTGACCGGAAGCCAGGGTTCCTATAGTTACCTAATGATATGTCATCTGACCATCCCTTGTCCATCTGACCGGAAGCCAGGGTTCCTATAGTTGTCTAATGATATGTCATCTGACAATCCCTTGTCCATCTGTCCGGAAGCCAGGGTTCCTATAGTTACCTAATGATATGTCATCTGACAATCCCTTGTCCATCTGACCGGAAGCCAGGGTTCCTATAGTTACCTAATGATATGTCATCTGACAATCCCTTGTCCATCTGACCGGAAGCCAGGGTTCCTATAGTTACCTAATGATATGTCATCTGACCATCCCTTGTCCATCTGACCGGAAGCTAAGGTTCCTATAGTTGTCTAATGATATGTCATCTGACCATCCCTTGTCCATCTGACCGGAAGCCAGGGTTCCTATAGTTACCTAATGATATGTCATCTGACCATCCCTTGTCCATCTGACCGGAAGCCAGGGTTCCTATAGTTGTCTAATGATATGTCATCTGACAATCCCTTGTCCATCTGACCGGAAGCCAGGGTTCCTATAGTTACCTAATGATATGTCATCTGACCATCCCTTGTCCATCTGACCGGAAGCCAGGGTTCCTATAGTTGTCTAATGATATGTCATCTGACCATCCCTTGTCCATCTGACCGGAAGCCAGGGTTCCTATAGTTGTCTAATGATATGTCATCTGACAATCCCTTGTCCATCTGTCCGTGGTATTCGGATTCCACATTGATTCGATAGTTGACAGACAGTTTTATCGAATTTGGGTAATATAATTGATTTTAATGATTCTTCTGTACAAAAGGTGATCGTACTTTATGGGAATGTTTGTGACAAGAGCATGATGTAAATGTGTGTCTATAGATAGCTGGGCGATAGGTCAATGTCTGGTCGTAATCGGTCGGCAAGCAGATTATATTTATTAGGCTGTAATTTATTTTGATGAAATGCGTGAAGAAACACCACGCGTTCTATATTTCCTTTCTAAACATTTGACTGCATAACTGGATCGACATATGATGAATAGAAATGACAGTGTACTAAAACTACATATGTGAGTAGCGGAGCACTGCGTTTTCTGTTGCATTACACACGCCTGCAAGTCAGTTGCATGCACTTTCATGAAAAAAACAGCTTTCTGCAATATACAAAATAAACATGATTTGAAAGTGAACGTTTGTTAATTTTTTTATTTCTTTTGCGGACCAAATGGTCTCTTTGTGCATATCGTCCATTTGTCGATGAACCATAGTGACTCGCGTAGCGAGGTGATGGGAGTATATCCCTCGCTTACTGGAACATCTAGAAAGTCATCAATATCTTTCCCCATACCGACAATCCTACTTGTAAGATTTCCTTGTCGAAAAAATTGCGGTTTTAGCTTAAAAACGGTGTAAGAATCTACACCGAAACGTCGTTCTAAGCAATAAACAAGAAGTTGTTTTCCATTAAGTCATATGGTTTATTGTTGATTCACCAACTCCTAGAAAGGCGATTAAACAATTGGCCGTTACCGATTCGAGTATCTGTGCCAAACGTACCTCTCTGTGCACCACACTTGGTGAAGAACTTCCCCACAGGAAGATTTCGCCTTTCTCAGAATAACTTACTTCCGACAGAAAGTGATATTACAATACCAAGCGTTTTGTCTGTAGATACAGCTGGTGATATTACAATACCAAGCGTTTTGTCTGTAGATACAGCTGGTGATATTACAATACCAAGCGTTTTGTCTGTAGATACAGCTGGTGATATTACAATACCAAGCGTTTTGTCTGCAGATACAGCTGGTGATATTAAAATACCAAGCGTTTTGTCTGTAGATACAGCTGGTGATATTACAATACCAAGCGTTGTGTCTGTAGATACAGCTGGTGATATTACAATACCAAGCGTTTTGTCTGCAGATACAGCTGATGATATTAAAATACCAAGCGTTGTGTCTGTAGATACAGCTGGTGATATTACAATACCAAGCGTTTTGTCTGCAGATACAGCTGGTGATATTAAAATACCAAGCGTTTTGTCTGTAGATACAGCTGGTGATATTACAATACCAAGCGCTTTGTCTGTAGATACAGCTGGTGATATTACAATACCAAGCGCTTTGTCTGTAGATACAGCTGGTGATATTACAATACCAAGCGCTTTGTCTGTAGATACAGCTGGTGATATTACAATACCAAGCGTTTTGTCTGCAGATACAGCTGGTGATATTACAATACCAAGCGCTTTGTCTGTAGATACAGCTGGTGATATTACAATACCAAGCGTTTTGTCTGTAGATACAGCTGGTGATATTACAATACCAGGCGCTTTGTCTGTAGATACAGCTGTTGATATTACAATACCAAGCGTTTTGTCTGCAGATACAGCTGGTGATATTACAATACCAAGCGCTTTGTCTGTAGATACAGCTGGTGATATTACAATGCCAAGCGTTTTGTCTGTAGATACAGCATGTGATATATCAATACCAAGCGCTTTGTCTGCAGATACAGCTGGTCATATACAATACCAAGCGTTTTGTCTGTAGATACAGCTGGTGATATCACAATACCAAGCGCTTTGCCTGCAGATACAGCTGGTCATATACAATACCAAGCGTTTTGTCTGTAGATACAGCTGGTGATATTACAATACCAAGCGCTTTGTCTGCAGATACAGCTGGTGATATTACAATACCAAGCGTTTTGTCTGCAGATACAGCTGATGATATTAAAATACCAAGCGTTGTGTCTGTAGATACAGCTGGTGATATTACAATACCAAGCGTTTTGTCTGTAGATACAGCTGGTGATATTACAATACCAAGCGCTTTGTCTGCAGATACAGCTGGTGATATTACAATACCAAGCGTTTTGTCTGTAGATACAGCTGGTGATATTACAATACCAAGCGTTTTAAATAATTCTAGACACTTTAACCCCTCAAAAATGTGTTTAATTAAGAGCGGCATTTCTTCATTATTGCGTGTGTATTTGTTTGTATTTGGAGGAGGGATTGTACAGATGGGCTGACTGAGTACTGACTTATGGTTTTATGCCGTTTTTAGCAATATTCCAGCAATATCACGGCGGGGGACACCAGAAATATGCATCACAAATTGTACCCATGTGGGGAATCGAACCCGTGCCTTCGGCGTGACGAGTACAGATGGAAGGAAGCATGCGAGCATCTATAGCTCGCGCCGCTTCTAGCTCCATAACAGATATGTCATGGCGGGCCACACCGGTAATGGGCGTCACACATCATGCACATATGGGAAGCGAACCCGGGTCTGTGGTGTGACGGTCGCACGCTTTAACCACTAGGCTACATCATAAACTTGAAACAACATTATGAGCAACTATTCATGTCATCTGTCATATATTCATATAAATACACTTCACGAGGGATTGTATCGATACCTGCTCAATCTTCCAAGAACGCATATGCATATTAAGTTGCGTGCTAAAATGTGACCTGTGAAGATCCGGGTTAGAATTCATCTTCTGTAACTCATGCACGTCGTGAAAGGCAACTAACGGGATCGGGTGGTCGGCTCGCTGACTTGGTTGACACATGTCATCGTATCCCAGTTGCGCAGATCGATGCTCATGCTGTTGATCACTCGATTGTCTGGTCCAGACTCGATTATTTATACACCGCCGCCATATAGCTGGAATATTGCTAAGTGCGGCGTACAACTAAACTCACTCACTCGTGCTAAAATTAAACATCGTTACATCTTGATTTTAAATTGCCAGTCACAAAACGTAGAACTTCGCATCTTTTCATCACTCCGTACTCTAAGGCGTACACTGAAGGCACCCCGTGCAAACCTCATCTATTCGGCATGTCGTCTTACCTGTGTAATGGGTCGAAATCTGACCATATGGAGCTTAGGGATTTTATTGCGCTTCGTGCGATTTGGCTTGGCTTAGATAAAGCTCAAATCTGCGAGGTTATCTCACATGAATGAAAAGTCTTGTAGACTCGGATTGTGGGCATGTGATGTCGCTGGCCCAAAGTCGGAACTCAACAGAATTTATTAGAAAACTTCCTTATATATTCTCAAACTGCTATTCGTGCTGTTTTCCAATAATATTACTCGGCCCGTATTTCACCGAAGACGGGGCCATCTTCAATACAGAGGCTATTACTCTTAGCTTTACCTTATTACATTGAATGCAATGTTAAAATACCCCTAAAATTAAGAAAAGTAAGTTTTTACTGATTCATTCTAGTTTTGAAGTCAAATCGTAATATAAACTGGTAGAGATAAACCAGAATCCCAACTAGATCTAAGAAGGGGGCTTAAAACACGTTTCATGTCCAATGATTCCATCAGGACAAGACACAAATTACTATGATGTAGATATCCTGCATGCCATAGAAATCAGAGAAATGCAGAAGCAATCATTTTAAGTGGTATGCAATTTGTGTTAATGTTTTGGGGTTGCCTCCCCTCTTAACTGTCACGTTAGTTCTGATTGGATAAGTCTTTCACGATAAACCAATGAAGTAAAGTGTATGTTGTTTTCCATTGCAGTATCAACACGTTCCCCAGGTTCATGGGGGTGGAAGTTAGCTAAAATGTTGCAAAAATCTATAAATTGACGCGTCTGAAATATGGCAGATTCTAAGGTTGCAGAAGACAGTCCAATTTTGCATGTCGTGGTCATTGGATTTCATCACAAAAAAGGATGTCAGGTAGAAATTTCTTCCTCTTAGCGAAACAGGCGTCGTTGACAGCCATCATTTTGTCGATAGTGACACCAGGAATTATAACCATGAACGAAAGCATTGTTCAGACCGAAATAACGTATTACTTAAAGATAACGAATATGCCTTATTAGTTTAGTGCTTGAAATGTCATGGCATTAACTGATGATAGTTGCAATCGGAGTGTGCGTGACTCAGCTGTGGATGTTAATGCAAATCAACAAATCAGAAACGGATCGAGATCAAGATCAGCTGTTGAAAACATGGCTTTCGGTGAATATGTGGTGTATCATTGCTGATGCTGTCAATGGAGCATTGTCTCCTTGCATTGTATCAACTGTTTATGTAGTACAATTTTGTCAACAATGCATATGTTGAAAGTGTGGGTGTGGCTGCACTGATGCTCTGACCAGTATAAAGCAATACACTGACTCTGTCGCTTGCTATCATTGGCTTTTTTTATCCCTATCCTTTTAAGAAAAAGTTTAAATTCTTATTATGTCCACAATAACTAGGTAAGACTGAAATTAACTTGGCATACCTGAATCAGTTCAGAGTTCCTCTGGGTATGTCTCATGCATCACTGACCACAGTCCATTTTTGATGGTGATTTGGATATTTAATATGTTTAACATGCACTTTCCGACATAATGTGTATTTTGCATGCGGTTGTGCATTACTTCCAAAATGTTATTTATGTATGTTTGGGATAAAACACAACACTGATGTTATGCTTGCGATTGTAAACCTTAGAAGGAAAGCTAAGGTAAAGTATGCCCGAAGGAAAGATAAGCGCTGTGTCTTTCCATCCATGAATACCTGAGGAGTGATTTATTGTCTTACTCAAAGACTGACAAATAACAATCAGCTTTGTCACAATATGTTGCACAAATCAAATCAATTGTTGTATCAAATATCAGGCAAAAACAAACACTGCCTGCTTTGTTGACCCCTTTATGAAATGGGTTTTTTTTCCCAGCTTCACATATGTATGCAATACTGTTCTATTGAATGTGTGAAGCCATTTCTGGTGTCCCCCGCTGTGATATTGCTGGAATATTATTATGTTGCGAAAAGCGGCGTAAAACTAAACTCACTTGAGAACAGTGTGGGGCAAGATTTCTCTTTCTTCCCCATTGGACAACAATAAGAATGCTTATAAAAATATTCAAATATGATTCCACATTTCATTTCTGATTGAATTACAGGGTATAAAAAAGTTTAATGACATATTCCAAGTAATAATTCTAATATTTCCCAAGGATGACAGCCGAATGCGTTATCCCTGCTGCCTCCATGGCAAATTGATTGCATCAGATATGAGAGGTCTGTGTTGTAAATCCAACTATAAGAAACTATTACAATAATAATTTATTCAGGTATTACCATTAATACGGGCTATTTATTGTTTTGGAGTAGATGCTTATTAAGAATTACAGGAGAAGAAACAAACACTTGGATACGATCTAGTTTTGTAAAAAAAACATTGAGTATGGTTGAACAATAACAATCATTAGACTGACTGAGTTTGGTTTTACGCCGCTTTTAGCAATATTCCAGCAACATCAATGCATGGGGACACCAGAAATAGGAACAATCATTAGAGGTCAATATACCGATATAATCATTGTCTGAAAACAATGGATAATGTCACAGACTGTTTCTGAGTGATGGTTGTTTGCTCTTGATACTTCCGTAGCTCCTGGATCCCTTTTCAAATATTTCATCTTTTACCATCATTGGGGTGATCAAACACTGTATCGCTCTGAGTTGCTGTATTGAAAGGTGTAGGTAGTCTGTTTGTGTAACAAGTTTAGTCTGTGTAGCATGTTTAGTGTTTTTGGTGTGTTTATTCATCTTAGCATGTTCACCATATTTTGTTTATTACTAATATTAGCATGTAGACTAATTTTTATTACTAATATTATGGGTACAATTTTGAGTTTTTCACTTTTTTGGTCTGTCTATTAAGGATATTATGGGTGTCTCTTTAGTCTAGTGATTGAGTTTAGTTTTACACTGCACACAGCAATATTCCTGCTATATGGCGTCAGACTGTAAATAATGGAGTGTGGACCAGACAATCCAGTGATCAACAGCATGGGCATCAATCTACAAATTTGGGAATCGATGACATATGTCAACCAAGTCAGCGAGCCTGACCACCTAATCCTGTTAGTCGACTCTTATGACAAGCATGGGTTACTGAAGATCAATTCTAACCCGGTTTTTCACAGGTTCTTTAGTCTAAGAAGCATGTTTAGTCTGTTTAGATCTTCAGATGTTTAGTCTGTTGACCATACAGGTTTTTTTTGCAAACTTAGTCTGTTTAGTCTGTTTAGCATGCAGTTTTATTAGTATACTCAGTCCAAAAAGAAACTGTGCATCTCAAAAACCTGTATAGATCATTAAGGAATAGAAGTAAAGTTATGAAATAATATGATAAACGTGTTAGGCTGATGTTTAGGCTGTTTCCCGATAACATCATGCACATCATGTGTGGCAAGTCACTACCATGTGATCTGCACGTGCAACCATACACCACTTTCAACAGTTGAAATCAGTGAATGCTGACAATAAAATTTGAAGCATTGTTCTGCCTCCCTTTAGAAAAACAAACAAGAATGTGGCTGTTTATTCAGACGATATGCCACGACTCAAATGCACAACGTAATCAAGCATTGGTTTGCTTGAAGCAGGTGTCTCTCAACAGGACATTGCCAGGCGCTTCAATTGTCACCGAAACACTGTTGCAGCTCTAAAACGACAATACCGCCAGACTAATGACATTCCAGACCAACCGCGGACAGGGCGTCCAAGAGTAACCAACCCTGCTCAGGACAGATGGATACGGAATACTCATGTAATCGCATGCAAAATCCCGTAACAACAACCAGAACCATTCCTAACTTAAGGCGAATTCATCCTTATACCTTAGGAAACCGCCTACGTCAGTTTGGACTCCATGCACGTCGACCTGCAATTCGACCTGTTCTTACACAACGTCATCGACTTAATCGACTGCAGTGGTGCAGGCATCACATCAGACATCCTCTTCACTGGTGGAGGAACGTCCTGTTCACGGATGAATCAAGGTTCAATCTGTCACATTCTGTTGGTCGCCAACGAGTCTACCAGCGCCGTGGTGAAAGCTATGCTCAGGCCTGTGTCATTGAAAGGAATCGTTTCGGTGGTGGTTCAGTGATGGTATGGGGTGGAATCACAGCTAAGAACCGTACTGAACTTGTGGTTATCCAGGGCAACCTCACTGGAGTGGTGTTGGATATTGTGACCATATTGTAGCCCCTGTCATCCTCCCCTTCCATCAACGTAATGGGTCTGGCGTTATTCTGCAGCAAGACAACGCCCGACCACACACCGCATGGGTTGTACAGATGTTTACGCAGCAGAATAATGTTGACCTTCTGCCATGACCTGCGAATTCACCTGATCTTTCTCCAATTGAGCAGATATGGGATCAAATGAAGCAGAGATTATGTTGCCAGGCACACCCTCCAGCGACCGTGCAAGAACTGACCAGCACTAATCAGGATTTGGAATAACATTCCTCACGTGTTCCTGATACGTCTGATTGAGTCGATGAGACGTCGTTGTAATGCAATGATTCAGGCAAATGGAGGACATACCCGATACTACCGATGACCTCATTAGAACGACCTTACTGACTGATTGTTCAACTCATTATGTGCTTGTCTATCCATAAAAATGCCTCATCGTGTAATATTTCAAAACGACTGAATAAAACCGTAAAATGATTCAATGCACAGTTTCTTTTCGTACCTAGTATATATTTGGCAATTTAGGTGTTCAGTGGGTTTTGCATTCATAGTGTTTTTCATGTTTAGGCATGCAGTTTGTTTAGCATGTTTCGGCTGTTTAGCATGCATAGTCTCTATAGATGCATGCATTGTCTTTAGATGTCTAGGCTACTTTGCATGCATTGTCTGTCGATGTCTAGGCTACTTTGCATGCATTGTCTGTCGATGTTTAGGCTACTTTGCATGCATTGTCTGTTTAGCTGTTTAGCATTGTCTGTCGATGTTTAGGCTATTTAGAAGTTAAGATGTTAAGTCTGTATTTTCCGATGATGTTTGGGGTGATGATCACTGATTGCTTTGTTTTCAGTGACATAATTGTATTTCCCTTTTGTTTTGTTTTTGATTAAATTAAAGGCAATATTTTACACCACACTGCTCTAAAAAAAGATAATGCATTACTCTCAATAGTACTATCAGCCTTCAGGTAAGCTAACATATAATTTATTCCAAAAAGAATTACATATTTAGATTACACTATTAAATCAAAAAGTTTGAATGAATTAATGCAACATTGCTTTAAATCGACCCTTGCGCCTTCTACTAGCCGAACATTATTTTAAGAGTATCCCATAAAATTATCGCCCTTGGAGCGCTCTTTACGAATATCCTATTGATTGAAACCAGTTCGGCAAACACCGACAACACTGCGTGTGACAGTTTTCGATGTATGGAGCAATTGTTTACATTCCATATATGGCATGTGTTCTCTATTTGAAAGCTGCTCACCACGAAATGTCAATTATCGATTTCAGGGAAGTCGTAAGTGATAACAAATCTTTTATTCCATCAACAGGAAGTTCAAGTGCATATGCCCTAATATCTATAACATACTAACATAGGCCAAAATATTGTCAAAAGTGTGCGGAATTATGCCTTTAAGAATGGTTGTGCAAGGTAGAATTTATTAGTATCTTAAGCATGCTGATAAAAAAATATCCTGCAATTGACTTGTGGTGTGTTTGTCCACAGGTGGAGTATTCCTACCCACCACTGATACCAGGGAACGCAGTCGACAGCCATGAGGTCCCAGAGAGGTGGAGGCACCTGCCGTCCCTGGCCCTACCTGATGGGGCCCACAACTATGTTAAAGGTAGAACACATCAACAAATGTTGCCTTGATTACACGATACTGTATACCCTCCTCCGTCTCTGGCCCTACCTGATGGGGCCCACAACTATGTTAAAGGTAGAACACATCAACAAATGTTGCCTTGATTACACGATACTGTATACCCTCCGTCTCTGGCCCTACCTGATGGGGCCCACAACTATGTTAAAGGTAGAAGTCATCAGCTTTAATTTGTTCTCCAATTTTATGCATATTTTTTGCCCCAGACACAAATTAGTATTTTAAACTGAAGTTAAGGAGTAGTGTGATTATGCTTGTAGTTAGATAATGTTGTCATGTGGTCTTACAGTGGGAATACATTACCGGATGCTGGACATGAAAAACTAGAACTTGATTTTAAGCACATCTGCATCAAAATATAAGCTTAGCAAGCATCCTTGTGCTTTAACTATAAGAGTTCAGTGCCACTATGCTTTATATTATACTGCACATGGAAATGGAGCAAGCTATTTTTCTTCATTTAAGCGGCATCAGGATTCAGCTAACTCCCAGATTTTTTATATTCCGATTTTGAATTGAACTTTTGACAATGAATTGAGGGTTGAATAAACTTTACTTCTTTCAGATACAGTATTTTTCCACCTTCCTTCACAAGATGGTGGCCGCAAGACTGTGTACTGTGTGTCCTGCTACAGACAGATGGATGCCAAAGTAGGCCTGTACTTCTTTGTGTTGATAGAACTGAACTAGTTTCTCTCAGCTCTGATGATAGATCACTTAGGAGAAGTAGTGGGTAGAATAGATCTCTGCAGATATGATTGTGTGGAATAGTTCTATGTGGAGATGTCTTCGAAATGAGGAGCGAATGCTTTAGTTTCCAGGCTACTCTGCTCTACTTCTAAACTACTGACCCGTGACGATCCGGGTTAGAATTGATCTTCAGTAGCCCATGCTTCGGGCTTAGGTGGTAAGGCTCGCTGACTTGGTTGACACATGTCATCGTATCCCAATTGTATAGATTGATGCTCATGCTGTTGATCAATGGATTGTCTGGTCCGGACTTGGTTATTTACAGACTGCCGTCATATAGCAGGTATATTGCTGAGTGCGGCATAAAACTGTGAATTAGGTCCTTACGGGGATAGTGGGAGTATTAGATCCTTATTGGGCTTATGAGTGGATTAGATGCTCACATGGATAATGGGTGGTTTAGATTCCTAGTTGGATGATGGTTAAATTAGATCATTATATGGATGTGGTGAGATGATGAGATCCACCATGTTCTGTGATGTTTGGGTACATATTGTTGTAAAGAGAGCAAGAACCCTTAAGTAATTTGTAGATTATTGGGTACCACCATGTCAGTATAATGTGTCTGTGGGTTGTTCACTGGGTGGTATCATATTGTTGTTGGGCTGTGCAGCCGCATACACATACACATGACGCCGCCATATCAAATATTCTCAGGACGACGTTAGACCTAATTTCACCTCACCTCACCTCACATATTGTTGTTGGTGTGTACAGGACCTTATCAACAGGACAGCTGATGTGACCCGAAGCACAGTCCAGAAAAGTGTGTGTGTTCTCAGCAGACTGGTAGGTGGTCTTGGTTTACTAATTTTTCCACTTAAATATACATTTCTTTTTTGTTTATGGCTCAATCAACTCTGGCTGAATTCAATTGCTGTAAATAAATGTGTAACATATATTGAACGGATGAACCTGTGTCTGGATTGATCAAGTTCTCCGTAGGGTCTGATCAAGTCTGTCACATTCTGAATATTGTACAAGTGCTTCACGTGAGTTAACATTATGCTTTATTGATTAAAGGCCTTTGGCAGAGTTACCTCCCCCAAAGGGGGGCACTATATGTTCGTTGACTAAACATGTTGGCTTGACATTGAACCGAAGCTACTCATGTCTTATTCCCGGGAATTGTGAGCAGTGTTTGCAATACTTTAATTTGCCAGTTGGCCATCAGGGCCTGCTGCGGCCTGCAGGCTGAAATCTGCAGGCCCTGAATGAAATCTGCAGGCCCTGAATGAAATCTGCAGGCTCTGAATGAAATCTGCAGGCTCTGAATGAAATCTGCAGGCCCACTTTCTTATAGGCAAACCAATAAAAACAAAATACACTACACTGTACACAGTTTCACACTAATTCTATAAAATCCATTAGCGAAGACTATGGCACAGGGAGAAGTTATTATTTGTTTAAGACTGGTGTTGACATTCCTATGCGCGAAGCACTGAAATATCAGGAAGTGAAACTGTAAGTTATCTTAACAGTCATGATGGATTGTGGATGATTCCTGAATGTTAATAAAGGAAAACATTATGGGGAAAAATTCTATTTTAATAAAAATGACAGATAATTTACTGAAGGCCACAAGGGCCTGCAGATATTTGAAACTGCCGGCCCGATACAATAACAAATGGTGCTGGGCCTCAAGGCCCGGGATGATTTCGAACACTGGTTGTGAGAACCATCTCTTTGATGAACTTGTAGAACCGAAACCTGGAGAACATAAAGTCCAAGTTATGTCCATGTCCTGGCTCAGTTCATAGCCTCTGTATGGTCTGATCAAGTCCAGGAAATGTTCCACGATTGTGTTTGCTTGTAGCCTCTTTAAGGTCTGATCAAGTCCAGGAAATGTTCCATGTTTGTGTTTGCTTGTAGCCTCTGTATGGTCTGATCAAGTCCAGGAAATGTTCCATGTTTGTGTTTGCTTGTAGCCTCTGTATGGTCTGATCAAGTCCAGGAAATGTTCCACGATTGTGTTTGCTTGTAGCCTCTGTATGGTCTGTTCCATGATCAAGTCCAGGAAATGTTCCATGTTTGTGTTTGCTTGTAGCCTCTGTAAGGTCTGATCAAGTCCAGGAAATGTTCCACGTTTGTGTTTGCTTGTAGCCTCTGTATGGTCTGATCAAGTCCAGGAAATGTTCCATGTTTGTGTTTGCTTGTAGCCTCTGTATGGTCTGATCAAGTCCAGGAAATGTTCCATGTTTGTGTTCTGTATTCAGTAGCCTCTGTAGCCTCTGTTCCAAGGTCTGATCAAGTCCAGGAAATGTTCCACGATTGTGTTTGCTTGTAGCCTCTGTATGGTCAGATCAAATCCAGGAAATGTTCCACGATTGTGTTTGCTTGTAGCCTCTGTATGGTCAGATCAAATCCAGGAAATGTTCCACGATTGTGTTTGCTTGTAGCCTCTGTATGGTCTGATCAAGTCCAGGAAATGTTCCACGATGGTGTTTGCTTGTAGCCTGTATGGTCAGACAAGTCAGGAAATGTTCATACTTGTGTTTGCTTGTAGCCTCTGTATGGTCAGATCAAGTCCAGGAAATGTTCCACTTCAGCAAGGTGGAGCTGCACATGCATCAGCAGACTGCTTCAGCAGACTTTCAACAACCTCAGCCAGTGCATGACAGACAGCTTGCTGGGCGGGTCACAGGTCTTTCTAGGCAAGTATGGTCCTTATCAACTTGTATATAGTCTGCCAAGGCATGACAATAAGTTATGATGAGATGTCGTCCTTAAGTGGGTATGGTCCTGGTTCATCCAGATCATGGGTCAACAGTCTTTCTAGGCATTATATACTAGTCTAAAGGGGTACATTTTCCACAGTCAGCCAAGGCATGTCAATGAGTTATAGTGATGTGCCATCTTTATGTGGGTATGGTCCTGGTTCATCCAGATCATGTTTCTTGGTTTGTCACCTGCGTGCGAGTTTCTTCAAATTAGTGAACAGCAATGGCACCAATTTTAGGAATCTCACTCTGAGAGTCCTCCCGAAAAGAACTAACATTTGTACCTTGCAGAGATAGTGTAATTCCAAATACAATAAGGTTACATTTTGTGGAAGTTTCAAAGTTTTGAGTGACTTATCTTTGTCTTTCTGATACTTTCAGACCTGTCTGCTAGGGATGTGGTGATGAAGTTCAAGCACAAGATTGTTGTACTCTTCAAGCTGCTCCTCCTGGAGAGGAAGGTAGTGTAGCCGATTTATTGTGGCTTGACTACCCTAAGTCAGCTGACAGTCTCTTTCTATGTTTCTTTGTGTTACTCTCTGAGAATACCTTCTAACAAATTCATGTCAGGTGAATCTGCAGCTTCTTTTGACTGTGCATATGTGCTTGAGCCAGTCAGAAGTCAGCTTTCTGAAATGATTAGACTTTCTTTTTACACCTTGAATTTATAGACATTTTGGGGGATTTGTGAGAGCAACATTATTTTTTATTGGTATTTGTCTTTAGAACGTTGATAATTTTTTCTTATCCTGACTCATGATCTTTTGCTTATCTCCCTTTTCTTTTCGAATGGTAGTGGAACACTTAAATCCCTTGAAGTTCCTGAAGCGGACGTAAAAATACACTCACCCACGAGTTACCTCCCTTTTGCCCTTTCCTGTGCAAACAGTCATGTGACCAGCCTTACTTGTCACTCTCTTCCTTTTCGCCCAAGTGGATGGTTGGGCGAGCACTATAGTCCCATATACGGCATTATATCCTTTTTTATTTAGGTCCTATTCTTCAAAATTACGCTGTGTATGGATTGACAATAACTACTTTGTATTATGTGTAAAAAATTAGTAAAAATTATTTGTATTTGTGTCATAATTTCATCGTTATGTAACTTTGTTTACATTTCATTAAATCTTGCCGTGTTTGCTGGCACAGGTTATCCGTGGCTGATCCTCACCCCCAATGCCCTTCGTGCATAAAACCATGTTCTTCCAGTTTGCACTGTACTTATTGTGTTGATTTATCAAATCTTCAATTTAATCAATATTTGTCTTATATCTATAGACGTGCCATGGATCGGGTGAGGAAGTCATATCAAGTCACGGCTGATAAAACAGGAGATCAGCCTGCAAACCGTATGTTGCTTGCTACTGCTGAAATTCATAATACTGGTGCTATGTTAAGTACGTTGCAGGGACAGTCTGCTGGTACGGGGACTAAGAAGAGATCGGCTACAACGCAGTTGACTCCGACTCAAGCTAAGAAAAAGACGTCATCCTCTTCTACATCGCAGAAGAAGGCATCTGTTACCAGGTTCGAGGGCGGCTAGTAAGTCAACGCATCAGAAATCCTTCAACGAAGAGATATTACCTCCACATGAAGTAGACGTTTTTGATGATCCCCCATTACTTCTACCCGAAGTACCTACGAGATCAGCGACTCAATCGACTTCCAAGACTACTAGATCGTCTCCTGCAATGGTCACAGCAGGCCAGCTGTTTGACGAACTACCACCTACCTCTCAACGCAGTAAAGTCGAGGCACACAAATCATCAGCGTTTGCAAATGCTTCTTCTACACCGCAGCAGCTTCAATACCAATGCAGAACTTTGACCCGGGTGAATTTATGAGATAATTCACCAACCAGATGATGACCATGATGGAACGCAGGTTCGAGGAAGAACCGAAGGTTCAGCGAAGCCTCTCATCTACCAACACCTTGCGCAAACCTACGGACCTGCGCGAACCTACTCCTCAGAGAACTACGTCTCAAGACTACGTTGCCGAACGTACACCTTTGCGAGGGTCTCCACAGTCGGACGACTCTGTCATATAGGAGGAGGATAGAAGACATGAGATGCCTACTCATCGTTCTACATCCGTGAACCCTCAACGTTCGAGAACATCGAAGGATCCATCTCATACACATAACCGTTCTAGATCGAGATCTCATATCTCTCACAGATGTTCGCGAAGTCACTCATCATGAGACAGAGGTTCGCGAAGGGATACATCTAGCGACAGACGTTTGCGAAGAGAAAGCTCACATCACAGAGGTTCGCGAAGACACGAATCTACAGATAGAGGTTCGCGAAGAGAGGACTCTCAAGATAGCATCCAAGTACCAGAGTCAGCATCTGCCATCATTTAATGTGAAGAGATTCCCCTTACATCATATGGATCCATTTACAAAGGTGCCTGAATGGGATGATAACATAAAGTTAGTCAACGACTCCCGGAACAAGATGTATAAAGTAGAAGAAAAAAAGTTATCTCAACTTAATACTGCTACAAGGAGATCCTTCTTCGGGTTGGCCAGGTCAAGAGCTATCAATGAAGCATTGATCAATAAATTCCAGAACTCAAGTTCGGAAGAGGACAGAATGATATATTCGGCGCTCATTACTCAGAGGGGCGGTGGGGTAGCTTAGTCGTTAAAGCGTTGGCTCGTCACGCCGAAGACCCGGGTTCGATTCCCCACAATGTGTGAAGCCCATTTCTGGTGTTCCCCGCCGTGATATTGCTGGAATATTGCTAAAAGCGGCGTAAAACCAAACTCAGTCAGTCAGTCATAACTCAGAAGAAGGACCAATACTTTTTATCGGACCATCTGGCATCTATATCTGCAGGTCTCACTTAACTACGCAGACAAGGGCTACTTGCATCCTGTTCATGGAGTGACAGATTCACCCAACCGCTACTGAGAGCTCCATGGGAGGCGCCTACTATCTTTGGAGGACAAGTAGATGATGCAGCTAAGGAAGTTACGCACGACTCTAGAGAAGTTATGATGATAAAATCCATAGATACTCTGGCCAACGTTATCCATCATACTTCACAAAAGTATAACAGCAAGTCCAAATATTCCGGCATACAGAAGGCAAAGGAGAAGTACTCCAGCTTCAGAGGCGGCAAAGGATCTTTTCGTCGCCCATCAGGAAATTACAGAGGAAACTCAGGGAGATGCTGCACTTCCAGAGGATCCAGAGGAACTAGACGTTGATATCAGGGTTCGGAACGATCAGTGGAGTCTTCCACCCCCAGCCGTTCCTGTAAAACCAGCGACAGTGGGTGGACATCTACAAAGGTACTGGAAAAATTGGGGAATACTAGAGGACGACTACTTCTCCCAAGTACTGCGAGAAGGATACAGATTACAACTCAAGGCCACACCTCCGCAACTCTCATACCGATGGCCTTCGACTATGCAGAGGAGCAGGCAGACAAACTACAAGAAGCTATCAACTCACTACTTATGAAGGATGCGGTAGAGATAATAGATCAGCATCATCTCACTGCAGGCTTCTACTCCCCAATCTTTCTAGTACCCAAGAAGAACTCCAAGGAGAAGTTCAGACTGATTTACAACATGCACAAATTCAACAAAGACTATCTACTGAAACCAGACAGTTTCAGAATGATCCACCTACCTCAACTCAGACTACTTGTCCGTCTAGCAGATTACATGGCAAGCATAGACCTGCAGTATACGTACCTACACATCCCGATACATCTGGAATCAAGAAAGTATCTACGATTCCTATTCAGAGGGCAGCACTTCCAATGGAACGTCCTACTGTTTGGAATATCTTCGGCTCCGTGGCTATTCACATGAGTAACCAAGCCTATAATCACATATCTACATCATCGAGGTCTACGCAATGCCTTCTACTTGGACGACAGAATTCAGGTTCACCAAAATGCCAGTCAACTTAGACTTAGTGTTTCCCACAGGATTATGAAAGGGCAGGGTAGACTGATACAAAAAAGGGCACTATAAAATTCAAAAGGGCATTCAGCAAAATAAAAAGGCACAACAATTAAGGGTACAGCAGTTTATTGTGGTTGACATCATTTGGGTCTGTTTGGCATGCTTTGATACAAGTTCGTAAACTTCGTTCATATTCTCCTCCTTTTTCTTGCCAAGAACTTTGCCACACACTTTCTCAAGTCAATGTCAGTAGAAGATTTAGCAGGTGTCAACTTCTTCAACAAAGAGTTCCTTGACCTGGTTTCACTCAAGCTGTGTCTTATCAACATCAAGGCCAAAGTGCTCTGCCAGTTCTGTAATCACGTGTGGACCGTATCAAAACATGTTTGAAGAAAAGAGGATACTCCGCCAGGGCAGCCAAGGCAGTAACGCTAGCGTTACGCAGATGTACTCGTAACCTGTATGATGACAAATGGCTGAAATTTGAGACTTATGCAAGGCGGAAAGGCCTCATTGCTATGAAAGCTACTCATCCTCAAGTGGCGGAATACCTGTGTCATCTTAGACAGACCAGACATCTTAAAGGTTCGACATTATCTACATACCTCGCCGCCATCAGTACTGTGATTACCATGAAAACAGGCATCAAGTTGACGGAAGTACCAGAATTACTTGCTCTGCTGAGATCTTTTAAACTGGAGGACCAGCAAAGAAGTTCAGAGCTCCGGCCTCGGATCTGAATGTAATTCTACGTTATCTTACGAGTGATGCCTTCGAACCTCTAGACCAGACTACCCTCGAGCTGCTGTCACAGAAGACTCTGTTCCTGCTTGCACTAGCCACGGCAGCTCGAATATCAGAGATGCATGCGCTGGACTTTGGTCGAACCAGATTTGACACGGGGCAAAACGCTGCAGTTCATCTAGGACTTCGATGGGACTTCATTGCCAAGAACCAACTACCTGGTCAGCCAGATAGACAGTTCCACGTACCAGCGCTAGCTACAATCCTTGGACCAGAGGATATAGAGAACTTATCCTTGTGTCCGGTCAGAGCCCTGAAGATATATCTTCAAAAGACTAAGACAAGGAGACGAAAATTCAAGCGCCTGTTCATCCCATTATCAACAGAGACTTCAGCAGAAGTCTCAAGAACGACGATATCGTTCTGGATGAGAGGACTAGAACCTCCTAGAGCTTCCAACCCACATGAAGTCAGAGCACTGGCGTCAGCACTGGCTCTGGATGGAGGGGCGGTGGGGTAGCCTAGTGGTTAAAGCGTTGGCTCGTCACACCGAAGACCCGGGTTCGAATCCCCACATGGGTACAATGTGTGAAGCCCATTTCTGGTGTTCCCCGCCGTGATGTTGCTGGAATATTGCTAAAATCGTCGTAAAACCAAACTCAGTCAGTCAGTCTGGATGGAAATTGCTCTATATCTGCAATTATGGAGGGCTGCTTTTGGAAGTCGGACACGGTGTTGCCAACCACTACCTCCGAGACATAGCCACTGAAGACGTCTGAGGCATTCACCAATTTGGGCCTCTTGTTGTAGCACAGCAACTAACGGTTCCTCAAAGGCGCTGAGTTGGAAAATCTCACCCTTTATCACGTTGACTTGTTGATAACTTTTGCTAAGGAAAAGTATTAGTTTGAAACTCCATGCGCACAGTCTAGGCTAACATGAGTGATTAAAGATCCTGTACGGGTAAAGATCTTACATGTACGTGAAGGGGTCGCAACTCATTTATGATAAAGATCTTATCATAATCTATGGGTTGTTATAAGATATCTAGTAATAAGAAGATGCTAGTTTATCTGTAGCCACATGAATCAACATGATTCAAGTTGTCTGAGACTGAAGTAAGACAAGAAAGTGGTCCCCCCGAGTTATAATGGAAGTTGGAAGAATAGGATCACAGAAATGCCGTTTCGCAGTTCCTATGGGGGGATACAGGACGTATCTAAGGACAGCTGATGAATCCACGAAGTGGCTTGACCCACCACTAATCCGTCGGATTCTATAAGAAAAACATCACGAGTCAGGATAAGAAAAAATATGTAATTTTTCAAGTAAAATTGATATTTTTATACTTATCCTGACTCCCAACCTCCCAACCTCCCAACCTCCCCGCTGGAAACACTTCGGATTTCACAGTAGATCCAAGTGCATGGGCAGAAATTCAAGAGAGAGTGACAAGTAAGGCTGGTCACATGACTATTTGCACAGGAAAGGGCAAAAGGGAGGTAACTCGTGGGTGAGTGTATTTTTACGTCCTCTTTGGGAACTTCAAGGGATTCAAGTGTTCTACTACCATTCGAAAAGAAAAGGGAGATAAGCAAAAGATCATGAGTCAGGATAAGTATAAAAATATCAAATGTAGCCACTTACTTCAGTCAACTGTTCTGAACTAGATTTTGTAAAATAATCCATACAGTTTAAAGATACTGTTTATACATGAGCTGATGTATTGTAAAACAAATTCATGACGTTGAAAAGTTTATTGTCATGTGTTCAATAAATGATGAAACTCGGTGAAAAATGGCAATTTTTTTATCAAAATGCAGCTGTTCACATACACGATATTTGCACATGCTTTTCAGCAATTTGATGCAATTAATCTGCATAAGGTTTGCAGATGTTTCCCCAAATTAGTGGAGAAATTCATCTTCATTGTAACCATATATACATACATAACATATAGTGATTGATTTAAGCAAGTCTAAACTTTTGATGGGTAGTATATTATGTGAAGATTTGGCATTTTGGAGTTCTGCTAGCATCAGGTTAAGCAAAATATTCCCTCAGTCGTGTCACCCCAACTTAGCAAACTATGAAACTAAGCATATAAACATTCCATGACAAAATATTGCACTGTATCAACAAATACTACTCGTGTGGGGGCGGTGGGGTAGCCTAATGGTTAAAGTGTTGGCTCGTCACGCCGAAGACCCGGGTTCGAATCCCCACATGGGTACAATGCGTGAAGCCCATTTCTGGTGTCCCCGCCGTGATGTTGCTGGAATATTGCTAAAAGCAGCGTAAAACCAAACTCAGTCAGTCGGTACTACTCGAGTGACAACATCCAGTAATTTATGAGGGAGATCCATCCAGCAGCATCAAAACTCAAACCAGTGAGAAACTCCTAACTTGACTTCCATGAACATGTTCATGGATTATGACATAAAATGAAAAAGTGATTAACTTGACTCAAGTTACAGAAGAAAACCCACAGGTTAAAATGCTTATCTTTCCCTGAGGATTCTCAAGGTCATATTCAAATCAACGCCTCATATGTTCTGTTTCAGATTTTGTTCTTTGGCTCGCCGGTAGAAAACCTGAGTGGCACTTTGCTCTCTGTATTGTCACTCTTTCCAAGTAAGTTCATAAACAAGTTGATTAACAGAAATATGTGCTTTGTATCACTGGCATGTATGTGTTTGTTAGTGCATGGCCATGGTTGGTTGGTTGGTTGGTTGGTTGGTTGGTTGGTTGGTTGGTTGGTTGGTTGGTTGGTTGGTTGGTTGGTTGGTTGGTTGGTTGGTTGGTTGGTTAGTTGGTTGTGTAACACAGCATTCAGAAATAGTCCAGCTGTATGGCGGCAGTCTGTAAATAATCAAGCCTGGACCAGACAATCCAGTGATCAACAACGTGAGCATCAATCTATGCAATTGGGATACGATGACATGTGTCAACCAAGTAAGCGAGCCTGATCACCCATTAGTCATCTCTTACAACAAGCATGGGTTACTGAAGACCAATTTTAACCCATGGCCATAGTCAGCAATTAACAGTCAAGTCTTGGTTAGGCAGAGCCGTCATTGACACGATGAGCTACTGCCCTCATTGTAAGGTTACCATGGTGACAATGACACACAATGGCTATATGATATTATATTACCCGTTGCTACAAACACAAGACCTGGGAACCAATCCTGACCCTGAAACCCCATGAGGATAATCTCAGATAAATGGCTACAGTCCTTGTGGTGCTGCTGTAATACTCTAGAAGCATCTTAAAAGCTGGTATTCACTCACTCACTTTTTGTGATGTGCTGTCAACACATGGTCCTGTGTACAGCGCTCAGGTCACAAGTCAGAAGTTAAGCTAAGTCGTTTGTGGAAGAAAGTTGCATAGATGACAGTTTGATTCTTTTTAGAATTATTTTCACCCTTTGGTAAATGGGTACCCGGAAGTATGAGGTGATAATGTGGCAGTTAACCCGCAAGCTGAGACAGAAGCACACCAATCCATTGACTTTGGTGGAAATGGTTAGTGCTTTGAGTATGCTTTAACAAAGTGACCATAGTACACATTATGAATATCCTTTTGTAATCATTTTATACATGTTTGTCAAAGACGTTGGTTTTAGTCATTGCAACTGTTTCTTTGACCTGTCCTCATTGTCGATATCACTTTGCAGATATGGTGGAGTTTGGTTTGGATGAGTCTGTAATGAAACAGTTTCGGGAACTGTCGCCCACACTAGGCATGGCATCTCTAGACGATGAGGTGGATGAGAATGAGTCTTTCCTGGAGGTCAGATACTCTTCGGAGAAGGATGTTAAAAACATGTCTGACATTACAATGCATATGATGAATGAACCTATAAAACGCAGTAACAGTGTAGAGCCTCAGTCGCCAACTATACCGAGGGATGGTAGTCTGGTCTTGGATGGAACTGTGTATGACAATGATAAAGATATTCAAAACTCATTTCATGGGCAAGTGCAATCTTTGGATGGACAGAGGTCGAAGGCTTTGAAAAACTCTGAGAATCAACAGCTCAAACTGGCTGCTGACCGTGATCAGGTAAAGAGCTCAAAACCAATAAGATGCTCCTCTGTTGAGGACCATCCAAAAGTTCATGATCATGCCAAGGTTCATGATCTGTCAAAAGTACATGACCTTTGTAAAGGTCATAACCTTTCCAAGCATAAGGGTGAAGGTGAAGGTTCATCTAAAGATGATCCAAGTGATTCATGTGATATTCAAGAAAGTTTGCAAGATGAAGAAACTTTTACAGCATTTGGAAGCCCAAAAGATAAGGGTGCGATCGTATATAGCAAAGAGGACAGCCCTCTACAGCACATGCCCAGCATAACCCAGATAGAGGCTGTCCAGACTGGAATTACAATGCCAAATAGTTCAGAGAAAATGGAGGAATACTCACGCGAGGTTGAACTGGCAAGTAGCCCTGAAAGCCCTACTCAAGACCCCAGGAGAGACCTGCCACTTTCACTGGATGACAAGGAGAGTGTACCCGCTCTCAGGAAGACCGACAGCTTTGAGGACCTAGATTCTCCTGAGAGTATTAGTAGAATAGACAGGGAAGATTGTTTCTCATGGGAAGATGACCGTGTTCTCTTGTCTATTGAGCATGAACCAGAAATCAAAGATGGCGCCGATTCCAAGGGAGATAACCCAGCTAATGTTGGTTCTGCATCTGCATCTGCATCTGCATCTGCATCTGCCACTGGATTAATGGTGGAGAAGGAATGTAGTTCGGATGAAAAGATTTCAGTGTCAGATAGTGATACGGGAAGCGTTCCCTCTGATAAAACTGTAACCCGTCGGTCCGGTCGCCATGGTAGCCCAGGTGCAAAGGCTGCTGCTCTGAAACACAAACTTACTGCTGCCTTTGGGAATTTACACATAAAAGGAAAAGGGAAACCACTGGGTCAGATCGAGATGAAGCCGATGTCAAGAGAAGAGTCTCTGATTCAACAGGATGACTATGGTTTTCCTCTTGCTGTTTTCACAAAGGTAACTGTCAGATCCCATCCTTGAGTCACTGGCTGCACACTATTGACTATCAACAGGACAAAGCTGTTCCTAGAGAAAATGTGAAAAGAACGACATTGTCTAATGAACAAATGTTTTTTTCACATATAATTTGATAAGCTTACAGTTCATTATGAAATTTCTTTTTGTGAGAGAGGTAGGTAAGAACAGTTCAAACATCAAGTAAAGTAATTCTTGAATCTTTTACTTGCTTGTACTTGGATTTCTTTTTGATGCCCCAAGGAAAACATGCTTTGTCCTATAGGGATGCATTGTACCCATATGATATTTCATCATGCCACAAGTCCAAATCGTGTGTGTGTGAGAAAGGATTAATTGCTAGATAAGGCTATATCTACATATCTGATCATTTGTGCCTTAGATGCTTGAGACGCCTTTCATAAGACTATCTGTATAGTGCCACTAAAATCTCTTTTAGAATGGGGGCAGTGGGTAACCTAGTGGTTAAAGTGTTCGCTTGTGACAATGAAGACCCGGGTTCGATTCCCAACATGGGTACAATGTGTGAAGCCCATTTCTTGAGTCTGGTGCTAAGATCAGCATAAAACTATACTCACTCACTCATTATACATGATGCTAATAGTCAAGTGAGGGTTACTGGACTCAAGTTATTAGGTCTTCATGTCCATGTGTGTGATGTCATTTGTCTGTGTGTGATTCCAGGGCAGTGTCTGCCACCCATACTTGAGTCTACAGTACCATGACATTCTGCAGGACGTCAACATCAGGAGCTTCGTAATAGGAGCCACCAATATACTGTTTAAACAGAGGAGGTCCCTGATTGACGTCATTGTGGAGGTGAGTCTTCATCTTGATACGAGCCACCAATATAGTGTTTAAATAGAGGAGGTCCCTGATTGACGTCATTGTGGAGGTGAGTCATCATCTTGATACGAGCCACCAATATAGTGTTTAAATAGAGGAGGTCCCTGATTGATGTCATTGTGGAGGTGACTCTTCATCTTGTGGAGGTGACTCTTAGTCCCTCTTCGTCTTGATGCGAGCCACCAATATAGTTTTTAAATAGAGGAGGTCCCTGATTGACGTCATTGTGGAGATGAGACAGAGGTATAATAAACTATGGTCAATGGAGCAAATTGCTGAGGGCAAGGTGGACGTTATGCTATCACTGTCTGGCAATGGGAGGCGGTGATCCATGTGGCAAACTGCAAGGTGGACATTATATTAACAGTCTCTGGCAGTGGTAACCTGTGTTTCTTCTTGCAGATTGCTGACGGCAAGATGGACATTATATTAACAGTCTCTGGCAGTGGTAACCTGTGTTTCTTCTTGCAGATTGCTGACGGCAAGATGGACATTATATTAACAGTCTCTGGCAGTGGTAACCTGTGTTTCTTCTTGCAGATTGCTGACGGCAAGATGGACATTATATTAACAGTCTCTGGCAGTGGTAACCTGTGTTTCTGCTTGCAGATTGCTGACGGCAAGGTGGACATTATATAAACAGTCTCTGGCAGTGGTAACCTGTGTTTCTTCTTGCAGATTGCTGACGGCAAGGTGGACATTATATTAACAGTCTCTGGCAGTGGTAACCTGTGTTTCTTCTTGCAGATTGCTGACGGCAAGATGGACATTATATTAACAGTCTCTGGCAGTGGTAACCTGTGTTTCTTCTTGCAGATTGCTGACGCTGACGGCAAGGTGGACATTATATTAACAGTCTCTGGCAGTGGTAACCTGTGTTTCTTCTTGCAGATTGCTGACGGCAAGATGGACATTATATTAACAGTCTCTGGCAGTGGTAACCTGTGTTTCTTCTTGCAGATTGCTGGCGGCAAGGTGGACATTATATTAACAGTCTCTGGCAGTGGTAACCTGTGTTTCTTCTTGCAGATTGCTGACGGCAAGATGGACATTATATTAACAGTCTCTGGCAGTGGTAACCTGTGTTTCTTCTTGCAGATTGCTGGCGGCAAGATGGACATTATATTAACAGTCTCTGGCAGTGGTAACCTGTGTTTCTTCTTGCAGATTGCTGACGGCAAGATGGACATTATATTAACAGTCTCTGGCAGTGGTAACCTGTGTTTCTTCTTGCAGATTGCTGGCGGCAAGGTGGACATTATATTAACAGTCTCTGGCAGTGGTAACCTGTGTTTCTGCTTGCAGATTGCTGGCGGCAAGATGGACATTATATTAACAGTCTCAGGCAGTGGTAACCTGTGTTTCTTCTTGCAGATTGCTGACGCAAGATGGACATTATATTAACAGTCTCTGGCAGTGGTAACCTGTGTTTCTTCTTGCAGATTGCTGGACGCAAGATGGACATTATATTAACAGTCTCTGGCAGTGGTAACCTGTGTTTCTTCTTGCAGATTGCTGACGGCAAGATGGACATTATATTAACAGTCTCTGGCAGTGGTAACCTGTGTTTCTTCTTGCAGATTGCTGACGGCAAGATGGACATTATATTAACAGTCTCTGGCAGTGGTAACCTGTGTTTCTTCTTGCAGATTGCTGACGTCAAGGTGGACATTATATTAACAGTCTCTGGCAGTGGTAACCTGTGTTTCTTCTTGCAGATTGCTGACGGCAAGGTGGAAATCATGGACAAGGAGCTTCAGCGGCTCCTTCACCTGACAACAGCTGATCTCCGCTTTGCGGACTACCTAGTGAAGATGGTTGTGGAGGACAAGAATGACATCTACCTGGACGGGACAGGTATGGGGCAGGTGTTACAGTTACATTCTGTTGGCTATCATGACAGCCTTTAGGAAATATACCAAATGCTTTTGAGAATGTCATTCCACATCCTCTGTAATTTATAGGTTTTGTGTGAACTATGTTCCTCAATAACCCTGAACACAGGGAAGGAATAGGTCCCCAGTGCCCCATACTTGTCCTCCAGTGGGATAACTGGGAGGAATAGGTCCCCAGTGCCCCATACTTGTCCTCCTGTGGGATAACTGGGAGGAATAGGTCCCCAGTACCCCATGCTTGTCCTCCTGTGGGATTAGTCGGAGGAATAGGTTCCCCGTAGCCCATGTATGTCACCTATGTAAATACCCCATGCTTGTCCTGTGGGATTAGTGGGAGGAATAGATTCCCCATAGCCCATGTCTGTCACCTATGTAAATATGGTCAGGACAATATGGTACCTAGTCCTCCTCTGGAGAGTAACTGGTTATTGAGTGTGGACTGTCAGGTTGTATACCATTGCACTGTGAAGACATGAATTTGGTGTTCGTGCTTTTCGGCAGCAGCTTGAACCAGAACTGATGCTGTTAACAACAGTCACTCTTGACTTTACTATGATCTAACTCGTAGATATATACTCATAGAGGATGGTTCATCTCGGGGGTTGTGTATATCAAAGGACATATAAACAATCACACATTGTATCATGCTTATTACAGTTTTATTTTCTGTAACATTAATTTATTGGTAATTTGTAAGTGCTAACACTAGTGGCTGGTGATGTGTCTGTTCATTTATTCATGTCTCTGAAATGTGTTTGCTGAATATTTAGTCAACTAAGATAACTAACTCGCTCACGCAGTCCTCACTCACTCCTCACTCATTCACTCACTCACTCACTAACTCTCACTAACTCACTGAAATAAAATTCTTGATACTTGCGAAACACTGACCAAACGCCAATACATCGTTAATCCTAGATGCCTTATTCAAGTTCAAGCAGAGAAATTCCGTCCAGTTGGCACACCCTGCCTACCCCACACAGTCCACCCCACGCAGTCCCACCGACTCTGTTCACCCCACCCTGTCCACAAAACTCAGTCCCACCCACCCTGTCTGCTTACCCTATGTGCACTATTGTTGATCCTTATTGGCAATGTGATAGTCTCCTTTCCAGAGTGGGAGGGTGGAGACGAGTGGATCCGTGCTCAGTTCCGCCTCTACCTGCAGACTCTCCTGGCTTCTGTCATCAGTGATGGTGAGTATCAGGCAAACAGACAAGGTTTAGAGAGGGATGCAAGATTCAGTGAGGGATGCAAGATTCAGGGAGGGATGCAAGATGCAGGGAGGGATGCAAGATTCAGAGTGGGATGGAATGCAAGATTCAGGGAGGGATGCAAGATTCATGGAGGGATGCAAGATGCAGGGAGGGATGGATGTAAGATTCAGAGTGGGGTGCACGATTCAGGGATGGATGCAAGATTCAGGGAGGGATGCATGGTTCAGGGAGGGATGTAAGATTCAGGACGGGATGCAAGATTCAGGGAGGGATGCAAGATGCAGGGAGGGATGGAATGCAAGATTCAGAGTTGGATGGGATGCAAGATTCAGGGAGGGATGCACAATTCAGGGAGGGATGCAAGATTCAGGGAGGAATGCAAGATTCAGGGAGGGATGCATGGTTCAGAGAGGGATGCAAGATGGAGGGATGGGATGCAAGATTCAGGGAGGGATGCACAATTCAGGGAGGGATGCAAGATTCAGGGAGGTATGCTAGATTCAGGGATGGATGCAAGATTCATGGAGGGATGCAAGATTCAGGGAGAGATGCATGGTTCAGGGAAGGATGCATGATTCAGGGAGGGATGCACGGTTCAGGGAGGGATGCATGATTCAGGGAAGGATGCACGGTTCAGGGAGGGATGTAAGATTCAGGGAGGGATGCACGGTTCAGGGAGGGATGCATGATTCAGGGAGGGATGCACGGTTCAGGGAGGGATGCAAGATTCAGGGAGGGATGCATGATTCAGGGAGAGATGCATGGTTCAGGGAAGGATGCATGATTCAGGGAGGGATGCACGGTTCAGGGAGGGATGCAAGATGCAGGGAGGGATGCACGATTCAGCGAGGGATGCAAGATTCAGGGAGGGATGTAAGATTCATGGAGGGATGCAAGATTCAGGGAAGGATGCATGGTTCAGGGAAGGATGCATGGAGGGAAGATGCATGGTTCAGGAGAGATGCATGGTTCAGGGAAGGATGCACGATTCAGGGAAGGATGCATGATTCAGGGAGGGATGGATGCATGATTCAGGAAGATGCATGATTCAGGGAAGGATGCAATTCAGGGATTGGTTAAGGGAGGGTTGAGGGAGGGATGCACGATTCAGGGAGGGATGCAAGATTCAGAGAGGGATGGGATGCACGATTCAGGGAGGGATACAAAATTCAGGGAAGATGCAAGATTTGAGGAGGGATGCATGGTTAAGGGAGAGATGCAAGATTCAGTTATAAACAAGTATGAGATAGCTACGCCAACAATCACAAAGAAAATGAATAAAGAAACAAGGTGTATTCCACAATAAAACATTTACATAATATGAAGTCATTTCTGGAGATTCAAACGTGGTAGCTTATCCAACATTGCGATATTGTGTGAGGGGTGTCATCGTTAAATGAATGTGGGAAAGTATTTGTTGAACTTGAAAAACATCTGTGAAGAGGTTTTAAACATTGTCAATATCTCATTAGAGAAATAAATTACTCTTGGTCATGGTTAAATCTCACTGCAGTCGTCTTTGAACGATAAACAATGACCACTAGTCATTTCTCCAGGATATGACAAGTCTTTCATAAGTCCTATCGAGTGTTACTTGTATGTGTAGGAAAATGCATCTGAGATAAGAACATATTTTATTTGTTCAAAGTGAGATTAAACTATCTCAGTTTGGCAACTGGAAAGCATGTATTATGATAATAAGGAAATGCACATATTGTTTTAAGTCAGTAAAGTAATGAAATGCCTAATTCACTTTTATCGGGGCAAATCCTACACCATATTGTACTTCCTCCATTTGAAGCTGAAATACTGTTATACAACCACACCCATGCTACTGCTATTGTGTGTAGCTTGGGGTAAGTGCATGGTTATATTCAGCATAAAAGTGTGCATCCATTACACACAGATGTATAGAGTGGTTGCAGAATATTATGTATTCCATCCTGAGTGACTCACAATACTATTCATTGTACCAAATTTTTCATAAGAAATATTAACCCTTGAAGATCCCGGTAATCATTCAGTAACCCATGCTTGTCGTAAAAGGTGACCGATCGTGTGGTCAGGTTCGTTGACTTAGTTGACACATCCCAATTGTGTAAATTGATGCTCATGCTGTTGATCACTGGATTGTCTGGTCCAGACTCTGTTATTTACATATTACACCATATGCTGGAATATTGCTGAGTGCAGTGTTAAACAACAAAATAAACAAAACAAAATCATAAGAAATATTCATGTACTGTAATGAAAGAAATTATTTGTTCTTACAGTAGATTTAGCTACACCTTTTCATTAGTTTTAATGTAAAACCCTTACTGTATTTTTCAGATACCAAACTTCTAGATGATTATGGCACTAGCTTTGTTCAGGCTTGGAAGATGACTCACAACTTCAGGGTTTGGTCTAAAACGGATCACGCTGGCCTCAAGGAGTTCCCTCCTGGGTAATATATAAATATATTTATAGGAGATATTGGATTTACAAGATTGATAAAATGCAAATGATGAAGCCAAGGAGGAAACAGATGAAGAAGAGAAATTAAGGGAAAATGTTACAATTTATTCAATTCCTTTGGAAATGGTTCATCTGTATGGATATATATTACTTTTTCTCATATGCATTGGTATTGACTAGTGGTATGCTCGCAAAATGGACTCTCCCCAACTTTTTTTGAATGGTAGTACTGCAGTACTACTGGGAGTCGGCTGTTTGTGACAGCATGCAGGGTTGCCTTCCTTGTACCCACCAGAATCTTACAATCATGGTTATATACAAGGATTATATTTCTGGGTGTATCAGCACCATCCCTGTGCTTGTGGGTTTCACAAAGGGGTAAACATGTGAGACTTACATCACTTCGGACTTTCGTCCAATATCCAGCTGACACGCCATGGTGTAGCTGGAGTACTCTTTGGGAAAAACAATCATCTCCCACACCGATGTAGCTTCATGTTGTCTGTTCATTTGTCTGTTGTGGATGTTTACATTTTGAATTTCTGAAACCGCAGGGCCAGTGGTTGCTCACTGATCTCTAATTTAACCCCCTGGGTTTTCCCAGCTTGAACTGGTCCAAAGCAGCTTATCCTGGATGTGAGACTCAATGGTAGATCAGGTTGACCTGGACGATTGTGTGTGTTTGTATCCAATGGTAGATCAGGTTGACCTGGACGATTGTGTGTGTTTGTATCCAATGGTAGATCAGGTTGACCTGGACGATTGTGTGTGTTTGTATCCAATGGTAGATCAGGTTGACCTGGACGATTGTGTGTGTTTGTATCCAATGGTAGATCAGGTTGACCTGGACGATTGTGTGTGTTTGTATCCAATGGTAGATCAGGTTGACCTGGACGATTGTGTGTGTTTGTATCCAATGGTAGATCAGGTTGACCTGGACGATTGTGTGTGTTTGTATCCAATGGTAGATCAGGTTGACCTGGACGATTGTGTGTGTTTGTATCCAATGGTAGATCAGGTTGACCTGGACGATTGTGTGTGTTTGTATCCAATGGTAGATCAGGTTGACCTGGACGATTGTGTGTGTTTGTATCCAATGGTAGATCAGGTTGACCTGGACGATTGTGTGTGTTTGTATCCAATGGTAGATCAGGTTGACCTTGACGATTGTGTGTGTTTGTATCCAATGGTAGATCAGGTTGACCTGGACGATTGTGTGTGTTTGTATCCAATGGTAGATCAGGTTGACCTGGATGATTGTGTGTGTTTGTATCCAATGGTAGATCAGGTTGACCTGGACGATTGTGTGTGTTTGTATCCAATGGTAGATCAGGTAGACCTGGACGATTGTGTGTGTTTGTATCCAATGGTAGATCAGGTAGACCTGGACGATTGTGTGTGTTTGTATCCAATGGTAGATCAGGTAGACCTGGACGATTGTGTGTGTTTGTATCCAATGGTAGATCAGGTTGACCTGGACCATTGTGTGTGTTTGTATCCAATGGTAGATCAGGTTGACCTGGACGATTGTGTGTGTTTGTATCCAATGGTAGATCAGGTTGACCTGGACGATTGTGTGTGTTTGTATCCAATGGTAGATCAGGTTGACCTGGACGATTGTGTGTGTTTGTATCCAATGGTAGATCAGGTTGACCTGGACGATTGTGTGTGTTTGTATCCAATGGTAGATCAGGTTGACCTGGGCGATTGTGTGTGTTTGTATCCAATGGTAGATCAGGTTGACCTGGGCGATTGTGTGTGTTTGTATCCAATGGTAGATCAGGTTGACCTGGGCGATTGTGTGTGTTTGTATCCAGTGGTAGATCAGGTTGACCTGGACGACAGTGTGTTTGTATCCAATGGTAGATCAGGCTGACCTGGGCGATTGTGTGTGTTTGTATCCAATGGTAGATCAGGCTGACCTGGACGATTGTGTGTGTTTGTATCCAATGGTAGATCAGGTTGACCTGGACGATTGTGTGTGTTTGTATCCAATGGTAGATCAGGTTGACCTGGACCATTGTGTGTGTTTGTATCCAATGGTAGATCAGGTTGACCTGGACGATTGTGTGTGTTTGTATCCAATGGTAGATCAGGTTGACCTTGACGATTGTGTGTGTTTGTATCCAATGATACATCAGGTTGACCTGGACGATTGTGTGTGTTTGTATCCAATGGTAGATCAGGTTGACCTGGACCATTGTGTGTGTTTGTATCCAATGGTCGATCAGGTTGACCTGGACAATTGTGTGTGTTTCTATCTAATGGTAGATCAGGCTGACCTGGACGATTGTGTGTGTTTGTATCCAATGGTAGATCAGGCTGACCTGGACGATTGTGTGTGTTTGTATCCAATGGTAGATCAGGTTGACCTGGACGATTGTGTGTGTTTGTATCCAATGGTAGATCAGGTTGACCTTGACGATTGTGTGTTTGTATCCAATGGTAGATCAGGTTGACCTGGACGATTGTGTGTGTTTGTATCCAATGGTAGATCAGGTTGACCTGGATGATGGTGTGTGTTTGTATCCAGTGGTAGATCAGGTTGACCTGGACGATTGTGTGTTTGTATCCAATGGTAGATCAGGTAGACCTGGACCATTGTGTGTGTTTGTATCCAATGGTAGATCAGGTTGACCTGGACCATTGTGTGTGTTTGTATCCAATGGTAGATCAGGTTGACCTGGACGATTGTGTGTGTTTGTATCCAATGGTAGATCAGGTTGACCTGGACCATTGTGTGTGTTTGTATCCAATGGTAGATCAGGTAGACCTGGACGATTGTGTGTGTTTGTATCCAATGGTAGATCAGGTAGACCTGGGCGATTGTGTGTGTTTGTATCCAATGGTAGATCAGGTTGACCTGGACCATTGTGTGTGTTTGTATCCAATGGTAGATCAGGTAGACCTGGACGATTGTGTGTGTTTGTATCCAATGGTAGATCAGGTTGACCTGGACCATTGTGTGTGTTTGTATCCAATGGTAGATCAGGTTGACCTGGACGATTGTGTGTGTTTGTATCCAATGGTAGATCAGGTTGACCTGGACGATTGTGTGTGTTTGTATCCAATGGTAGATCAGGTTGACCTGGACGATTGTGTGTGTTTGTATCCAGTGGTAGATCAGGTTGACCTGGACGATTGTGTGTGTTTGTATCCAATGGTAGATCAGGTTGACCTGGACGATTGTGTGTGTTTGTATCCAATGGTAGATCAGGTTGACCTGGACGATTGTGTGTGTTTGTATCCAGTGGTAGATCAGGTTGACCTGGACGATTGTGTGTGTTTGTATCCAATGGTAGATCAGGTTGACCTGGACGATTGTGTGTGTTTGTATCCAATGGTAGATCAGGTTGACCTGGACGATTGTGTGTGTTTGTATCCAATGGTAGATCAGGTTGACCTGGATGATGGTGTGTGTTTGTATCCAATGGTAGATCAGGTTGACCTGGACGATTGTGTGTGTTTGTATCCAATGGTAGATCAGGTAGACCTGGACCATTGTGTGTGTTTGTATCCAATGGTAGATCAGGTTGACCTGGACCATTGTGTGTGTTTGTATCCAATGGTAGATCAGGTTGACCTGGACGATTGTGTGTGTTTGTATCCAATGGTAGATCAGGTTGACCTGGACCATTGTGTGTGTGTTGTATCCAATGGTAGATCAGGTAGACCTGGACGATTGTGTGTGTTTGTATCCAATGGTAGATCAGGTTGACCTGGACGATTGTGTGTGTTTGTATCCAATGGTAGATCAGGTTGACCTGGACCATTGTGTGTGTTTGTATCCAATGGTAGATCAGGTTGACCTGGACGATTGTGTGTGTTTGTATCCAATGGTAGATCAGGTTGACCTGGACGATTGTGTGTGTTTGTATCCAATGGTAGATCAGGTAGACCTGGACGATTGTGTGTGTTTGTATCCAATGGTAGATCAGGTTGACCTGGACCATTGTGTGTGTTTGTATCCAATGGTAGATCAGGTTGACCTGGACCATTGTGTGTGTTTGTATCCAATGGTAGATCAGGTTGACCTGGACGATTGTGTGTGTTTGTATCCAATGGTAGATCAGGTTGACCTGGACCATTGTGTGTGTTTGTATCCAATGGTAGATCAGGTTGACCTGGGCGATTGTGTGTGTTTGTATCCAATGGTAGATCAGGTTGACCTGGACGATTGTGTGTGTTTGTATCCAATGGTAGATCAGGTTGACCTGGACGATTGTGTGTTTGTATCCAATGGTAGATCAGGTAGACCTGGACGATTGTGTGTGTTGTATCCAATGGTAGATCAGGTTGACCTGGACGATTGTGTGTGTTTGTATCCAATGGTAGATCAGGTTGACCTGGGCGATTGTGTGTGTTTTGTATCCAATGGTAGATCAGGGTTGACCTGGGCGATTGTGTGTGTTTGTATCCAATGATAGATCAGGTTGACCTGGACGATTGTGTGTGTTTATCCAATGGTAGATCAGGTAGACCTGGACGATTGTGTGTGTTTGTATCCAATGGTAGATCAGGTTGACCTTGACGACAGTGTGTTTGTATCCAATGGTAGATCAGGTTGACCTGGGCGATTGTGTGTGTTGTATCCAATGGTAGATCAGGTTGACCTGGACGATTGTGTGTTTGTATCCAATGGTAGATCAGGGTTGACCTTGGCGATTGTGTGTGTTTTGTATCCAATGGTAGATCAGGTTGACCTGGACGACATTGTGTGTGTTTGTATCCAATGGTAGATCAGGTTGACCTGGACGATTGTGTGTTTGTATCCAATGGTAGATCAGGTTGACCTGGACGATTGTGTGTGTTTGTATCCAATGGTAGATCAGGTTGACCTGGACGATTGTGTGTGTTTGTATCCAATGGTAGATCAGGTTGACCTGGACCATTGTGTGTGTTTGTATCCAATGGTAGATCAGGTTGACCTGGACGATTGTGTGTGTTTGTATCCAATGGTAGATCAGGTTGACCTGGACGATTGTGTGTGTTTGTATCCAATGGTAGATCAGGTTGACCTTGGACGATTGTGTGTGTTTGTATCCAATGGTAGATCAGGTTGACCTTGACAATTGTGTGTGTTTGTATCCAATGGTAGATCAGGTTGACCTGGATGATTGTGTGTGTTTGTATCCAATGGTAGATCAGGTTGACCTGGACGATTGTGTGTGTTTGTATCCAATGCTGTAGTTTGATGTTCATTGTGTTAGTCACTGGATTGTCTGTTGCAGACTCAAGTATTTACAAGCTGCCTTCACATAGCTGGATATTGTAGAGATCTGTCCGTCTTTGATTTTTCAGACATCCATACCAAGGGCATTTGAACGTTGCAGATCTCAGAGTGAGGCTGTCACAGTAAGTTCAAGTAGTAATGTCCTTATCTAGTCAAGTCATATCATCATTACAATTACTTGCCTGGTACAAACTCGTCTTGCCTTGTTCAGTTACTGTGGACCGTCACCTATCTTTGTCATGTTATCATAACTGACTCTTGTATTGAAGGACCAGGGCCAAGATTTTCGAAGCTCTCTTAGTGCTAAGATAGTCGTAAGTGCCATACATTAACATTAATTTACGACTATCTTAGCGCTAGGAGAGCTTTAAAAATCTAGGCCCAGGAGTGGCCCAGTGGTTTAAGGGGCCACCAAAATCACTGCGATGTCTGCCTTCAGTCCTTGGGATCATTTGGCATTGAGTTCAAATCCAAGATTCAGTTTTTTCAGTGATTCAGTGGTTATGACCCTTGGTGTCTTGGAACCACACTTCATGGGTTTCACTAGCCACTTATATCGTACATGATGCTAATCCAGAGATCAGTAAGAGAAATAACAAACATATTTTTCCTTATCCTGACTCATGCTAAATGCTTGTCTCCTTCTTCTTGCGAATGACAGTGGAACACTTGAAATCCCTTGAAGTTCCCTTCTAAAAATCAGACGTAAAATCCTCACTCACCCACGAGTAGTCTCCCTTGCCTCCTTTGACGCCCTTTTTGGTCACATGACCAGCTATGTTTGTCACTCTCTCCTTCTTCGCCTTGAGGAGGGTTATGACAGCACCTGGGTCCCTATACGGCACATATCCTTTTCTATTTTGGACCTTGTACATCTAAATGGCAGCTGTATATGGTTTTTGGATTGTATATTATCAAATGTTTTGATATTATGTCTAAATTATACGTTGTTTGCCATGTTTTTCATCTGGTTTACAATTGATGAACACTTGTATTCGTTGTAGGTACCGACTGTCTATGGCTGACCCGCATATATTATGTCCTGATTGCACTTCTACATGTTCTTCCAGCTCTTGCTGTAAACATTGTCAGAAACTACCTTATTTTGACTTTAATAATTACATTTTTCTCTTCATAGACGTGCAAAGGACTGGGTAAGAAGGTATTCACAAGTCATGTCTGGTAAATTGAGTGATTGCGCTGATAACCATGTGTTAACTACTACTGCGGATGTTCAAAATTCCAGTGAATTGCAGAGCGTTTTACAAGGGCAGGTCGCTGTTCCAGTGATGAACTCCGTCTCGAATAAGTAGAGATCGTCGTCAACGGAGCTGTCCTCATCGCAGACGAAGAAGACGAGATCTTCTTCAGCGCAGAAGAAGAAGTCTACAGCTCCTAAGCTCGTTGAAGTCTCTTTACGGCTCTACGCAGAAGACGAGATCCTTCACTGTACTTTCGGAAGAAGCAGACGTGTATGATGACACACACGCGCACTCACGCACGCACGCACACACACACACACACACACACACACACACACACACACACACACACACACACACACACACATCATCATCATCATCATCATACCTGAAGTCACAGTCATCAGCAAGAAGACGAAGCCTGCTTCAACAGCTTCATCGGCAACTATATCAGCGCAGACATTGACAGAAGACCTTCTATCAACGCAGACTTCGGGTACCAGATAGCATCAGCGTCAACTCTTCACAAGTGCAGCGTACCTTAGAAAAGGGCCTCAATGTTCTCAGAAGCATCATCAACCCTGCAGCAGTCTCAACATACGTCGCAGAACTTTAACCCGGGGCTGTTTATGCAACAGTTTACAGATCAGATGATGTCCATGATGGAACGTCACTTTGCACAGGAGGAAGCTGCTACGAAGACCACTACGACGACTACAAGCCTGCGCCAAGGTTCAGCAGCCTCTCCAGCGCACCTGAATGAAGAGGAAAGCCTGCACGAAGGCCCACGCACCTGACGATCTTCACCGGCTGAAGCTAGAAGTCTGGACAACGCTACCAACGTCAGCTCAGCCTTAGACGTCCCCGAAGGAGCCTCTAAGATTCTCCACACAGCATGCAGACCCCTCCGATGACAGTCGCCCTGCGCGAAGGAATATTAGCTATGCAAGCTCTCTCGGATGAAGGCCTGCACGAACGGTTACGTTCGCGAAGATTTTTACTGTCAGAAGTATCAGCAGTTAGAAGCCTGGAGGATTCAACGAAGGCCAGCTTAGCGTTAGCAGTCCACGATGGAGCCTCCTCGCAGTTTCGGTGTCTCAGCAGGAAGGATTCTAACACAGAAGTAGATCCAGTCGTTCTCCAGGATTCTACAGACTGCGCAGATACGGATCTTCCAACTTGGACCTTCATCAACCTGCGCGCAGGCACTCACGGGGAGGATTATCATTAGAGCCAGCATGTCCCACCATTCAACGATAGCAAATTTCCCCTTCATCATATGGAGCCCTTCATGATAACATCAGGGTTTGAGATTACAAGATCATCAATGAATCCCGTAATAGATCTTCAAGATGGAAGATAAGAATAAGATAACGCAACTGGACACTACAACTAGATGTTGGCTATGTTTGATCAACGCGTGGATGAAGGAAGAGACACACACCTGAAGTAACGATGTCGGATAACATCCGATGAAACACTGAAGATGAATTTTCATCACATGGGCTTACAAGATATCAAGGGGACAGTTAACAGCATTGTCGCAGTTCCTCAGCAAGACATCGGTTACGGTCAACTTTACAGAACATCTGTATAAGATGACGACTGCAGTAAAGATTATAAAGTTGAAGAATACAGTCACAACAGACAGGGAACAGTCTGCTTAGAAGTTTTCGCGCGCTTCCACTCAGCCATCTATACACGTGTTCAGTCCTGTAACTCCGACACAAGCCGAACAGAGAGGTTACGGACAAGGCCGAGTGTTGTAAAGAAATCAACGACTGCACAAGATTCTACAAGGATCATTTACCTGCAACACCGGTGACGTCACATCTGTAATCTGATTGGTCCATGAGAGACAACGCCCTGCGCAGAACTTGGTCATAGTCACATGCCAGGAAGTCGTCTACAGTTGTAAACAACTCTTTCAACGTGGGAAAAACTCCATTTACAGTCCTGTTAGCAGGGTACAGTGTGGTTCGACTATCTTCACGGGTCATAGAGGACTTCCCCTGTCAGCAGAGTTAATATTGGTTATCTGGGGACTTGCAGTGACAAGAGTTAGACGGTTTCTGTTCGCAGACGGTCGACTATAAATAGACTTCACATCGATGGCAGTCCCATTACATCATAAATTTTGCTGATCTAGAGGCGACGTATTATGCATCATCGCTGCACATTGTTTCGGATTCTGGTGACAACATCTTCATTACATATTACCGGAAGATTGAGGCAAGCTTCAAGCCATGATTCCAGAATCGATCATCTCTCTGCTTCAATGTTGGACATGGCAAGGGCTCCTAGATCCACGTACCTACAACGTAGGACATGATTGCAGTAGATGGCTAGTAATCTCCTAATCGGAGTTGGAACCAAAACAGGATCTTCAATTTCTGGGAATATGGCTCATCACACCACAGAATCACACGGTCGTCCCAGAGGATCGTTGGGTCAAGATACAACATATGATATCTCAAGCAATGCTCTCTCCGTTGACACTACGTGCTTGGCAAAGCATGCTTGGTCTACTCACCTCAGCTCAAGACGTGACTCGCAGAGGGAGATTACAGCTGCGCCCACTACAATATTTGTGAACGCCCATCTCGACAGTTTGGATCCACTGATACTCCCGGACAGTCTGAAACCATAACTCCTATGGTGGACTCAGAAGTCGAATGTTTGCAGCGGAACCTTTTTGTCAGAGCCGGCTTGCAACACTCATCTCTACGTGGATGCATCACTACAAGGATGGGGTGCTCACCTCGAGAACGAAGTGGCAGCAGGAAAGTGGTCGAGTCAGGATCAAATTCTGCACATCAACCTGTTGGAGATGGAAGCAGTGATCAACGCTTTACAACACTGGTCCAGCGTAGTAAGGAACGCAAGGCTCACGGTCCACAGGGACAACTCCTCAGTAGTGTTCTACATCAACAAACAAGGATCAACAACGTCAACAAGTCTGCTAAAACTCAGCTTTCTCCTGTTCAGCATCGTCGACGACCTGAACATCTACATGAAGGCATGTCGCATTCCAGGAGCAAAGAATGTCATACCAGACGCCCTATCTCGTCCACTTCAACCATCCCTGACGGAATGGATGTTACACCAGAAGTGTTCCGGTTCGTCATACAGTCAGTAGGATCTCCGCTGATAGACCTGTTTGCAAGAAAGTTCAACAAACAACTACCAACATTCGTCTCACCGATTCCGGATCCTCAGACATGGGCAACAGAAGCTTTAAGCATCTCATGGGAAGGACAAAATGCTTACACGTTTCCACCTCCAGCACTATTACCACAAGTATTAAGAAAATCAACCAGACGACAACGTTGCAACTGATTTGGTCGCGCCCTATTGGCCAGCGAGGGTATGGTTTCCCATCCTCATACAAGAACTCGGAAGTCCAACCCTGAAACTACCAGAGTGGTCGAACCTGCTCGTCCATCCACACACCAAGCAAGCTCACGGGAATCCGGCATTGTTCCAGCTACACGCGTGGAGCGTATGAAAGCTTGCCTAAAGACTAGAGGGTACTCCGCCAGAGCAGCGAAAGCAGTAACACTAGCTCTACGCAGATCAACTCGCAACTTGTACGACGACAAGTGGCAGAGATTTGAACAGTATGCAATGAGGAAAGGCTTTACGGCAGTGAAAGGAACCCATCCTCAAGTGGCGGAATACTTGTGTCATTTGCGACAGACAAGACACTTAAAAGGTCTCTCAACGTACCTGCCTGCTCTCAGCACAGTTATCACCATGAAGACGGGTGTCGAGTTGACCAAAGTACCAGAGATACTGGCACTATTACGCTCGTTCGAGTTGGAAGACCAACAATAGAAATTCAAGGCTCCTGCCTGGGATCTCAACATAGATCTACAACATCTCACTAGTGATGCCTACGAGCCTCTGGAACGGACATCCTTTGCACTACTGACACAGAAAACGCTGTTTCTGATCACCCTAGCAACAGCAGCACTGATGTCAGAAATGCATGCTCTGGATGAACGAACACGATTTGAAGCAAGACATTGTGACATCGTACATCTTCGACTGAGATGGGGTTTTATTGCCAAGAACCAGCCTGACAGACAGTTCCACATCCCAGCACTTTCTACCGTCCTTAGGCCACAGGATACACAGGATTTATTCTTATGCCCTGTCAGAGCATTGAAAGTCTACCTACAAAGGACAAAACAAGGAGACAAAAATTCAAGCCTATTCATCCCCTTATACCACTAGGGTATGTTATGTCCATTGTTCTGGCAGGTTGATTTTCTGTGTATCAACCTTCTATCTGCGCGTGCAGAGGTTGATATGTGGATAACAACCTTGGCAGTGCAGGAAAGCGCCGCGTGCAACAAGCAATGTCACGAGTCCATTCGAGCCGCTTCGTGGTATAAGTAGGTTAGCACCCCTCTGCGGGTGATATGGATTCAACGAAATCCATATCACCCTTGAGGAGGGTGCTAACGATGATACTTATCCACTGAGACGCCCGAAAAGTCTCTAGGACAACTATATCAGTCTGGATGAGAGCCGTCATACTAAGGGCCTACAAAGCAGCAGGACTTGAGCCTCCACGAGCCTCCAATCCCCACGAAGTCAGAGCCTTGGTGTCTACACTTGCTCTGCGTGGAAACTGCTCAATTGCAACAATAATAGAGGGCTGATTTTGGAAATCGGACACAGTGTTTGCCAACCACTACCTCGGAGACATTGCCACCGAAGACGTCTCAGGCATTCACCAGTTTGGGCCACTTGTTGTAGCAGAACAACTAACAGCTCCACAAAGGCGCTGAGAAAAATCTCACCCTTTATCACGTGACTTGTGAAAACCAACGCTCTGGAGAGCAAATGGTTAAAGGAAAGACTAGCATGAGTTATAGACCCTGTACTTGTATAGGACTTACTCGTACATAAAGAAGGGTCACATCTCCACTTGATGCACGCATCAAGAGATGGAGTTGCAATAGATAACTAATGGAACATTAGTATATCTAAAATCCACACGAAAATGTCAGAAGTTTGGAAGAAATCTGACAAGTTGTAGTTCCCCCCGACTCATCAGATGGAAGTTGGAAGAACAGAATCATCAGCAGTGCTGTCATAAGTTCCCATGGGGGGTAATACAGGACGTAAATCAACAGCCAGAGAATCCAGATGTTGCCTGACCCACTATCGATTCCGACAGATTCTGCAAGCATTTAGCATGAGTCAGGATAAGGAAAAATATGTAATTTTCTGACTAAAATTGATATTTTATACTTATCCTGACTCATGAGTTCAGCCCTCCCAACCTCCCCTCTTAGGGCACTCTGGATTTCCCTGTAAATCCGGGTATCGGGCGTGCAAACGGAGAGAGTGACAAACATAGTTGGTCATGTGACCAAAAAGGGCGCCAAAGGAGGCAAGGGAAACTACTTGTGGGTGAGTGAGGATTTTACGTCCGCTTTTTAGAAGGGAACTTCAAGGGATTTCAAGTGTTCCACTATCATTCACAAAAAGAAGAAGGAGACAAGCATTTAGCATGAGTCAGGATAAGTATAAAATATAAATTTTAGTCAGAAAATTGCATTATTCTTGATTAGTTACAAAGTATTTTGCAGTTTCACTTGTACACAAAACTCATCTGCTTCAACGTAAGCATCTTGACATCTTGCTTCATGTTAAATATGGAAGTCGAAAGGGAAATGAAACATGTTCTTGCAGACCTGTATTAATTTTGAACCCTGTTTACGGCTGTGTAATACTTCTGGGGTACAACTACTTTCACTCATTCTTGCAACTAATTCATCCATGTTTGTGGGTGGTTGGGTAGCCTAGTGGTTAAAGCGTTCGCATGTCACGCCGAAGACTCGGGTTCGATTCCCCACATGCGTACAATGTGTGAAGCCCATTTCTGGTGTCCCCCCACCATGATATTGCTGGAATATTGCTAAAAGCAGTGTAAATCCCAACTCACTCACTCACTCCTCCATGTTTCTCGGGTTGTCAGTTCTCGCTGTGGATATGTTGGACCTTAAAACTCGGGGCCTTCCTTCCACATCAAAATTACACTCCACGTTGTATATGAAAAGCTGTTCAGTCAGCCTGAAACTTCAATCACTCTATTGCAGCAACTTGCAGAACACAGAGCGTGGTAAGAAGATTAACGCAGCAGTAGTCCAGACCGGGAAGTACATGGTGCAGACAGGCAAGGCTGTAGGTAGGTCCACCACATACAGATGTCCTTCCACTGTAGATTCCACACCCTTAGGATACCCTTGAAGATCGGATTTAGAATTGGTGTTCAGTAATCCATACAGATGTGACTAACGGGATCTGGTGGTCAGGCTTGCTGACTTGGTTGACACATGCACACACTCTTTCCCTAAATTGTTTTGGTTTGGTTCAGAACATTTTAATATTCAAATATTGATGACCAAACAAATTATACTTGACTCATGGTTTGGGCGAAAGTTATTATTTCTGTTTCCAAAGTTACAGCAACTGAATGGTTTCAATGAGAATGATATGATTGTGCATTTTGCCACTAGTTTGGATGCCCAAATAAAAGTAGTTTGCTGCTACATTCATACTAAAATTGTACAGAGTTGAAATGTTTATTAAACAGGTCACCCACTTACATGTCATTCATAGCTGATTTTTTTCCACCAGGGGGTGCTATAAGCAATGCACGATCAGCCCTGTCATCATGGTTTAGTGGTTTCTCCTCGGAGAAGTCCCAGATGTCGCCATCAGAGTCAGCGGAAACCGTGTCCGAGCCGGAGTCCAGCTAACACTACCCCACCTCTCTCCAAACATGGGATTTTGTTCTTGTTTATGCATATTAACTTGTACTGAGGTCTGCTCACGGGGTTGTTTACATGGGCAAGAGGTATTGTTGATGTTGACTTCTTTCACGAGATTTGTTCAAATGTCGTTGCTGTATGCCACTTGGAATTATTACAAGTTGCAGTGTTGTGACATATGGTTTGGTACAGCATGGGAAGATCAAAGATGCAGTAAAGCCTCTATTCCATAGTTCTTTTAACGTATAGAAATTGATGAATGTCGAACTCTGCAAATTCTGACACATTCTTCTCAGAGAAAATTTCCAGTGGCCCGTTCCACAAAGCGATCGTAGCGCTAAGGTGATCGTAACTCCCATACTTTAACACAGAGTTACGGCTGTCATAGCACTAAGGTGATCGTAACTCCCATACTTTAACACAGAGTTACCGCTGTCATAGCTCTAAGGTGATCGTAACTCCCATACTTTAACATAGAGTTACGGCTGTCATAGCGCTAAGGTGATCGTAACTCCCATACTTTAACATAGAGTTACGGCTGTCATAGCGCTAAGGTGATCGTAACTCCCATACTTTAACAAAGAGTTACGGCTGTCATAGCGCTAAGGTGATCGTAACTCCCATACTTTAACACAGAGTTACGGCTGTCATAGCTCTAAGGTGATCGTAACTCCCATACTTTAACACAGAGTTACGGCTGTCATAGCACTAAGGTGATCGTAACTCCCATACTTTAACATAGAGTTACGGCTGTCATAACACTACAATAGCTTTGTGGAACAGGGCCCAGCCGTACACATTTTCATGTTAACAAATCTTTGGTGCATACCAATGTTACTTAAAAGTCAAGCTGATGCTCCCACTATTAAAAGTCCAGGAAGTGATGAGTCTTGATTAACAGGCCCCAGGCCTCTATTCCTCAAAGCGATCTTAGCGCTATGACTCCGTGAGCCTGTGTTAAAGTGTCAGAGTGACAATCACCTTAGCGCTAAGATTGTTTTGTGGAACAAAGACTCACAACAATCAGTATAAGCAGTGCTGGCTGGTCATGAAGTCGGACTCACATTGAGCACTGTGGAAATACAGCACTTTTTTTTATTCACGTATGAAACCAAGCCAAAGAAGGCTATCAGAGCAGATTGTGTCATATTTTTTGCTTTGAGTTAAAATGTTCCTCACTCAAAAGGGACAATGGTAAATGTGTGAAGCCTATTTCTGATATCCTCTGCCATGATATTGTAAAACACTGTGTGAATCTGCACCCACTGACTCCATGCTGTGATATTGCCAAGGCACAAACCTCACTTTACACCTTGTTTAATTAAGGTCTTAGTTTCATGCAACCAGGGCCCTGGGCCTTCTTTCACAAAGCACTAAGGTGATCGTAAGTCACTAAGGTAACCTTAGTACAGTGTTATAGAATGGGAGTTAAGGTTAACCTTAATATAGGTTGCTTCGTGAAAGCAGCCCTTGGACCTTGTCCGCTGGAATATATCTGCTAGTTCTTGTCATACAAGATCTCAACCGTATACAGATACAAGATCTCACACTCTCCATAATAACGATTGTGGCACTGGGGATGTGCTCAATAATTCTGTAATTTGTTACTCCTGATTCGATTGACTGGTGTACCAGCTAACCATTTTGTTATACTCCTTGACAAGTGTAGTGTTGGAATACAGTCACAGAGACAACTCAGTACATTTATATCAAACTCAGAATGGGACCTAAGTTATTGTAGAAACCATTCTTCATGCCAGACAACACTGATCAAGGATTTTAAGCTAGGATCTGCCCTGACTATAATTCTTGTTATAGTTGCACCAAACACCTGGTTTCATCCGAATGGTAAACCTGCTGGACTTCAGGTTTTGTCTTTCATGAATCACTGTTGAAAATGGCATTAAACTCACTGTCCCTCAGCTGAATCTACTTGGGGAAGTTTACGCCATTTTTTGTTTACTCTGGCGAGGGTTAGGGTTAGGGTCAAGAAGTCAGGGACCCGTAAAGTGCAGGTGTCCCTCTACTTGTTATCCAGCTACTAAAGCAGATAACATTAAAGCCTACTCTCCCTCACTCAGACGATTGCGTAGATATTCCTAGTGAGAGACAACCAAATGTATTGGGTGGTCAGGCTTGCTGACTTGCTTCATGACATTTCTTCCTACACAGAGCATGTGGATCTTTGCTCACGATAACAGTTACTAGATCCTCTGGTCCAGAGAAACATTTATGGCGGCCTTCATATAGCTGAATATTGCAGTGTAGCAACGAACACACTCAGACGATGTGAGAGAAGGCAGTCAGTTAATCTGTAGGAAGATGAGGTAGTGACGATGTATGTCCTGCTGTTGTGGGCTCCTGAACCACCATGTGCCTGTCCCCTGTCACTACGCTACAGTGCACATACAGCAACATCCACTCGCTTGCATTCCATGACTCTACCGGCATTTAAAGGGACATCTTCTTTTATGGAACCAAAGACTTTATGCTAATTCTAAAGGCCACAACTGAAGTGCCAAGTCCCCACATTTCCTGTGGAGGGGATTTTGGTACACCCTGTTATTCCCGCCCTGGCCAAACAAATGTTTGTGTCACAGATTTCTTCAGTATTACTGCTGTTGTTGAAGAGAAATTATTATAATCTTGTCCATCTCCTCAATGAATTCCAAGAAGATGAAATTAAAAGGTAAAAAACAATAAAATATTTATATAAGTTTGATAAACATTGTATATTGTGAATCTTTTATCTTGGCACCCATGCCATATCATGACACACACCTATACTCATGGAAACAAATAAGGGGACACATGAAAGTGTAAGTGTTTGTTTATTCTTTCCAGGTTTCTTCACAAGGTATGTATTGCTCTGTGAGTGAAAATCTGAAGTAAATAAAGCAACACTTGTACTTTCATGTGTTTCCTTATTCATTTCGATGAGTATATTAACATCGAAAGTTAGTATAAAATTTAGAGATTTCCAGCCCAGTAAGATGCACATCAAGCACTCCTCCTCACTTCATTATGTTTTGTGATCTGCCTGTGATTACTTACCATTTTCTATACCAGGTGTTTTGTAAATAGGATTTAATCGGCTTGCTAAAGAATGGGGAGGTTGTCTGTGCTTGGCGCACTTACCAACTCTTTACTGTACTTCACACGTAGGTTCACCCCACACTGACAAGACTCTCGTCAATGAGGAAACTATGTGTTTGTGTCCATGTATTGGATAAGATTGTGCAATAACTTGTGTTTCCTCAACTTATGTGTCCAATGATGTCATGTGGTGTGTGCCATTCCCTTCGTTACCTTCAATCATTATGTTGAATCCAAGTGTTGTTTAATATTTGACCTAATTTAGCACAATCATGGTTTTCATTGCAGATTGTGGTTGATTGTTTCTGATCTTTGTCAGTGTAATTCTACTTGTGATTGAGATGTGATGACAGATTGAGAAGTGATGACAGATTGAGAACAGCATTAGAGACAGTGTAGTGACCCAACCTGCATTCTAGGTCACGGTTTTACGCGATGCAGAAATGTGTGTCCAGGGCCTAGATTTTCGAAGCTCTCTTAGCTCTAAGGTAGTCCTAAGTGCCATACATTGACATTAACTTACGACTATCTTAGCGCTAGGAGAGCTTCGAAAATCTAGGTCCATTTAGCACAAATGTGGAGAATGGACGCAGAAACCCCCAAATACTGCACTGTAAGAGATCCACAAAAATACTTACCTTGCATCAGTAGTGATCTGTGTCTGTGTCACTCATCCATCATGATCACTGTCCACATGACCACTAAGTCATTCCAGACGCTGAAGAGATTATCTGAACGTACTCTACACCATATCAGTACTTCACAGGACACTCACATTACCAGCAAGCACCTGTAACATTTATTGATAGAGGTCCACTGGATCCCCACTTTTCAACGTCAAGGTAAAACCCTACTACGTTAATTTGATATTTCAGAGGTTGTATCCGTGGAGAGAGTAATACGCTTGATACAGATACTAAAAACACTCAAACACTCAACTGAGAAATAAGAAGTCAAAATCTAAAAGTCAGCTGTGTCCAACAAGTTTTCTGTGGATGGTCTGAAGCTTTATGAGGACATATGAGTGTAATTGCATCGTCATATGAACAGTCCATCTCTGTACTCAGACAAAATACAGCATAATATATAATACCTACATATCTACTTAGTGGACTCGCACCAAGGACCCATGAAGATACAGCTTAGAACTCATCTTTAGTAACCCATGGTTGTCGTAAGAGGGTGGTCAGGATCGCTGACTTTGTTGAAGCATGTCATTGTATCCCAATTGTGTAGATCAATATGCATGATGTTGATGACTGGATTATCTGGTCCAGACTTGATTATTTGCAGACCGACGCCATATAGCTGGAATATTGCTGAGTGTGTCATAAAACTAAACTTACTCACTCACACACCAAGGTGAGCGTCTTCCTGTTTGTAACTTGACTGTGTTAGGGATTCAAGCTAATCATGTCCTTTGTCAGCCTCTTACTAAGGTGATGAATGTCTGCATGTTGCATCGTTCCTCCCAGGTAAGGCTGGCACTCTTATGTGTAACTTAAATAATGTTCAAGACAGTGTCAAACCCAAATAAATTAGACCTCATGGGAGAGCATGACTGGTCTAGTTGTCTTCCTTAATCACCTCTCACACTGAGTTAACATCTTTATACCAAAACCCAGCTCAGCATCACCTCTCACACTGTGTTAACATCTTTACACCAAAACCCAGCTCAGCATCACCACTCACACTGAGTTAACATCTTTACACCGAAACCCAGCTCAGCATCACCTCTCACACTGAGTTAACATCTTTACACCAAAACCCAGCTCAGCATCACCTCTCACACTGAGTTAACATCTTTACACCGAAACCCAGCTCAGCATCACCTCTCACACTGAGTTAACATCTTTACACCTAAACCCAGCTCAGCATCACCTCTCACACTGAGTTAACATCCTTTACTCCAAAACCCAGCTCAGCATCACCACTCACACCAACCGTGTTGCAGGTGCAACTCTCGTACCAACCCCAAACTACTGTCCACTCACACCATCCCAATTAACCACTAGGGAATAAGAGTGAGATTAGAGATGACCCAATGGATTGGGTGGTGAGACTTGTGACCTGATCGATTGTATGTCATGATGTCACAGTTGTGTAGATGGATACTCATGATGTCAATCACTGGATTGTCTGGTCCGGACTTGTTTCATTCAGACTAAAGTCCTACGCCTCGGACATTACTCAGTATGACATTAATAAACAAGCAGACCATCCCAAAATACAAGATGAAGATCAGGTCAAGAAATGAAAGTTGCGTGTATATGAAGATAGGATACACTTAACCTTGACTGTATCCTGAATGGCCTTGACCTTCTTCAGTGCGATCCCGTTGAAAGGGTAGTTGTCATTACTCTTTAGCTATATGAATCACATTAATACTACAATAAAACCAGACAGGTGGTTACCACTGGAGGAGATATTGTTTGTGGTCTTGTATTTATGTACGATATATTTGTTTAAAGTGTATTTAGTCATAATTACAACATTCCTGCTATAGAAGGATATGTGCTTTAATGCATTTCATGTACTTATGGTTTTGTACTTTTCATCAGTATGTATATTTGTTGTATTTGATGTGTGTACATTCTCACTGAAATGACTCAGATATTCCTGTACTCTGATATCAGACCTCTCTGCATGAAAATCTGTGGACACCACCACAGACTGCTGTATCACCAGAACCTGAATCTTCCATGGATTCTTCGGACAGGCAGGTGTTAACTTTTTTTCAAAATTTGGCTTCATTTCTTTAAAGTCCATTAGAAATTTTGTTCTGTGATGAAATCTGTTTACCATAAAAACTTCAAAGCACAAATGGCTATATATGACTGTTGAGTTTAGTTTTAAAAAATATTCCAGCAATATCAATGGCGAGGGGACACCAGAAATGGGCGTTGTGCCCATGATGCTAAAGCTTTTAACAAATGATACCCCACGCCCTGCTATATATGAAATATCTATAACAAATAATACTTGGAGGAATATATTTTCATTCTGATTTTTTCAATCATTTTCTTTCTCAAACTGAGAATTTTGAAAGCTCAACACTGGTTGTTTAGAAACTTCACCTGTGTCTGTGTGGGTGTTCTCAGATCTTCTCATAGAGTGAGGTTTTGTGTGATGTGATTTTATTGAGACTGATTGTGACATTACCTAAACCTTATATTGCTGCCTTATATGCAGTAGTTTCATATTTTTGGTGTGTTCTGAGTTGTATGTAAAACAAGATTTAATACTGATTTTTTGTGGGGAGTTAAGGATAGTTAGGGAGAAAAACAATTACTGGTACTAGTTGGTTTGTTCAGTGATATTTTTGGTTATGAAGTAAGTTGTTTGAGTTGTTTAGCAGGAAAAAGTGAATGCTAATTTTTACGGTCTTCAGAGTAACATGAAGACTCGGCACCAATGGGCATCGATCATTCTGCTAGAGAAAGTTGACATGATGGCCGCAAGCTTGATTAAATAAACAATTATACATTGATAAATGTGTTATTAATTCATACTTTACTTCTAACAAAAAAAATATTTAAAAAAAAGAATACCTACGTACCTACCCTAAATTTTAAAGAGGTGTAATCGGAACATCTTTTTTATTTGGCCTGAGATTCAAAAGAGTGCATTTGCTCAATTATTGTCTTTTGAAGTTAAATCATTTTAGTTTTCTAATCCAATATAGTTCTAATCTGAAATAGTGAGGACTGAAAAATAATAAAATCTAACCACACCTATTTATATTTCTTTTGGTGTACATCAGCCAAATTCATATGGTCAGTAAAATCTGGAAAAGAGAAAAATGTAACGGTATTGCTACATGATGCTGTAACATATGTTATATTTGGGATTAAACCTTCTCAGGAAATTATGGCATTATGGAATTTCTTCATGGGTAACTATGGCTCAGTAGATTGTGCTTTAGACGACACGTGATTTGATACTCAACAGATTGTAAACCAGGTCCAGAGCTCTGGCCTGATGATACCTTAGTCAGCTATTATAATAAATACTTCGGGTAACCATGGTAACACAAAATGTACAATTGTGGAAGATTGGATGTACAGATCACTTAGGATGTTGTCCAGAACAACAGTGATAGTGAAATGGGTTGGAATGGGCTGTTGTTTAGACAGAGAGGAAGAGATTAACCTTCATAATGTAAAATAGGATTTGATGATAGGATGCAAGTTAACAACACAGTATAAGCTCAGGCAGGTAACCTTGCTTGATTGTTCAAACCCAGCTTCTGACTGAGAGATTCAGGAAATATTAAAAATTTATATGCAGCATTACCAAGGACTTGGAGTGAAATAATGAGACAGGATTTTTCCACTGTCACACATTTCCATTCCCCCATGTCTGGTTGTAGAGAAAACAGTACACTAACATCTACTCTCCGAAATGAACATATTTTACAGAAAAAACTGTTCATAGAAAATAATCAAAGTATTATGTACAGGAGCAAAAAAAAAACTTTCTTCATTTCAAAGATCTAGACTTGCATGGGCTTTCTTGGATATATTTGTGTCAGGGTCTGTATGACAGACATGTTTGTTCAAAGACTGGTAGTAGGCGATCTTGTAACACGCCGTTAAGAGTTACTTCCCTTGTATGTCAATTCACTTTTTGATTCCTACTTGAAATAGAAGAAGTAAAATGACTTAAGTACATCTTAGATGCATTCACTAATTTAATTAGTAAATTTTAATCAGCAGATATATAAACATAATGTTTAGGAATTTATATTATTTAAGAGCCTTGATCAAATACTGCACTGGAAAGGTTGGTAATACATAGTGGTGTGTACTATGACTTACCAGATAGACTGTGGAAGAGTGACATTTTTAGTACTGTGGATACCAAGTTCTATCACATGCAGATCTCTAAAATAGATCCAGTATTTTCTTAAAAATGATTTCAGTGTGTTATTTTTTCCACATTAATGTTGGTAACATATTTCGTATCACAGTCCATAGTGACATTTTCCATGTATTTAAGACGTCATTCTTGTAGGGTAGTTATGAATATTTTCTATGAAATGGTCTCCCATCTTAAGTGAAATTAAATGTTATCTCCCTTGTATGGTGGTCGTCATGGTGATGTGCATTAATGTTCTAATATATATTTACAAACCTACATTCTGGTTAGTCGTGTGGTCGAATGAGTAATGCTGACCTGTTTATAATGAAGAATAAGTGAAATTATGACCATACATTAATGAATTTGTGGGAGTAATTTTGGAATGGTGTTTGTGGTTCTGCCTTTGGCACTGTTAGATTTTCATCAGATTTCAATTTATTGATGTGTTATCATGTTATAATTGTTGAAGTTTAATGTGATATATTAATATATTTCCCAAACTTGTCAATATTTCCTGTATGTCCTGTGATACACTAAATAAAACATTTTAATGCCTTGTGCATTTTTTTTTTTTATATTGAAGGTGTCAAGAATGTTTGTTTGTTATTTAACACTGCTTTGTGCAACTTTCCAGCTTTATGATCAAGTCCGGCCCAACATCATTCTGTGCAATTCAGATACAATGACATGTATCAACCAGGTTATAACCTGGGTCCCTATCCACATAACATTCATAGCACTACAACATTACCATGCCTATGATAAACTACTGAGTTACGACAGGTCATAGCGCTACAACATTACTACGCCTATGGTAAACTATTGAGTTACAACAGGTCATAGCCATTACTACCACAACATTACAACAGGTCATAGCCTTATGGTAAACTATTGAGTTACAACAGGTCATAGCGCTACAACATTACTACGCCTATGGTAAACTATTGAGTTACAACAGGTCATAGCGCTACAACATTACTACGCCTATGGTAAACTATTGAGTTACAACAGGTCATAGCGCTACAACATTACCACGCCTATGGTAAACTATTGAGTTACAACAGGTCATAGCGCTACAACATTACCACTTTATGGTAAACTATTGAGTTGAGGTTACAACATTACCACTCATAGCTATTGAGTTACAACAGGTCATTACCATTACCACACCTATGGTAAACTATTGAGTTACAACAGGTCATAGCTGTTACCACGCTACATGGTAAACTATTGAGTTACAACAGGTCACAGCGCTACAACATTACCATGATAAACTATTGAGTTACAACAGGTCATAGCGCCACAAATGCTATTACTATTGGGCCTAGGTGATAGCGCTTACAAATGCTTTCTGGGGGCGTAGCCTAGTGGTTAAAGCGTTGGCTTGTCATGCCGAAGACCCGGGTTCGAATCCCCACATAGGTACAATGTGTGAAGCCCATTTCAGGTGTCCCCCGCCGTGATGTTGCTGAAATATTGCTAAAAGCAGCGTAAAACTAAACTCAGTCTGTGAGACAAATGCTTTACAGATCAGGACCCAGGACCCAGGGCCTCTTGGGGCAGTGGCGTAGCCTAATGGTTCAAGCGTCCGCTCATCACGCTGAAGACCAAGGTTTGATTCCCCACTTGTGTACAAGTGTGAAGCCCATTTCTGGTGTCCCATGCCATGATATTGCTGTAATATTGCTAAAAGCAGCAGAAAACCTCACTCACTAGAGGCCTCTTTGGACAAGCAAAGCATGGGTTGCTGAGGACCAATTCTTCACAGCTCTTCTATACCAAAGGAGCAACAAGACTTGATCTGGTTGTCAGGCTAGCTGCTTGTCAATCATCATTGTATTACACTGTCACTGGACAGTGTGTTGATTATCAAACTGTGGTTTGTCTGGTCCAGACCCGAAGGTTTTACCTGACATCATTGGAAGTTCATCACAAGAATCAGAGATCTGGCACAAACGATGGTAGTTTTGATTTGCATATTTGTAATGTGGCAAAACCACACCCTGAATCATACTCAACATGTATTGCTGATTCAGTAGAGTGAGTGAGTTAGTTTTGTGCCACTTTTAGCAACATTCCAGCAATATCACGACAAGGAACACCAGAAATGGGCTTCACACATTGTACCCAAGTGGGGAATCAAACCCGGGGTCTTTGGAGTGACAAGCAAACGTTTTAACCACTATGCTACCCCATCACCCCTGACTGAGTAAGTAGAGGGCAGTGACATGCTGGCTACTCTAATTAGACTGGGAGACAACACTTATATGGACATTTCTAGGCTTTTTGGAAACTTTCACTGTAGTCGTTTCCCAGAGAGAGAAAAATCAAGAAACTGTTTTTCAACTTGATGATCGACAAATAACTGCTAAAAGTAACCTTAAAAAGCATCTTATCCCTCAACTGATGGAAACAACAAAAACAGCATGTGATAATTATACGTTTATTTCATACAAAATTTTCTTTCAAGGTGAACCCATACATCATTTGGCCCTACTTGTTGTTAGATGTTCTGTTCAGGACAGCCTTGGGAGACTTGGAAGAGTAACTTCTTTGAGTGGCATTGAGAAGTTGGGATGATGAACAAAGGGGATAGTTCAGTGGACATACATCCTCTTTATTACCATATATGTGATGTTTCAGTGTAGACGCTAATACCATTATCAAGCAAGTGATGAACAGCACTGTAGGTAAAGCATTTATACACGTAGGTAATAAGAAAATAAAATTACGTTATCTGTGACTGGTTGTCTTTGTGTCAGTGATTCTTGACTGAACTACTTCATATCACTTGATTCAAATAAAACATGTAAAAAAACAGTGATTAAATAATTCTATCAGCAAACACCATGATGTGACTTGACCATTATTGACCATCCTATACTGATCAAAATATGTTAGGGATCATGGAAATATTTTGGGTTACTTTTTTTAAATTGCATGTGTTCACTGCAAAAACAACATTCCTACATATATTTGTTTTCAGTATAAAACATACATATGATATGGGATAAACAAGTGATCAGAAATGTTAATAAGCATTTGTGGCCCAGAGACCTGATTTCTGCCAATAGACGTTTTAAAAAAAGAAATTCTTGCAACACATACTTCATACAACTGCACGTCTTCAAACATAAATACCACAAAAACATAAATATCATGAAAACAAATGGTTAAACGTATCCATAACACTCAGTCTGTTTCAAAATCTTGGTCCATAAAAGCTAAACATGGTGTGAAACCGACATGGTGTGAAACCAACATGGTGTGAAACCGACATAATGGAACCATGTTTCCATGACAACTAAATCCCTGGTATCAGTACGCAGGGAACAAGGAACGTTTGTGAATGTTAATCAATTCATAATGTGATACTAAATTATACCATGTGAATTGTTTTTCAATGAACAAACATCTTCAGGACTTTTCATTGCATATTGATATTTTTCTTGATTATTGATTGTGTGAAGGGAGGTAACTGCCTATAACTCTCCAGTTTCCATCCTTGCCAAACTAGGCACAACCACTGGTTATTACTAGTTACAACCCTTCTATGTCTCCCTATTGACCAATCAGATTCCAGCTCCTAAATTATGGGATTCTACATTTTATACAAACAAAGGCAGCACTGTATCAAAATGAATGAATCAATATTCAAGATCAATAATCTAAAAAACACATCTTATCTCCTACAGTGTAACTCTATCCAACATAAAACTCAGAAATTCTGGTCTATTTCACCAAGGGTGGACTTTCATGGTCAGTCAACTCCCCTGACTCAGGGAAACTCATCCAAAACAGCAGTCAGTAGATTTCATGGACATTTTCATCCAATCACATTGCAGTGCCCACACCTATTCACAAACTTTCACAATAAAAGGTTAAGACATGTAGCTGTGTTACCAGTATACTGAAAGTATGGAACATAGCTTTAGCTTTTCACATTAACAAAACAGAAGCAAATGTAAAATCTCTCGACACAAATGAATCCCAAGAAATTCAACAAAGATCACAAACAAAGCGACAATGGACTGCTCAGGGCACAGACAATTCTTGCTGAACAATCTAATTTTTGCTTCATGATGACTGCCAGGATCATTACAATTATGATATTGTTTTCCCTGTTTGAGGAAGTGCCAAGTAACTGAAAATGATGTCATCAACTGTTATGAAGTCACACATGATTTCATGTGATATTGTTGCAACAATAGAGTTACTTTACTCATGTCTCCACTAAAAATAAGAAAACCCTTACTATAGATACATTGTTTTGTTTTTTTTCAGCAAAAAACAACAACTAAGGATTACATTCAGAATAACCTATATCAATCAGGAAATAGGGCGAAAGAGTTGAAACTACTTGTTACGTTCTTCTACCGTCACAGGGATACTGTCTGTTGTGCAGCATTAACTGCTGTAAAATGTAGTACTCAACAGTGTCACCATAGAGACAAACACAGTTTATTTTACAGCTGTCTTAAAACAAAAATATACACAGCCAAGTTTACTGAGACTTAAATCTCTAGAGCTTTTGCTTTTTGAAACAAATTACATCACAGCCAGATACTCCTTACATCCTTTCACTTGTGAAGACTTCTATCTACACCGGTGTCTTCACTCAGTTCCATGATGTCATCGTATCCCAATTATGTAGATTGATGCTCATGCTGTTGATCACTGGATTATTTACAGACCGCTGCCATATGGCTGGAATATTGCTGAGTGCGGTATAAAACTATACTCACTCACACCATGATGTCACTTCAGATTCATTAATTTATAATGAAAAAGGTTCAGTAAATATGAAAAACAAATGAATTTGAAATTCATTTCCACAATAGCACAAAGGTCATGATATTGATGTTTGTTTACAAAAGTACAGATTGTCACAGTATTCACGAGGAGGTCCCTCCACAACTGACTATATTCTCTGAACATTCTGTACTTAACATGAGGTGAGAGTTACATTATACGATAAGATTACATCATGTATGCCCACATTTCTCTTCGAAACATGTCAATAAACTAATTCGTGACTAACGGGATCGGGTGGTCTGGCTCGCTGACTTGGTTGACACATGTCATTGTATCCCAATAGCATAGATCGATGCTTATGCTGTGAATCACTGGATTGTCTGGTCCAGACTCGATTATTTACATAGCTGGACGATTGCTGAGTGTGGTTTTAAACATGAAAACCAACCAACTAATTCGAAAACAAATGAAATATACTGAACAACATTATCAACGCACCACCCATATAATACGAAATATCCCTGTCAGACTGAAATGGACCCATGATATCTGAGCATCGTCAGTGCATTTTAGTGTGGTGCGTTTCTAATGTTGTTCAGTATAATATGCTTGAAATACTAATGAAGAAACTTTATCGCAGTACCTTTGAAAAATACTTCAATATTATGTTTCTTTCTCTTGTCAGCAAAGTTTAAGTAAACAAGTGACAAGCGAAATTTAAATTATGAAAGCTGAAAATTACCAACTGTTTCCTGTGATCGAAAATAAAAAACCCATTTGGAATTAGTTTTGCTGGATATAATGTGAATACAAACTTGGCTATGGCCTTGAAGATGACCTTGACCCTTTATGTAATTTGAATATTTGTCATTTCACATTGCACTCAGCAATATTCCAGTGGTCTGTAAATATTCAAGTCTGTGCCAGGCAATCCAGTGATCAATAGCAAGAGCATCCATCTACGTAACTGGGACACGATGACAGGGCTCCAGATAATTTTTCAACATCAGCAGTACGTACTCCTTATGTTTTCAATATAGGAGTACTGGAAAAACTTCAGAGTACATTTAGAGTACTGAATGGAATTTAATGGCGTATCATTAATCTTGTGTTTCATTTCATATATGCACCACAACATTGCTACTCTTGTGTAAACAGGTTAATAAACAATAAAACAATACTTTTTCAGATAAATACGTCTGTAAATGATTTTAAGACCGTACACTATCGCTGTGGTGCGTATCTGCTACGTTTTCTAAATTATTTCCTACCGTATCGTGCATATTTTTTATCCGTACATACGCCGATACGGCCCTTATCTCTAGCCCTGCGATGACATGTGTTAACCAAGCCAGCAAGTCTGACCTCCCGATCCTGTTAGATGCTTCTTACGACAAGCATGAGTTGCTGAAGACCAATTCTAACCTGGATCTTCACAGGTGTGACCTTTCATATGTTATGTATTCAAATAACATAGCAACTCCAACTAAGACTTAATTATTATCTGCACAGAAAGCATTCTAGTTAAGGTAGATCTACTCAACAAATTACTTTCACTGTGTCCTTTTGTAAATATACACAGCCATTAATTAAAAACAGAATCAGAAACTTTTCCCATTCTGTCCTGCATTTCTGTCATATCCAAACAATGACTCGAAACAATCCAACACAAGGTATCAAGCAATCTCAGAGGTTACTCATGTCATATCTTCCTATGTTCTAATATGGCCCTTTCATGGTGCGAGTGTTCAGGATTCGTGATTGGTTGCAGTCAGATTTAGAATTGCAATCAGCGACGTTGTTTTAAAAGTGATCGTTCACAAAGCCTCGGTAATTTCCGTATGCTTCAAGAAACTTAGAATTTCTTCCCCTGCGCGATGCGCAAACGTTTCTTCTAGACAGAACTCAGTCATGTAATGGCGGATCAATGGCGTCTCCATCGCCCTCGTCGACAATGGACAAGCCATTAAATGTCTTGTGTGTCACATCAACAGAAAGAAGGGAGATAATTTGTGTGGCGATTTTTTGCTGCCAGGGAATTTTACAAAAAACGGGAAATATGGTCGTATAAGAGCAGAGTGAGGTTACGTGTGAAGATATGACATGAGTAACCTCTGTGGGAAGAGAATGGGTATCAAGATGAGAATCTCATATCACATATGCACATTCACGACTCCTGTTCATAATACAGCAGCAAAGCTTGGTCTAAGTTCATTCCCGACTTTTCCAAGTACATCCTGGCTTTCTGGACATTGTCAATCTTCATCACCTCGAGGAAATCTGATATAAGACTGCTCATCACCATCTCTATACTGTTATCTTCTGCTTCTACAGTTAGTGACCTTGCAGTAGCTATGTCAAGGTCACTGTCATTATTATTGTTGTTTGCGTTATCTGTTGTGAGGCTCCCTGAATCTTAAAAGTAAAAAAGAATAAGTGAATGACAGCTACAGTTTCTACAAACAATTCATGATTTGCCTGAGCTGGCAGGAAATGAAATCTGTATGAACCAATTGTTCACGATAACTGATGCCTTTTAACACAAAAAAACATGAATTATATGAATCCCGTAAGAAGTTTGAAACATTATTAATCAATCCATAGTAGCAGAGACTTCAGAATAATATTCCAATTCCCAAGACATTAATAATAAATGATTTGCACAGACAGAACTTGTCTTAAGGTCCAGGAATCTATGAGTCAGGCATCTGATCCAATATCATTTTAGAGTTGAGTTGAGTTGGGCTTTACGTCACATCGGCATTATTCCAGCCATATAGTGACGAGAACAAGTCTGCATTAATAGACATTGTAAGTTCAGAGTCAAAATGAGTTGTATTTCAAAAGCATATATTCATTACATTGTCATTTAAAAACAGAAAAAGTCATAGCACTAAATTTTAAAGCAGGCAATTTGTTAGTCACATTACACAGTTACAACTTATGATACAGATCAACTTCCCTCAGGTAGTTCACTATCAGATGAGCGCTCACGCAGGAGAACAGATCATTCATAATGCATCATAGTGTGAGTCCCTTGCAGACGATAAGTCCACACAGTCAAGCAGAATATGCTTGATGGTGAAAACCTCATCGCAAGAGACACACATGGGGGGTCCATCCCCATCCGTTTTCAGCAGATAGTCATATGTAAACCGACTGTGGCCAATACGACATCGTCGTAAAATTACCTCATCACGTCTTGACTGACAACCCAAGTAGGTATAACCAATTGCTGGCTCAATTCATGAAGTTTATTTCTTCCTACTTGAGTGTCCCACCTTTTTTGCATAAGGTCTCGAGTATAGCTTTTGATAGTGGGTTTAAAATCACTGTACGGGATCAGCAGTGGAGATAAGGGCTTGTCAAGAGCTGCTTAAGGTACAGCATCGTTTTAGAAGGAACACCAGTCAGTCTCACCACTCGCATACCTTGTAAAATTTGTTATGAAATATTTTCGAGTATTTGTATACGAATTCAAGAGAGACCAGCAAGAGAAGCAGAGGGGACACATACAGGAAGAAAAAAATGAGAGACACAGACAAAAAAGGAGGCAGACAAGTCAAGAGTGACACTATATAAGATTCCCACTCGGCCAGGGAAGAAGATCCTTCCTGACATACCTCCTCTCGCCTCTGCCTTCACTTTTTCGTCCTCTTCTTCTTCTTTCTTTAAGTACTGGAAGATTCCTTTCGCATTTTCATAACCCTAAAAAAAAGTAACCAGCTGGTTGATCACCATTATCATGAGAGTTTTGAAGCAACCTTTTAGATACCAACTAATGACATCTCAGTGAAATATCATGCATTAGCCCCTGAATTAATCTCACTTGACAAGTAATATAATGAGATACATTCCATATTCACTGAAATATGAGCATTTAGAACGTTTATAGGGTGGCTCTTTTGAAAGTCATAGAGAGTCAGATTTTGTCTTCAACAATTATACGCCAGCAAACACACTCTGTTCAAAGTTCATTTTCAAAACCATGTCAGTAATGGTGACTATGCCATAGAAATACTGCTGTTTTCTGAAAACAAAATTGTAATACACACAAGAAAGTATTGGCATGTAACTGCTTGGTCTTTCAGGGGGCTTATTTTGATTACTTTGCTGATTATATTGTTATTTTCACAATTCAGGTTGGTACATTTTGTTATCAAACCGATGCTAATTACAGTCCGCAATATCCTAGCTCCATCAAGAGTGCCTGACAATAATTATACCTGTTTGTATTCTTTGTTGTTACTGAAGTCTGCATTCAACAATGTTTAAGGTATGTGACAGGTCTGAAAGTATTCAAGTCTGGACCAGACTATTCAGTGATTGACATCATGAGCATCTATTTAAGCAACCAGGATACAATGACATGTGCCAACCAAGTCAGCGAGCCGGACCACCCGATCAAGTTAGTCATCTCTTACGACATGCATTGGTTGCTGAAGACCAATTTTAACCCAGATCTTCATGGGTTTGTTTGAATGTGAATATGGCTGCACTCTGTTGACTACAATAGGGCATTGAAACACGTCACCAAACTTGGCCATCCAATCCACAACAAGTATTACCCAATTTGTGGAGGTGTGTGGTCCTGTGCATACAGCTCAGGTCATAAATCAGTTGAAGTTAAGCAATGTTGAATGCGGAGAGTCCTTGGATGGGTGATCGTGTTTCGCAGCTTGACTCATGAGAGTTTCTAGGACTTCAGTCCTGCCCCACAACGAAGAACATGTGATACATGTGGTCTCATCCTTAGGCAAGTGAGTTTGTTAAAAATTGCCTCTGTTCACCCAGCACAAAGGGACATGTATTTAAGTGTACCAGTATACTATAATGTTCAAACTGGCATCAGTTTGAAGATTCACTGCATTTATTCAAAGCTGTTCCTGTCCACATACCTCAGAGCCAGGTGGACAGGTCACCTTCAACACTCGTCTCCAGACATCACGGTCCTTCTTCTTCTGGGCCTAGAAAATAACGACAAAACTTTCCTCAACTACACAAACATGTCCTTAAATAAATAGACATGTCCTCAACTACACAAACATGTCCTCAACTACACAAACATGTCCTTAAATAAATAGACATGTCCATAACTACACAAACATGTCCTTAAATAAATAGACATGTCCTCAACTACACAAACATGTCCTCAACTACACAAACATGTCTTTAAATAAATAGACATGTCCTCAACTACACAAACATGTCCTTAAATGAATGTCCTCAGACATGTCCTCAACTACACAAACATGTCCTCAACTACATAAACATGTCCTCAACTACATAAAAATGTCCTCAACTACATAAAATGTCCTCAACTACACAAACATGTCCTCAACTACACAAACATGTCCTTAAATACATAAACATGTCCTCAACTACACAAACATGTCCTTAAATAAATAGACATGTCCTCAACTACACAAACATGTCCTCAACTACACAAACAAGTCCTTAAATAAATAGACATGTCCTCAACTACACAAACATGTCCTTAACTACATAAACATGTCCTCAACTACACAAACATGTCCTTAAATTGACGTTCCTCAACTACATAAACATGTCCTTAAATAAATAGACATGTCCTCAACTACACAAACAGGTCCTTAACTACAAATATGTCTTGAACAACATAAAAATGACCTACACATATACCCTTAACGACACAAAGAGGTCCTTAACTACAAAATATTTCCTGAACAACATAAAAATGCCCTACACACACATATCCTCAACTACACAAACATGTCCTTAACTACAAAATATGTCCTGAACAACATAAAAATGTCCTACACACATATATCCTAAACTACACAAACATGTCCTTAACTACAAAATATGTCCTTAACTACATAAATTTAAACAAACAACCAAAATGCCCTCAGCTACACAAACAGGTTCTCAACTACACAAACATGTCATTAGCTACAGAAACATGTCCTTTACTACAAAATATGTCCGTAACAACATAAAAATGCAATACACAAACATATCCTTACGTACACAAACATGTCGTTAACTGTCATCATCTGAACTGTCCCACAGTTGAGATGGGGGTAGATTTAAACTGGGATCACTGTAGACCTCTCCCTCCCCCAAACTCACCTGTCTGTGGAACCACTACAGATCTGGGGCGCTGGAGTAGCCTAGTGGTTCATGCGTTCGCTTGTCATGCTGAAGACCTGGGTTTAATTCCCCACATGGGTACAATGTGTGAAGCACATTTCTGGTGTCCCCAACCGTGATATTGCTGGAATATTGCAAAAGCGGCATAAAACTAAACTCACTCACTCTAGATCCCTCCATTCCCAAAACTTACCTCTGTGGGTCCAGTGTAGACCTCTCCTCTCTCCTCAGCTCGCTTTATACGGATCTCCTCCCGGACCTGTGCGATTCTTTTCATGTGGTCCTCAACACTTTCCTCTGAAGAAAAACAAGCATTTTGTCCAATTTATGAAATAGTGTTTTATTTGTTTGTTGTCTAAGAAGTCTAATGCCACATTTATCAGTTTGTCTAGTTATCGAGGCTGGACCAGACAAGTGACTGACATCATGAGCATCAATCGACTCAATGACTATCATGAATCAACCAAGTCAGCGATTGAGTGAGTATGGTTTTAGCAATATTACAGCAATATCACGACGGGGGGACACAACAAACCTGGAAGTATTGGTGGCATGGCATTAGCAGCTACAGCTCCGCCGACCTCCTCCGGTTCATTGCTGTCTCCAGGCGAGCCCTGGCGTTGGAATGTGATGATATACTCTATCATGGCTCGTCGGTTCTCATAGATTACATATTCATTGAAGTCAATTGGTCGACCCTGCAACAAAGATCCCACAAGAGTTGACTGTACTGGCAGAGCAATCTCTAATGTAAAATCTGAACAGAAGGCTTTTTCTCTCACGCTGAGAACCTCAGCCTATGTATAAACCATATTTGAGATGTTCAATACTGTCCTGGTTAAGCAGAAGACATTCACAACAATGTCACCCAGTCACAGACCTGCCATCTCATATATCTCAGAGGTGCATTACTGCCCTCAGGGATTTACAAGACGCGAATTCCTGCATCCTATATGCATAAACATTGACAAAGGACGCAATGAAATTAATTGGTGCGTCCACAGGGATGCAGAAAAAGTCCAAATACTTTTTTTAAAATGTTGACCAAGTAACAAGTTTGGTACTAGCCGGGTTATGATATCAATGGCAATTTAATTACTCTAACAATGTCCACATGATACACAACCAACTCACTCGAACAGAGTCATAGAATCTCCATCCTCCAGTTGGATTTTCTTTTTCTGGTTCCCGCTTTAAGTCACGGTCCATTTCACTCCGGGGATATATCTACAATTGTAAATATATTGTCATAAATACACTGTACCGTCCATTTCACCCCGGGGATATATCTACAATTGTAAATAAATTGTCATAAATGCACTGTACCGTGACTAGCAAAGAAACCATAAAGGGGGATCAAAGCTCAGAAATATTCTGCATTTTTTATTTAATTTCAAGGACATGAAATGTTTATTGGAAAAACATGGCAAATATCTCTTACTTTCACACCTCTGAAAGATACTGAATTTGTGATATAATATAAGCTAGTAGTCATTAGAATTTATACTGGATGAAAACGGTGGAAGCACCCAAGGTAACTCTACATACAAATCCACACTTCGAGGAGTATTACCTTCGCCTCACCCAGCATGACGCGACACATGAGAATGTACTTCACCGATGACCTTGACACATACTGCACACACTTCTTTGGGTTATCGCTGAAGAAACACAAACATGTCCAAGATGAAGTCTTTCTACCAAGGAATCTGTGACTGCTGTTGTTGTGGGATTGAATGTCGGTGGAGGAATTTTCTGTTCCTTACACCAAATATACTAAATTGGATGCTAAATAATACATTACACATGCCCTGGATTCATAAATACAATAAAACTACAACACAATTTTGAATGCTTCAGGATTTTGTTTCTGCTGTTAGCACTAGTTTTGTTTCAGTTTGGGAACTCTATGTCTATTATTTACTACAGAGTCTCTAAGCATGAACAATCTTACATCATTTGTGGTAGTGTGCAATTTCTGTATTGCAAAATGGAAAATAACAAGACTTGTGAAAATCTTTTGAGGGGTCTAGTTTGAGCATGTCTTCATGTGCAATTAGAGCAAACAAGCATGAGTAAAATTTATACATAATGTGTTGAATACCATTAAACCAAGACTGACTGAGTGTAGTTTAATGCCGCTTTTAGCAATATTCCAGCAATATCACGGTGGGGAACGCCAGAAATGGGCTTAACACATCGTGCCCATGTGGGGAATCGAACCCGGGTTGTAGGCGTGACGAGCCAACGCTTTAACCACTAGGCTACCCCACCACCCCATTAAACCAAGAAGCAAATGGAGTTGTTTTGTTTAAACTTTCATTGTTAAATTTCTTATATTTCTCGAGGATCACAAATTTTGTAGTTTTTAAACATTTTTTGCCTGATTGAAGTATAAGTTACTGTAAACGTATTATATTTCGCGCAGGTTTTATTTTCGCGCTTTTCGAGCGAAAACATTTTAGCGCGAAAATTTATACACCGCGAATAAACCTGTCATTCATTCAGTCTAGCCACGTTCGCCCCTGAGTTGTTACCATAACACATCAAGTTTGAAGACAGAAATCTACGGGAATCTTAAAATGACGACTGATAGTAGCATAAAGAATCATACTTAACTGCTGCTGTAATGTATTTCCCAAAACATAATTAAATAATGAACCAAATCCCATCGCCGAATTAGCGAAAACAGCAATGTGTGTTGTGGCCGCCATGGAAATTGGTCACATGACAGATGGTTTCATACAAAACAGATTACCATGAAACGACTCGAAAGAAATAATACAGCAGTATTTTATTTATTCATTAAGATTTTATTTACCAGTACATCATGAAGCGAATAGTCACTTAACACTCAATCATCTCATTCACAACAACCCGGCTTGTTTGAAATCACAAAGAGCTTCATACACAGTAGAAGTTAATTCGTCAGATCGTCAGAATTCGGAACATAAGATTGATGTGTTTTTCATCTCTTCCAGGAGTAAACGGATTACTGTGTACTAGTATATCGCACAGATAGGGATTTCCTGTAAGTATGCAATAAACGCCGCCTGACAGGTTAAGCCACTGTTTTCACTGCTATTAGTGGCGGTCAAAGAGACAGCTGGCAGTTCCGGCAATTACTGATTGCGCGAATAATTGACCACGCGATGTAGTCTAAACTGTCAATTCCGCGAAAATTGCACCACGCGAAAATAAGTACGTTTACAGTACATGTGTCATTAGTGGGTGAACTGGAATTGACAAGCTCAATGTACTCGCATAACCAAAGCCCAAAGCAGTCCCAGATTGCTACTGTATATTACCGTAGATAGGCCAATTTTGAGGACCAAAAAAGCAGTCTGTAGAAGGGGGTCGGCTTATCTTTGGGTAACACTTTCGTCAAACTTTTTTTTTTTAAAAACAACATTGTATCATTCATGTGAACTAAGAATCAAGAAAAGACGACTTTGTCATTAAATTTGCAATTAAACATCACTAGACAAGATTATTTACCTATTCAGTTCTAATTTGTTTTTGCTAGGCATTGTCTTATATGCAGGGATTAAGATTACCGTGTGTAATCGTATATAGAGCCGAAAATAGAAATCAGCTATGCAATGCACATGTTCCCCTACCGGTGATATGGTTAAAACGTACCCGATAATATAACGAGTCAAGTTATGGGGTTGGATTATCTATGAGATCAGCGTATCTCCAGTAATATATGGTAATTCCTGTACATGGCATCAGTGTCATATTTATCATTACTCTTATTTTAGAATTCCTGTCTGGTGAAAGTCATGTGTGACAACAACATAGTTCGAGTAAGGATGGTTTACAATGCTTTTAGCAACATTCCAGCAATATCACAGTAGGAGACAGCAGAAATGGGCTTTACATATTGCACCCATGTGGGGAATCAAACCCGGGTTGTAGGCGTGACGAGCAAACACTTTAACCACTTGGCTACCCCACCACCCCATTAAACCAAGAAGCAAATGGAGTTGTTTTGTTTAAACTTTCATTGTTAAATTTCTTATATTTCTCGAGGATCACAAATTTTGTAGTTTTTAAACATTTTTTGCCTGATTGAAGTATAAGTTACTGTAAACGTATTATATTTCGCGCAGGTTTTATTTTCGCTCTTTTCGAGCGAAAACATTTTAGCGCGAAAATTTATACACCGCGAATAAACCTGTCATTCATTCAGTCTAGCCACGTTCGCCCCTGAGTTGTTACCATAACACATCAAGTTTGAAGACAGAAATCTACGGGAATCTTAAAATGACGACTGATAGTAGCATAAAGAATCATACTTAACTGCTGCTGTAATGTATTTCCCAAAACATAATTAAATAATGAACCAAATCCCATCGCCGAATTAGCGAAAACAGCAATGTGTGTTGTGGCCGCCATGGAAATTGGTCACATGACAGATGGTTTCATACAAAACAGATTACCATGAAACGACTCGGAAAGAAATAATACAGCAGTATTTTATTTATTCATTAAGATTTTATTTACCAGTACATCATGAAGCGAATAGTCACTTAACACTCAATCATCTCATTCACAACAACCCGGCTTGTTTGAAATCACAAAGAGCTTCATACACAGTAGAAGTTAATTCGTCAGATCGTCAGAATTCGGAACATAAGATTGATGTGTTTTTCATCTCTTCCAGGAGTAAACGGATTACTGTGTACTAGTATATCGCACAGATAGGGATTTCCTGTAAGTATGCAATAAACGCCGCCTGACAGGTTAAGCCACTGTTTTCACTGCTATTAGTGGCGGTCAAAGAGACAGCTGGCAGTTCCGGCAATTACTGATTGCGCGAATAATTGACCGCGCGATGTAGTCTAAACTGTCAATTCCGCGAAAATTGCACCACGCGAAAATAAGTACGTTTACAGTACATGTGTCATTAGTGGGTGAACTGGAATTGACAAGCTCAATGTACTCGCATAACCAAAGCCCAAAGCAGTCCCAGATTGCTACTGTATATTACCGTAGATAGGCCAATTTTGAGGACCAAAAAAGCAGTCTGTAGAAGGGGGTCGGCTTATCTTTGGGTAACACTTTCGTCAAACTTTTTTTTTTTAAAAACAACATTGTATCATTCATGTGAACTAAGAATCAAGAAAAGACGACTTTGTCATTAAATTTGCAATTAAACATCACTAGACAAGATTATTTACCTATTCAGTTCTAATTTGTTTTTGCTAGGCATTGTCTTATATGCAGGGATTAAGATTACCGTGTGTAATCGTATATAGAGCCGAAAATAGAAATCAGCTATGCAATGCACATGTTCCCCTACCGGTGATATGGTTAAAACGTACCCCGATAATATAACGAGTCAAGTTATGGGGTTGGATTATCTATGAGATCAGCGTATCTCCAGTAATATATGGTAATTCCTGTACATGGCATCAGTGTCATATTTATCATTACTCTTATTTTAGAATTCCTGTCTGGTGAAAGTCATGTGTGACAACAACATAGTTCGAGTAAGGATGGTTTACAATGCTTTTAGCAACATTCCAGCAATATCACAGTAGGAGACAGCAGAAATGGGCTTTACATATTGCACCCATGTGGGGAATCAAACCCGGGTTGTAGGCGTGACGAGCAAACACTTTAACCACTTGGCTACCCCACCACCCAAATAGGCACAGCAATCTGTCCCAGCAACATAAGTTTTCTCACGTCTACCTGAAATAGATGCCTTTTCCGAAACACCCACTCATCCCCAGCCTGGCATCGAGCCCCTCCTCACAGAGAAGCATCTTGTTGGCGGCAGACCCATGGTACAGATACCGGGCATTAACTTCAAAATCTGAAAATATCACCATGGATACAGAAGAGAATTATACTCAGAGTCTTAATCTTTGTCTTCAGCTGTAGGTGTATTGCCAAATACACCTCTCTTATTTATTTACAACTTAAGTATATATGATGCACATTCCTTAAAGTGCAATTTTCAGGATATTAACGGTATTGAGTTCTTCCCATTTCAGACATGCATACAGTTCAAGTCTTACTCTAAATGATGTTGGGCCAAAAAAAAAATATGTCCGTTTCCAGTAACCCGACCAACCCTATCCAACCCCCCCGACCCTAAATCATTGTTTAGCCAAGTCAATATCATGACTGGAGTGCATTTCAACTCATCATTTTCATCAAAATCGAGTATGATATTTTCATGTTTTTCAGTGTACGTAGGGCTAAAATGGATTGCATTGAATTGGCATAATTGGTCCTCACTGACCAAATCTGCAAATAAATAACATAAATAATGATTTGTTATAGAAATCTTTCAATGTTTCATCATAAGGCATTGTCACTATATGATATGGTACTCTTGAAGACCTCAGGTGCCCACCTGGTGCCACTAAGAAATTTTTTTAAAAAGTAAAAAAAAAAGAAGATAAAACCGACCCACCTACCCTATTTCTAAAAAGTATGTAATAGGAAACGGACAGTCATGTTACAGGGGTCCAATAATGGTAATTAGACCAACCACAGGTCTGTTACAGTCATGTTACAGGGGTCCAATAATGGTAATTAGACCAACCACAGGTCTGTTAAGGTCATGTTACAGGGGTCCAATAATGGTAATTAGACAAACCACAGATGGTAAGGAAGGACTGAAGTTAAGACACGCCGAGGGGCCTTGAAATGTGCACTCAGCATTTGTATCTAAGACTCCTTAACTTGTACCTTCAGGTCACAACAATGACAATTAACACTCTGGTAAAGTGTACAAGTCAAGAATTTTGTAAATATAAACAATAACCAACATATTGCAGATCTTACCTCTTCCTCTTCTCCTCATCAAAAGGTCCTTTTCCCCCTTGTACCGATCCAACAGATGGACATTCTGGAGACGCTCCATCTTCTTCACTTCGAGGTCAGCTATATGAAAGTCACGAGCTATCGTTTCGTACTCCTCTTCCTCCGGCAATATCTCCACAAGCTGGAACAATTCACCTGCCTCTACATCGGGAATTCTTGATCTATCCCAGTTCACTGGGAATTCATCATCAGCAAAGCCGAATGGATTCTTAAAGTCTATCCTGTGGTTCTGTGGCATTCTCTGCTTCTGAACATGGTGGTCCAAGGGGCCTTCCGCATGTGTACTGCCATCACCAAACAGTTCACTGTCACTGTCAGACTTTGTGCTTGATCTGTTGGAAGTCCGAGCAGTTCTGTGATCAGGTTTTATAATGCCTCTTCGAATGAGCTCTTCAATTTCACGGGACACTTCCTCATCTTCACCAATATTTACCGTTTCAACAGGTCTTAAACTTCTTTTCCGCATAGGCAGATTACACTCGATGCTATTTTCTCCATTTTGACTCTCTTCCAGTATCTGTTGTCTCATTTCCTCCGCTAATTCAACACTCCGTCTACGACCAGACGGATGAAATTGTTCATCATCGCTGCCCTGTGCTAACATTTGTCTCTGCATTTTTTCTGCTAATTCAACGCTCCGTCTCTACGACCAGACGGATGAAATTCTTCATCATCACTGGCATGTGCTAACACTTGTCTCTGCATTTCTTTCGCCATTTCGATGCTTCTTCTATGACCTGACGGATGAAACTGTTCGCCATCACTGCTCTGAGTTTCATCTAACATTCTCCTTCTCATTTCCTCTGCAGCCTCTATCGCCTGTTTCCTCATCTGCTCTGCTAACTCAACACTGCGTCGTCTGCCTGATGGGTGGTGACCATTAATGGAATTATCTCCCCCTGAGGCCATGGCGTCTGCATCAGGTGATGAACTGGTCACAAACCGTCTGTTTCTTCTTGAATGTGTTTGCCTGCCTAATTGATGCCTAACCAGGTCTTCCTGAAATTTATCATAAGACACATTGAGTATAATGTCAAACAGGAATAGAAATACAATTTTTCACTGGGTGAAATTGAACACCAGACAGATCAGTTTAGATGTGCCTTTGTGAAAATATGTGTGCCCATACCTTCTAATGATCCAGTTAAATGTATAACATCACAACTGATGTTTAACAAATTAGCAAAGGTCATGTAAACCGGTAAACTTGAGAGCTGGATTTCCTGAACACTATCACGACTGCAAGAATAGTTCAGCTTCCTTTGTTTCCTGGATCCATAATCTAACCCAGAAACAATGTTGTCATCCAAAACAGGATTTCCTGTTATGCGCAATGTCATTAAAAATGGCCATACCCATGTTAATCTATATTAGATTAAGAGTGCCACTGATAAACAGTTTAATCGGGTACAAAAATAGGTTTTAATTCATTTCAGTTAGTCAAATTTATCTCATTTTCCATGAAATGAATCATCGTGAGTATTGTTTAATAATTTTAGGTGTGGCCCAAGGCCACATGGTTCAGCTTCAAGCCCTGTCAAATCAAATGATTAACATCCTAGAGGATGACAGAATTATGTAATTTTCTGAGTAAAATTGATATTTTATACTTATCCTGACTCATGCTTAATTGCTTGTCTTCTTCTTCTTGCGAACATAGTGGAACACTTGTATCTCCCTATTGAAGCTCCCTTCAATGTAAAATCACTAATCACTACTCACCAAGAGTTGTCCTTCCTTCCGTTTTGGCAGGAACTGGCGTCACCGTTCCCCCACATGCTTCACTCTCTCCTGAATATGAGCCCGACACTTGAATTTACAGGGAAATCCAAAGTGTCTTGTGGGGAGGTTGGGAGGGCTTACCTCATGAGTCAGGATAAGTATAAAATATCAATTTTACTCAGAAAATTACATATTTTTCATTATCCTGACTCATGCTTAATTGCTTGTAGAATCCGACGGATAAGGTGGTGGGAAAAAGCACTTAGGAATTAATTAGGGAATTTTACGTCAAAATAAACCCCCCTACGGGAACTTCATAATGGCACTAAAATTATGCTAAATTCTGCTGCTGTAAGCAAATGTGTTCTTTCAGCTGCCTTTAGATGGGAGGACCACAATAGTTAACCTTTTGGTCCTATTTCTGTTAACATTATAATGTGGATTTAGCGACTCCAAAGTGGAGAAGCGACCCAACTGTACTAGTAAACTTACAAGTACTGGGTTTATGACTTATACTAATCTTGAGACGTGCAAGGATACTGAAGCAAACTCTGCTGAGTGTAGGCTTGATAAGTCATTTGATAACACAGCGAGACTACGTCTCATCTTCTGTGGGGAACTGTCAACTGCTGTGCGACAACCAGAGGGCCGAAATGGTGAATGCCTGAGACGTCCTCGGTGGCGATATCTCTCAAGAAGTGGTTTGCAAACACCATGTCGGATTTCCAGAAACAGCCCTCCATGATCGTGTTCAGCGAGCAATTCCCATGTAGAGCGAGTGTTGATGCCAGTGCTCTAATTTCGTGAGGGTTAGAGGCTCTTGGAGGATCGAGTCCTGCAGCCTTGTAGGCTCTTAGTATGACAGTTCTTATCCAGTTTGATATCGTAGTGCGGGAGACTTCCGTGTGTGTCGCTGTTGATATCGGGACGAAAAGTCGTTTAAACTTGCGTCTCCTCATTCTGGATCGATGTAGATAAACTTTCAATGCTCTCACAGGGCACAAGGATAAGTCAAGCGTATCATGTGGTCCGAGTATGGAGGATAGTGCTGGGAGGTGGAATTGTCTGTCCGGTTGACCTGGCAGTTGATTCTTAGCGATAAAATCTCATCGCAGTCCCATGTGCACTGTATTTTGATATATTTTCATCAAATTGCGTTCTCTCGTAATCTAGAGCATGAATTTCCGACATCCTGGCTGCTGTTGCTAGGGCTAGCAGGAACAGCGTTTTCTGTGTCAAGAATTCAAAGGATGTCGTCTCCAGTTGTTCGTAAACGTCACTTGTGAGATGTTTGAGAACAATATTGAGGTCCCATGCCGGAGCGCGAAATCTCTGTTTTTGGTCCTCCAATCTGTAAGAGCGTAACAAGGCCAGTAACTCTGGTACTTTGGTTAGCTTTGCACCCGTCCTCATAGTTATCACTGAGCTCAATGCCGCTAGGTATGTTGAGAGTGTAGACCCTTTCAGACGTTTGGTTTGTCGTAGGTGACAAAGATAGTCTGCCACTTGAGGATGTGTTGCATTTCTAGCTGTAAATCCCTTTTTAGCAGCGTAGGTCTCAAAACTGCGCCACTTGTCGTCATACACGTTGCGTGTAGAATTGCGTAAAGCAAGCGTGACTGCTTTTGCCGCTTTGGCTGAGTAACCTCTCTTGTTTAAACACGCCTTGATACAGTCCATACGTGTAGTTGGAATGCCCTTGGGTTGCCGTGCGCTTGTTTTGTGTGAGGATGTTCTAGTAGATTCGATCGCTCTGGTAGTTGCAGTATTGGTGGTCCGAGTTCTTGTATGAGAATTGGAAACCATATTCTCGCTGGCCAGTAAGGCGCGACCAAAATCAGTTGGAGGTTCCTTGTCTGGCTGATTTTCTGTAAAACTTTTGGTAGAAGCGCTGGTGGCAGAAACGCGTACGCATTGAGGCCTTCCCAAGATATGCTTAGAGTGTCCGTTGCCCACGCTCGTGGGTCTGGGACTGGCGAGACGAATGTTGTTAGCTGATTGTTGAAGCGTGTGGCGAAGAGGTCTATTAACAGAGCTCCTATTTCCTTGATGATCTGTGTGAAGATCTCTGGATGGAGCATCCATTCCGTCGGCGATGGTAGAGTTTGACGGGATAGTGCGTCTGCTAGGACATTCTTGGCTCCTGGAATGTGACAGGCTCTTACATGGATGTTCAGATCGTCGATTAGGTTTATCAGTTGAAAGCAGAGATCTAGTAGGTTCAATGATCTTGTTGAGCCTTGCTTGTTTATGTAAAACGCCACTGTCGAGTTGTCTGTGTGTACCATGAGATGCGCATTCTGTAGAATGGTGCTCCAATGGAGTATGGCGTTGATTGCTGCTTTCATCTCTAGCATGTTGATATGCAGACGTTTCTCTTCCTGATTCCATATCCCGGCTGCCACATGGTTGACCGATGATACGGTTGTGCGTCGTGAGAAATCTGATGCCTAGAAACTGTAGGTCCTGCATAGGTTCTAGGTCCGACTTGAGTAGATTCACTAACCATCCTAGCTGAGTTAGTAGATTGATGGTGAAATTCAATTGTAGTTTGAGACGGACTGGGTCTTGATCTACTTGAATCCCGTCATCGAGGTAGAATGCACTGCGTAGCCCTCGATGATGTAGATATGTGACTATGGGTTTCGTTACTCTTGTAAACAACCAGGGGGCCGATGATATTCCAATTGGCAGGACCTTCCATTGGTAATGTAGCCCGTCCAGTGTAAATCTGAGGTACTTTCTCGAGTCGGGATGTATCGGGATATGCAGGTAGGCATCCCGTAGATCTATGCTTGCCATGTAGTCCATCGGACGGACGAGGTGGATTAGTTGAGATAGATGTATCATGCGGAACCTGGGAGGTCTGCGTAGATAATCCCTGTTGAACGTGATTATATTGTAGATGAGTCGGAATTTTTCTTTGGACTTTTTCTTTGGAACCAGGAAAACTGGGGAGTAGAAACCTGGCTCAATGTTGACTTGATCCACGATTTCTATGGCCTGCTTGGTTAGAAGAGATGAGACAGCCTCTCGTAACTTATTTATCTGATGTGCCTTGAAGTCGAACTTGTAAGGGTTGACTGTAAGCGGTGGCGTGGCCTGTAGTTGGATGCGATATCCGTGTCTTAGGATGTTGGATACATGTGGATCTTGTAGTATTCCCCAGTTTTCCCAGTGGAGTTGTAGACGTCCACCCACTTGGGAAGATTGTACTGGAACGGCTGGGGGTGGAAGACTCCAGTCATTCCGAAACCCGTCTTTCATCGTCGGTAATTCCGGGAGCCTCTGGGTGCCCTGCCTCGTCCGGATCCTCCCCTGTAGTTGCCGGATGGGCGGCGAAAAGAGTCCTTCCCGCCTCTGGAGCTAGCCACTTTCCTGTCCCATGCACTCTGAATTCCAGGAAACTTGGATCTTCCTGAGTAACGCTGGGTTGTCTGCCTGATGACGCTGGCCAGAGTGTCTATGGACTTGATCATTAGGACTTCTCTTGAATCTTTAGTGACTTCCTTAGCAACCCTGTCGATTTCTCCAGCAAAGATGGAAGGAGTTGACCACGGAGCTGTGTAAAGTGACGCTGTAAACTGTTCACTCCAACTGCAGGAGGCGAGGAGACCTTGACGACGAGCCAGAGTTAGTGCTGCGGAGATGGACGAAAGGTGGTCTGACATGAACTGTTGGTCCTTCTTCTGCATAAGGAGGGCCGAATAAATCATTCTGTCTTCTTCCGCAGTAGAATCTCGAAACTTGGCGATGAGCGTTTCGTTGACTGTGCGAGATCTGTTGAGGCCGAAGAACATTCTTCTGGTCATAGTTTCTACTTGAGCCAGCTTGCGGTCCTCAATCTTGTAAGACTTGGCATCGCTGATTACTTTAAAGTTCTCGTCTATGTCCTGAGCTTTAAGGAAAGGATCCATGTTATGGGAGGAGAACTTCCTGGCGTTGAACTGTGGTAAGTGTGGCGCCTGGGTTTTAGTGGCTGTCTTGAAAGCTGCGTCCAGCTTCTGTGGAACCGTTGCGATGGGATCTATCGGGGGAAGAGTGAGCGTGTCGACATCATCATCTGTCATAAAATAGGTGTGAGCCGGATTATCGTCTTTAGATGGTGAAGCCAAGTCCAAACCATTAGCCATCCAGTACCGTATTTCAGAGTCCGAGAATATGATGCCGCCATCATTTTCAGTAACAGGAGTGCTGAGAAGAGGACGTTGATACTCCTCCGACGGTGAACGAGGTGGAGTCCTGCGTGACTGTGATAACCTGGGTGGCGATCTACGTAGAGACCTGCGCGGAGACTTGTTGGGCGAACGTCGTGGTGACCTGCGCGGAGATTGGCGAGGAGATCGACGTGGTGAATGGCCTGACGAGCTGTGCCTGCGTGGGGACCTGCGCGGAGATGAGCGACTGTAGGTTCGCGAAGGTCCTGGTGAATCCCTCGATGATCTATGGGACGAAGATGTCTTGGATACTGTAGCTGACGTCCTTCTCGAAGGTTCATCTGAGTCCGCACTAGGGGAGAGGCGACTGGTCCTTCGCGAAGGCTGGTTGTCCGAGCCAGAGTCCAGGGATGAGCGATTCTTCCTTCGCGAACACTTCCGCGAGCGTTGATCATCCGAGTCCGAAGCAGGTGGGGATCGTGTAGCCCTTCGCGAACACCTCCACGAACGCTGGTCGTCCGAATCCTCCGTAGGGGCAGGCTGTGTCGACCTTCGCGCAGGCTGGTCCGCTGGTGTAGTTCTGCTGGCAGAAGTCACGTTGATGGCAGGCCCCTCAGAGATGATGTCTACGTTGGAGCCTTCGCGAAGGCTCGGGCCCTGGGCTGGCTGTTTCTTTTCAAGGCCGTAACGCTCTTCCATTATCTCCATGATCTGCTGGGAGAACTGCTGCATAAAGTCGCCCGGGAAGGTCTGCGGTGGTACCAGCGCTGCCCTTTCTGCGTTGATGGTGAGGGGGCCCACGGGACGATCATCTGTTGTCAGCGTTGATACATCGGGTTGAGATTGGATCTGCGCTGATGTCACCGTAGCTGAGACCGGTCGTTTCTTGTGATGCACCTCTGGGATGATGATCGGGCCCTGTTCTGCGATTGGAACAATCTCGGCCGAGAAAGTTCTAGTAGTCTGCGCTGACTTCCCCTTGGTGGCGGACGCTGCCCTGGGGGTGTGAAGTCTGCACTGGGTGGTAGACGACTTCCGAGTCTTGGACTGTGACGACGGGATGACTGGAGATGCAGGTCTCTTCTTGGAGGTGGCGGACTTCGTCCCACGCCTCTCCTCCGAGGGAAACTCCAGCGGAACACCAGACGGTAGGGGGTCGTCCGACAGCAGTTGACTGGTGAGGGTCTCAGCTGTATTGTCCATGACTGGATCAATCCTGCGCGACCTATCTGCGGCACGCCTCAGGACGCAAAGTAAATATTTATTAAATTCACAAGTTGATAAATGCTTGCAACAATTGCAGCGTGAGCTGAAAGAACATGGTACTGTGCAACTAGGGCATATTAGGTGCGGGTCAGCAGCAGAGAAACGTAACTTACATACGGAACAGATTTTCATGAACGTAAACTACTGAACAAACACGGAATACACCGTGAATAAACAGTTGTAAATACGAATAAATATCAAAACATATTGATGAAGGATACTAGCTAAACCTCTATAAAGAACTTATAGAGGTAACTAACTAAATAATCAAAGGATATAGTGCCGTAAGGAGACACAGGCGCTCTCACAACCTGCTCACTGGGCGAAGAAGGAGAGAGTGAAGCATGTGGGGGAACGGTGGCGCCAGTTCCCTCAAAAACGGAAGGAGGGACAACTCTTGGTGAGTAGTGATTAGTGATTTTACATTGAAGGGAGCTTCAATAGGGAGATACAAGTGTTCCACTATGTTCGCAAGAAGAAGAAGACAAGCAATTAAGCATGAGTCAGGATAAGGAAAAATATTTAAATATTTCCTCACTAATTTGTATAATTATTATTCCAGATACCAAGAGTAAATCTCAGCAACCCATGCTTGTCCTAAGAGGCGACTAACGGGATCGGGTAGTCAGGCTCGCTGACTTGGTTGACAAATGTCATCGGTTCCCAAATGCGCAGATCGATGCTCATGCTGTTGATCACTGGCTTATCTGGTCCAGACTCGATTATTTACAGACCGCCACCATATAGCTGGAATATTGCAAAGTGTGGCGTAAAACTAAACTCACTCACTCAGTCATTTTATGATTTGGTTGATTAAAATATTTGCAAAGCAAGTATACAGTCAACTAGGTGTCAACAGAACTCAACCTCAGTCAATATTTATCTTATCTTATCCAGAGTATACTCTCTAAAGTATAAAAATATATGAGAGCTTACCAAACAGTCAAACTGCAGATGCGCATGTTTTCATAGCCAGCTTTGAGGATCCATTTTAATATACATTATTAATTTTTATTTTACTAGCACTATCTTACTATAATACAATGCTTACAAAACGTATCTGAAAATATAAAATAATACATATATTGCTTTTAACATCAAATATATTTATACTATTCACACTTTGCAAAGGATCAAATCGTGGATTCAACAGAAAACTATGATGTGGGGTCAAATTTGGTTTAAATATCTAAGCTTATTGTAGGCATGGATCCTAGGTTTCAGTATGTCATTTAGTCTTGTGGAACCCATACCTGCCATTGACATGTGTTGTGTACTTGTCAATGACTCATTCCATGATTTGCAAAATGGTTGATTGGTGCCATGTAAACAATTTTTGTGGTTACTCATGTATCAAGTGCACAGGGCTAGATTAAAGTGACTGTTTGTCTAAAGAGGGGTTGCCATATTATTATTTATCCAGTTTGAAATGGATACAATTTCAAATCATAAATCTACATTTAAGTAAAGTTGTGAATTTTTGTGATCCTTAGCAAAGTGTGAGTAGTATAATATAACAGGGTACAATCTTTACCACCAGTGTACACAGAATACATGTATACAATGAGCTTTGATTTTTTTTTTCACAATACAAAGACATTTTTGTAAGCCAAAAGCAAAACAGGAACAACAAAAATAGAAACAGCATGTCAATAAATGTGTACTGGAATATGCAAGTTAGTCCTTTTATCAAACCATCTAACATAGATTGTGTTCTGCAGTTACAACAGTAACAAATTAACATATATTTTTCAGATATTATGCAGTATCCTTTACATCAATTTCGGTGAAATCAAGTGTGAACAGTACGTTCAGTGACATGCATCGATGGCATCAGGTGCTGGATGAAAACTAAAGACAGAACTATTCATTATTACACCGAGAACAGCAAAATCTCAAGCCTTGTCACACCAACGACTGACTATTGCCAACTGCAGTATTGTACAAGTGATTCTGCAAGAAACCTAGGGATTGTTTTTGATTCTGCCATGAATTTCAAAGGCCATGTCAGGAACATAAGCCAAATCCGAAAGTATCTGACTGAGGAGGCAGTCAAGACACTAGTCCAAGCTTTTGTCATCTCCCAGCTGGACTACTGCAATAGCCTAATGTATGGCATAACCAAGACTCAGTTGGTCAAACTGCAGCGGATACAGAACACTGCTGCAAGAATGATCATGGGTACCCGGGAATCGACAGCATCACCCCAGTACTAAAAGGTCTGCACTTGCTGCCAATGAATGAACGGATACAGTTCAAAGTCCTGGTTTTGGTATTCAAGGCACTCCAAGGGTTAGCACCAAGCTACATCCAGGAGCTCATCAAGCCATACAGACCAAGTGGAGCCTTAAGATTGACATCAGGCTTGACTGTCACTGTGCCAGTAACACGAACAGCAACATATGGAGATCGGTCATTCTCCAAGGGTGGTGCTGACCTCTGGAACAAGCTCCCTGAAGATCTGCAATCCACTGAGACTCTGGGAAACTTCTTCTTCTCTTCTCGAGAGCATATGACTGAGCGCCTTTGAGCAGAGTCCTGGATAAAGGCGCTATATAAATCTCTACTTTATTATTATTATTATTATTACCACAGTACAGTACCTATTGCGGTACACAGCCATTGGTTCGGTCTGTTTCGGTTCAGTATATGAGATATGATCATAATGCAGAAAAATGACACCAAGAGCTAAACCTTACAGAAATGCATAGATTTTGACAAAATGGTTCGATTTCTAGTCATTTTAGAAAAGGTTGAAAAATGCTAATAAAATGATGTTACGAAAACCGAAAATACCAATTCTTTTTATTGCATTACGAAATCCGAACAGAAGGCAAAATACCTTGGTTCTATTAATACTGCGGGGTACACTGTGAACAGATCAGTAAATACCAAAGAAGTGTAAATTCTCATTTCATATTTTCATAGAGAACAGACAGGTAATCTATCAAACTGATACAACCTTAACAAGAGAAGCATAGGGAAGGTGTGCCAAGCAAAGGGAAATAACTGCATGCTCAGCTGGATCTTGTTATTCATGGTACAGGCATCCCTCGCCATAACGCGGGTCTTGGGGTCCATGGATGACCACCCGCGTTATAAGTAACGATTACATAACGCGGAACAAAGGCCAAGTAAAATCGTATTTTCCATGGACATAACAAAACTGCTATTTCGTGTATTGTGCCCAGTCAAAACTATATCGTATTGTTGGAGGTGAAAAAAACAATAACTTTGTAAATAAAAAATAGATGTATGTACATGAAACTTGCAATCAAACACCACAAGACATGATAATTCAATTGTTGTTCCTGTCATGCTACCTGTTATTCAACTAAGCCGGAAATAGCAATCAGCTGGGCACACATCGATGTTTTGGTCCAATGTACCGGTGATTCATTTAAAAACGATCCGAAAATATAACATCCAAGAATTTCTATTCCATTATCAGAATAATTGATATGTCAAGCAGTTATTCTAACAGAGATCTTATATATTGCTATCGTATAAGTATAATGCATGTTTTCTACGAACATATTTAACATAATAATAAGTATTGCTAACCACTTTGGGTTACCTGGCTGGATACATTTTACGTAGGAAACAGTTTGACAAGTCACCGCTGACTTCCCGCGGTACGTGCCACTTTGATTGTAAAAAACAAAATGTTAGCAATTAATTGTCAAATATGACTTCAACGAGTCAATAACGCGGGTGTTGGGGTCAAGGCTGGATGACAAGGCTGTAATCTGTTCGTGATTGCTGAGAAAAATGTGAAATTGGTGCTATCACAGTAGGCGCGAAAAACGGACCCTCACGAATGTGGTAAGCGGGTGTTGTATGGAATGAGGTAATGCCATTTCACTCACGGTTTCTCCGTTGTTATTGTAAACAGTTTTAATGAATGAAAATGGGATTGAATTTAATCAAATAAAATGTGTTTTCTGACATCATACATTCTCGGATGGCGGTGTATACCCGCGCAATTACGCGGTGTGTTGCATCATAGCAAACGTTGTAAGTACTCGGCTGATAATCGACATGTCTTTATGATAAAGTTATTACGGTGTTTCGCTGTTCATCAATTATTATTGAAAAAGACCCTGCATGTTTTAAGCATCTGAAAAAAACATGGATATATACGATAAACTCTGTTAATTGCAATCCGCACTGAATTTCACTAGTTTACTACGTGATTAACCAGATCTCAACAGCGGATTTGTTGATGTGCTATTTTCGATCACGTGAATATGTGTGATCACTGGGCAACTTTTTTTTATGGGAGCCACGGATTACCCCGCGGTTTAACCGAATCCGCGGTATCGCGAAGAGCGTTATTGCGAGGGATGACTGTATTGCAAGATTTTCATTGTCAAGAAGCAAACTATGCCTCTTTCTTCTTGTCAGGAATAGCTGAAGACTGCTGATGTGGCTAAAAGCAACATTTACTCACTCTTCGTTCCAAAAAGGAAAAGAAAACAAAGATGTAGTGGTGAATGAGAACCAAGATTATTTATTGTTTTAGCCTAACAGACAGTCTATATGTGCTAAAAAAAGCAATTTAATGTGACTTCAGTGTGATGTAAGTTCTCAACTCCATGGGAAGAATACATGACGTGTGGTACTTACTAGTGCTGTAACAATGCATCGAACTATCGTTGGATTGCAATTGTTGAGTCTCCGATAGCAATTAATCGATGGCAGAAACGAAAAACTATCGATAGTATGTATGACTATCGATAGCTTAGTGATTGAGTTCCGTTGATAAATGTGCAGCGCAAAATACAGATTCATTCACTTTGTTTTGCAACAATATTGCAATGGTTGGTCGCAATAGACTATCACTATCGCAATAGTATTTTTCCATAGACTATCGCTATCGCAATAGTTCTTTCCCACTCAATAGTCACCTCTAGTACTTACATCTGGACCATCTGTGACTGTTCCGGTGCCACCAGGCTGTGTGAGTGAGTGTAGTGCTTCTTCACTGAGACTCAAGGCCAGAGCTTGCTCAAGATCTTTTTCAAACTGAGCTAGAAAATAGTATGAAATTACGTTACTGCGATTTAGTGTCAATTCATTAAAGTTCTCTCTTCCTAATACTTTAATCACAATGTCTTTCCCACTGCATAACAGACTGGTCATATGACAAGAAGATGTATCCAAAAATAATATGAACATTTAACAACCTTAACAGCTTCTCTATCATCAGAACTTTTTTTGTGAATATAGTGCCCATTACCTTCAGCAGCCTTCTCTTCTTCTTCCTCCTCTTGTTTGTACTTCGCCAACAAATCAAAATATGCTTGATCTTCTGGGGTTCTCTCATTTGCCATCAAACCTGAAAGCAACCATTTCAAAACATTGTACCTCATTTTCTTCACAAATATATGTATGTGAAGCACTGTGATCATGGTGATGTATGTTTAGAAACCTTATAAATGCTACCTATGTAATGAAACTTTCTGCCGGTGAAGTGTTCCCAGAAAATGGAATCTCTATATTCCAAGATCTAATTTAACATTCTATCATGAACATGATAAACAAGGGAGATTATCAATGAAATATGAACCTGGAGAAGCATTTACGCTGCTATAATAATTCACGCTTAAGGGTGTGTGGATTAAGTAGGGAAATTTAATTAACTGAAATTAATATTACAACTACAAGAAAATGTGTTTTGGAAAAAAGGGAAATTCATCATCATACTTACGACGATCACAATCTCACACTCAAAGAAGTAGCTGGTGTATTGAATTAATACAATGTTTTATGAGTTGAAGTTAGTCTGAGATGTAGTCAAGACGCAGACATTTCTCACCATCATGTTATTCACCTCAGGGATTTATAAAAGTTTCTGAACTAAAAGCCTCTAGACAAAAATATCATTGTATTCAACAAAGATTTTTTAAATTTTCTCTATTTTCTTTAATTCAGATGTTGTTGTTTTTAATTCTGTACACATTTAATTGCAATCAATGCAATAAAATTATATACACTCGCGTAACCTTGATACAGCAGAGAAATATTTCTCTTTATTGTTATCACAGCAACATGAATGAGTCTACATGTCATTAAACTAGTTATTACTTAAATATACATTGACATAAATGGGGAAATGTCAATTCCAGTTTGATGGGAATTTTAATTTTAATGAAAACTCGGTCTACAAGCTGGACAACATAATCCCCTCTCAGCAGAGACCATATAATATTATATGGTCTCTGCTCTCAGCATGTTAAGCATGATTAGGATGTGAAAACAATGAGTGAATTTAGTTTTACGCCCCACTCAGCTATATGGCGGCGGTCTGTAAATAATCGAGTCTGGACCACACAAGCCAGTGATAAACAGCATGAGCATCGACCTGCGCAATTGGGAGCCGATGGCATGTGTCAACCAAGCCAGCGAGCCTGACCACCCGATCCCGTTAGTCGCCTCTTAGATGTGAAAATAAAATGAAGTCTCACATTTGCAACATGTCAAGTTCGAACAAGGAAGAGCAGTTATAATGGCGCACTCTACCAACTACGTCGATGTACGTCTGTTCGGTATTCTCAGACACGGTACGTGTGTGTCTTACTCTTATCCCTCAGTAAGGGTCCTTGGCTTACGTCTGAGCAGAGACCATATACCGGTATATGGTCTCTGGTCTGAGCAACAGTGTCTGCCGTGTATACTTCAGAAACTTGACAACACAAATATTCATATGTGCTTTTCCGGTTTGGCAGAGTTGTCTAATACGTGTATATATATATATACCTTGTGTGGTGTGGCAATCCGTAAACAGAAAGTAAAAGTAGGGGTCAAAAATAAGCGACAGACGGAAGTCAACTTGGTGTTGATAGCTAAGCTCCTCATCACTGTGTTTTCATCGTGTTCGCTTTGAGAGTCGGATTTCTGCTGTTAGGAGTTAGAGATGATACCATACCCGAGTAACTTCCCCTTAATCTATATATCGATATAACCAGTAGTATACTTAAATTTAGGCCCCAGAAGCAAATTAAATTAGCATAAAAAGTTGTCTAGATCTCATAATATAGCGCAAGATTTACACATTTAACCATTTCAAATTAAATATGAATTTATATACAATGATAAAGATATTTTTCACAAAACCTATATCTGGACGAAAACATACTTGTAAATAGTTTTAGGGAAATGTCAATGTGTCACGTCCATGTGTTCTCATATGGAATAGAGGTTCTGGCTGGATATTAAAGATGCCAAAGAATAAATTCAAGAAAAAGCCAGGTTCATCCCTTGGTAAATACATGTGTTCCTACTTCAATGCTTGTCGTTATGACTGACATGTGTCAATCTTGGTTTTCAGGATAACAGCTTTATCTGATGGGTGACATTACCGAAAAAATTGCAACACCCTCTGAATTCGTGCAATGCCCATACTTACTTCATTCTTCAACATTAGTTTCGCACACCGGAGCCAAGATTAAATGTGGCAGTTGCTTCATTGTAGTTGCTCATACCAGAGACGTGTTAACAGCTGATCATCACGACCACCATCACCACCATTTTCCGTTATTTCCATTACTTTGCAGACTGTCCGTTTTAAACAGTGTTTACTATGCGCAACTACTTGGTACTGTCTCCATCTGTTTGTGTGACTCTTGTCAGCCATGTCTACTAGTTTCTTATGACTATTTGTGGTCACCCCAACTCTTATCATAATAGTGATACCCATGCATTAAGTTAAAGGGAAGAAACCATCCAACATTTGTCCAACTCTCAGTGGTCTAGCCAGCACTATTTTATCCAAGTGACTTGACAAACTGGACATTGGTTCAACTTTGTTGACAATGAGAGGGAAATCCTCGAGGGGCGGTGAGGCAGTCTTGTGGTTAAAGTGTTCATTCATCACGCCAAAGACCTGAGTTCCAATTCCCCATATGGGTACAATGTGTGAAGCCCATTTCTGGTGTCCCCTGCCATGATGTTGCTGGAATATTGTTAAAAGCAGCGTAAAACCATACTCACTCTCTTGAATCCTAGCATTTGCATGATGTTTGCTAAATCTTTCATATTGCAAATTTGTCTTTTATAAGCATACAGCATGTGTACATATTTTTGCGGACTATTTTTGCAACATTGGACAAGCCTTTTTTCAGGCAAATTGCATATAATACAACAATTACTTTTCCATTTGTTATCCATGTTTTCTGGTATAAAACCTACACCACTGCATTTGATTTCCTTTGCTTGTTTCTCAGTTAATGGCTTTATTCCAAGTATAAGTCCTATTACCTCACAAAGACTATGCAAAACTCAATAACCAACATTCACCCCTGCTTCTAACATTGTTTATTTAATGTTATCACAATTTATGTAGTTATCAGTGGTCCGCAAGTGGAGTAATTATTAAATAGAAGACTTTGATATGGTTATGTAGTATGCACATGCCAGTGTGGAATGGTCAGTTGACTTGATAGCAACATCCATCAAAGGTTTAACTGATTATACCTTGATTTTGATTGTTTAACCACTGTTGTCTCTACACGGTGAATTTGTCAAAGTGAAGTGTCAATATAATTAGGTTTACAGATGAAATACACCTATATCTGGATAGGTGTGTATGTAATGATGATGATTTGGAAATATTTGCATTTTGATGCATATTTTGCTCACATATGGACAATGTTTATAAGTAGAAATAAGGATTACCCAGTGTCTGTTCTTGTGAACTAACCAGGAAGTATCCATCAGCTGTTAGCTTATTTTCTACCAATGTTCTGATGATTTGGTTATCATATGTTCATTTAGTTGTTTAAGGTTTGGTAAACCATGCCAATCAAATGTTCTAAAATATTATTGGGGTTGGTTACCCCTTTCAGATTACCCTTACTGTTAGTTGCGAATTCGGATTTGCAAATTTAACACTATTTAGCATTGTACAGTATTTCAACAATTAAGTGTCCAGGGGCATATTTCTTCCGGGTGCTTTCAAACCACCAGTGTTGTGTTGCTAAGATAATAATGGTGAGAATTCTATACATAAAGAGTACCTGGCATTTGAGGAAGTAAGGTATCCATTATCTGACCAATTGGAATCTGTCTGAGAGGTATGACCACGGTGATGTTGTTTTGCAGTGGAGAGGAAAAGGGCTCTGAGAGAGGCGGCACAGGAAGCGAAACAAGATGAAAACAGATCCAAACTGAAGGGAAAACAGAACTATTCTGTTGACCAGCTCCTGGACAAGGTGATCTTTATGAATACACAACGCCATTTACAAAGTCTTCAAATGTACAGCTTGTTCAGCTTGACCTGAGCTACTCTACATATGCATGACCCGCGAGGTTAAATGGCACAAATGGCAGGTCGAGTTAACTTCATTAAATAGGGGAGCAGAGAATGTTATTAATGTTGCTGCTCACTGCATAAAAGCTCGGATCTGAAACATTAAACCATCTTTAGCTTCTTTTTTAAGTTTAAAGAAAGTTAGGACATTGCTGGCGATTTCTCGACACTGAGATGTCAAAAAGCGACTTTGTCTCGGCTGTTGGGACATATTGACAATCAACTGACAAAGATGCACCCCTTCACAATAATAGACCCAACCAGTTTTGACACGGTCACTTTATGCATTAGTATTCACTTGATCAGGTCGAGCTGAACAGGTTGTAACAATGATATATTTGGAGATTACACTTGCTGAGCAGAGTACAAATTCTTTTACTTTTGTTGGGTTGTGTCCCATCCCGTGGCTGAGGTGGCTGACTTTGTGTGCTGGCGATTAGGTATGAGGGTTTGGGTTCGAATCCCAGATGGGACTCAACCCAACAAAAGTACTAGAATTTCAACTATGTGCCCTTGGCAGACGAAAATGGAAAAAACACTGGAATTAAGTTCAACATTTAGAATTTTTTTTTGAATTGCACGAAAACAAATATCAGCCTCTGAATAAATCCATTTGAATCCCTGATAGACAGTGAACAAGCGTCATGGACAAATTTTTATTAAAGGTATAGTTTTATTGATGACATGTTTTACTGGTCTGCTTGGCTGTCACATAGCGATCAAGAAAGACTTTTGCAGAGTAGCTGCAAATGTGTGGTCATGGTGATGGGCAACTTTACCATTTTACTCACCCTGCCTAAATAGTGGGTTCACTCACAGGCCCTCGTGTCTTTGCGAGGATTAATTATTAAAAAAATATTGTTTTTGAGATGACCCCGAACTCAAAATGTTTCACAGTACAATACATCATGACAAGGCCAGACACTTCGGTGCACCCCACCGACTGCTTTGCCGTTCGCTACGCTACCATGCAATCAATTAAAACTTAATGGAAACATAATCATGGATGATTGGCCTATCGAGGACCACTCATGACACCTACCAATTCTTTATTGTTATTTCTGCAAGTCGATTGAAACCCGATTTTGACTCCAACTAAACGATCTTGACACAAATGGCTGACGATATATCCGCACAAAACGGGGATGTGGTTGAAGCATGCCCTCTGGTTGGTCAACGCTGCTAAATCTGCACATTCTTTATAAATTCTCGGGAATTTTTACTTTCATTGACTGCTTGACTTGGAAGTAAGATTTTTTCCAGCAATGGCTTCTCAAAAGAAAGCATCATTTGTAAATGTCTCTTTAACAAACATCGACCACCCCATTTTAATTTGGAAAACAGTATTAGGTTCATTTTTTTTATTCATCCATGATTATGTTTATGTTAAGATTCAATTGACTTTTGATTATGCAAATGTAAAACTGATCACATTACAATTTCACTGCCCCCTAGATTATGTAGATCATTTATAAAAATGTAAAACGAAACCCTTTCACTGCCTAGAAACCCTTTTAGAAAACCCAGCGTCACAGTGAAGGTGTTCAATTAACATGATACTTAATGTCAATTGACAGGCGGAAGACTGCATTGACAGGTTTGAGTTTGAAATGGCCCAGAAGTTCTGCCAACGAGCCTTGGAACTGGAACCCGATCACATCCGTGCCTTGGAGACAGTCGGGACACTGCTACTGGAGGTCGGCAACACTGATGGCGCCAAACAGGTATGTACTGGGAGACATCTGGCGTCATCTGTACTGGGTCACACGTTTGACAAGAGTTGCTTCCCTTGGGTGTGCAGGATTTATAGGATCAGTGATTCCAGTATAAGAGTTGCTTCCCTTGGGTGTGCAGGATTTATAGGATCGGTGATTCCAGTATAAGAGTTGCTTCCCTTGGGTGTGCAGGATTTATAGGTGATTCCAGTATAAGAGTTGCGAGCTTTGTCTACAACATAACCTCTGCTCATGGATTTCACCAAACTGATAAAAGCCTGGAGTCACTTCCTGTCTTCATCTAACATCAAGATTACACACCATGGCCTAGCTTATGTTCTGTTCAAAGTGGTATTTGATAAAAGTAACCCTCTCACTCGGACATTGCCCTCACTCACTCATTCACTTACTCAGCTAAACCCTCCCACCCACACGCTCACGCACGCACTCATGCACGCACTCACTCACTCTAATACCAACACTGACACACTCACATGTGCTTCCACAGTGCAATAATCTTGAAGTGAGGTTGAAATTGGGTTAATGTCGCACCTAAGAATATTTCGTTCATATGACGACGTGCATCATGCGTGTCTATGTGTGGCTGCTTGTAGTTGTACTAGCCCAGACTTACGCTGGTTTTATAGTGCTAGCTCACTGAGATACCATGCCGCAGTTAAGCATGAGTACCCCACTCAGACACATTATACTGACACTGAGACAACCAGTCAGGCAGGCAGGGACCGACAAGAACCATATTTTAACGTGCAATAATCTTGAATGTTAACTGAAACCCGTTTTCATTTCACAGTTCTAGAAATTCCAAGAACTAGATTGTAGCTTATCTAATAAGATTGTAAGACCAAATTAGTTTCAAATTAAGATAAGCGGTTACAACTTACAGTTATAGGTCGAAACAGTTCACATATTCATAGGTCATGCCGTAATGTCTATACAAGCACCATGTTCTTCCTTTGTTCTGTGTAGATCGATGCTCATGATGTTGATCACTGGATTATCTGGTCCAGACTCAAGTTTTTACAGACTGAGCCATAGAGCTGGAATATTGCTGAGTGTGGCGAAAAAGTAAACTCACTCACTCACTCACTCACTCACTCACTCACTCACTCACTCACTCACTCGAGTGTTTCTGTGGTTACAGTGATTCTGGAGGGGGGTCAGTTAATGGTTCATCACCTTGTATGTCTGTTCACTGACTGATGCAGTTGTAATCTGCAAGCACCTGTTGTAAAACGTTCACTCCCATCCTTGTTCCAGTGTTTTGGGCGAGCAGTGGAGGTCAGTCCGGAGGAGGGTCACACCAAGTACATGTACCTGGGCCAGCTGATGGAGGGGGCCATGGCCGTGCAATGCTTCCAGAAGGGCATCGAGCTAATGGTCAAGGAGAAGGGGGAGAGGGAGGCTAAGGAGGTGAGACCAACATTGTCAGTACTTGGTGCATGCACTGCCTTTCTCCAAATTGACGCTCTGCATTGTAGTCACTGTTGTTACCATTAGGTCAAGCAGTAGCCATGTTACAGCAAGAGGGAAGTCTGCATTCAGACCAATTTGTGGTGACAAGGTGGATCGTCTGACGTCACACCCAGCACCACATTGCTGGTAACCTGTGTGGATGGTAACCTGTGTGGATAGTGTTAGTGACAAGGTGGATCGTTTGACGTCACACCCAGCACCACATTGCTGGTCACCAGTGTGGATAGTGTTAGTGACAAGGTGGATCGTCTGACGTCACACCCAGCACCACATTGCTGGTCACCTGTGTGGATAGTGTTAGTGACAAGGTGGATCGTCTGACGTCACACCCAGCACCACATTGCTGGCGTGTGGATAGTGTTAGTGACTAGGTGGATTATCTGATCACACCCAGCACCACATTGCTGGTCACCTGTGTGGATAGTGTTAGTGACAAGGTGGATCGTCTGACGTCACACCCAGCACCACATTGCTGGTCACCAGTGTGGATAGTGTTAGTGACAAGGTGGATCGTCTGACGTCACACCCAGCACCACATTGCTGGTCACCTGTGTGGATAGTGTTGGTGACAAGGTGGATCTCTTGTCACCATGTCATCATGATCATACCCAGATTGCATGAAATGTTGTCCCCCACCGCAACGGGGAACGGGGGACTTTGTATTCAGTCGTGTCCGTATGTACGTCCCGATTTTTGTTAACGCAATATCTCATGAAATGTTGTACCCAATGTCTTCAAATTTGGTGACAGCCTACATTGGGGAATTACACTGATACCAGTCGATTTTGGTGACCTTGACCTTAATTTCAAGGTCACGACAACAATTCGACCACTTTTCAAACTCTTGTTAACGCGATATCTCATAAAACATTGCGCCCAATGTCTTTAATTATGTCGACAGCCAACATTGGGTGATTATTCAGACACCAGTCATTTCAGGCATGTTGTATGTGACCCCCACAAAAAAGTAGTAAATTTGTTTTAAATATTCCATTCTTTAGCGGCGGGGGACATTGCCATATGAGTGGCACACACTGATTGTTCATATTTACAATCACTGGTTTGCTTGGACCATCTCAAGTATTTACAGACAACTGTGACATGGCTTGAATATGGCTTTGAACTAGTGGTGGTCCGGTTAATTGAAATAATCGAAGATTGGTCGCAATGACTAAACGACCAAGCAATCGATCATGTTTTCTCATAATCGAACACAAACAACTTTGGAACACTTGCTTGCATTAACAATATTTTTCACAAGGTTGGTTTTGTCTGTTACATTTCATAAACACTACATACAGGCTCGTTCCAAGTCATATTTGAATTTATCTTAAATACTCCAGCAAATTTATGTTCCTAACTTACTAGACATCCTTTTAAAATGTGAATAAACCAAAAGAACTACACATCTGTTTTTATTCTTTGTGGATTAAAAAACATAAACAGGACATTTTGATAAATGACGCTAACCAATTATTTTCGATGATTGATTGGTTGTAATGAACCAATCATCAATTATCAGAAATAAACCAATTCCCAACACTACTCTTAACAGCATTCACTCATTTGTCTTTCCGTTCCAGCTTGTTTGGATTTGGTCTACTTGTATTGTGACTGCGATGTTTCTGCTTAAGAAAACATCATCAGTCTTAGCATGTATGTGTTTGTCTGCTTTTTGCTATCAGCAGAATACCTTGATGCCATTTCCTTTTATTTTCATATTGTTCCATCTTGTAATGTGTTAGTACATAGTATCCTGAACGAAAATAAAATATGTTATAAGTAGGAATCATGAACATAATGGCAAAGTGTACTTATTGTGAATACTGAGCACATGTTCATAAAAATATCTCCCCCCAAATATTCTTGATTCCTAGATTGTTTGATATATTTTTAGGGGGTATTGAAATTGCTGATGTTGTTTGTTTTTTTATGTTCAACAATGTGTACAACACTCATTTGATAATTTGTAGTTATATCCACCTCGTCAATAATTCTTAAGATGAAGACCATTAACATGATTCAGAAAATACCAAGCAATTGTGAAACGTTCGTCATTTATCAAGGGTCTGTATTTCTTGTTCATATATCAGCGTTGTTGTGTTGCTCATTTACATGAATATGTTGTTTTAACAGTGACCAGCCAAAGATCCTCAAACATATTTTTACAACTGTCTCGTGCTGTCATCAGGTTGCAGCAGCGTGCCGTGGAGCTGATGAAGCCCCGATCACCGACAGAGACATCTCCAACGCCTTCTGCTCCATTGCAGAGATATACATGACAGACTCATGGTACGTACTGGCAAGACAAACTCCTTCTTATCCCTATACTTGACGTTTGACTCGTGAAGGTCTGGGTTAGAATATTGGCCTTCAGTAACCCATGCTTGTCGTAAGAGGCGATTAACGGGATCGGGTGGTCAGGCTCGCTGTCTTGGTTGACACATGTCATCGGTTCCCAATTGTGCAGATCGATGCTCCTGCAGTTGATCACTGGATTGCCTGGTCCAGACTCGATTATTTACAGACCGCCACCACATAGCTGGAATATTGCTGAGTGCGGCGTAAAACTAAACTCACTCACTCACTATACTTGATGTCAAGACCAGTAATAGATTCTCTAATGTTTAATGTCAAGGGGCCTGGCTGCAGAGAAAGATGTGGAATGTTGTACTGTAATATTTCATCCTTACTTTGATTACATGACCCATGTATTTTTTGTAAAGAGTTTTGAAAATACTATCATGTGTGTCATCTTGGTATGGATTGTTATGTGTCGGTATTAATGCATGTGATATACTCTTATCTTATGCTTTAGCTTAAGACCCGTGAAGATCTGGGTTAGAATTGTTCTTCAGCAACCCATGCTTGTCGCAAGAGTCGATTAAAGGGGTCAGGTTGTCAGGCTCGCTGACTTGGTTGACACATGTTATCGTATCCCAATTGCATATATCAATTCTCATGATGTTGATCACTGGATTGTCTGGTCCAGACTATATATTTACAGACCATCGCCATATTGCATGAATATGGCTGAGTGTGTCATAAAACTAAACTTACTCACTCACACACCAAAGTGAGCAACAAACATTAGCTAATTTCTTTCAGTGTTCTTCCAGGACAGGTTAGATTTTTCATTTATCCACTCGGTCTGTGTTTATGCCTTTTTCAGTTTTGATGAAGATGCTGAAAACAAGTGTAAAGAGAATGTGGAGAAGGCTATCGAGACAGACGGAGAAAACCCTGAAGCATACCAGCTGAGGGCCAGCTTCATGTTGTCTAAAGACAAGAAAGACGTCAGTTTATTGTTATGTTATTTATTAATTAGGTTCGACCCGTGAAGGTCCGGGTTAGAATGTGCCTTCAGTAACCCATGCTTGTCGCAAGAGGCGACTAACGGGATCGGGTGGTCAGGCTCGCTGACTTGGTTGCCATATGTCATCGGTTCCCAATTGTGCAGATCGATGCTCATGCTGTTGATCACTGGATTGTCTGGTCCAGACTCGATTATTTACAGACCGCCGTCATTTAGCTGGAATATTGCTGAGTGCGGCGTAAAACTAAACTCACTCACTCACTATTAATTAGGTTCATTAAACAACTGTGTTGTAGATGTATTAAATACTCACAAACCTCATTATGTTTGTATATCGAAAACCCGGGGTTTGAATCCCCACATGGGCACAATGTGTGAAGCCCATTTCTGGTGTCCCCCGCCGTGATGTTGCTGGAATATTGCTAAAAGCAGCGTAAAACCAAACTCAGTCAGTTGTATATCATCTATGTTAAGCATTCTCTTGTCATATTTGAAACTAGCAATTGTGCAACATGAACAATAGGTTTTATCAGAGTATATTTCATGGGGAATTTGCTTTAAGAAATCAGTTTAAAAATAGTCAATGAAATAAGTGAATACAATTTCAAAGTTAGCTTGTGACTAACTTGACTGAAGTTGAATACATTTGTGTGTTTGATAGTAAAAAATATAAATATGAAAGAGATGAGACATCATTGAAAGTAATTCATATTTCACAGCTAGTATCAGCATTATAAGAATTATTCTCTTGTGTCTAGGAAGCCAGAGAAGATATAAAGAAGAGTGTGTCACTATGGTTACCAAAGGTGCAAGCGATGGATAAAGGAGATGTACCTGATGAAGAATTTGACCCCGTTGAGGTGAGACTCAGTAATGAAAAGGACTATGATGAAAAACCTGCTTGACCATTGAGATTGTTACATGACATATGAAGAAAGTGACCGGTGTAATGTGTTTTCTGACCATGAAACCTCAAATTGAATGACATTTATGACTGTGCGACTGATTCTTTGCAAAATGGATGTAATGTTCAATTGCCTGGATACTGCCATTCAGTCGCACACATGTATAAGATGGTCAACAATTTACGTTTGTTCATTTTTCAAAATTTGCATGTATATTTTTCAAAGTGTCGTGTGATATGGAAGTCGCCATTTTTAAATTTGGGCTGTCCAGCTCCAGAATGCTGGTTTTGATTGGCTAATATCAACTTCCTGTTAATCATTCCATTTGTCCGTCAGTGTTTTTGAAGGTTGTTCTGACATGACCTTAAGCAGGATGTCCTGAGGTCTTTGTTCAGCAATAATGACTTGTGAGATCTGATCTTAATGACATTGTTTATTGCTGATGCTTTCAATCACAGCTTTGCTCATACACACCTGGTATATAGCTTGATTGGAGATGGAAGGGGTAAAGAGTACTCTCTCTCTCTCTCTCTCTCTCTCTCACTCACACTCACTCACTCAGTCACTCACTCAGTCACTCACTCACTCACTCACTCACTCTCACTCACTCACTCACTCACTCACTCACTCCCACTCACTCACTCACTCACTCACTCACTCACTCACCACAGGGTTTAGCAAATAGTTATATAACAATGTTAACTTCTGTTTCCAGACTGTTTCACTGACCTTCGATGCCCGAGTAGCTTCAGGGAAGATTCTGATTGAGGTGGAGGAGTTTGAGGTAGGTCATTCAGTGATTCATGTCAACAGGGAAGATTCTGATTGAGGTGGAGGAGTTTGAGGTAGGTCATTCAGTGATTCATGTGAACCAAGCATGAACACACTCACTCATACAGGATGCTATACTTCAGTTCTGTTTGAAGATTAGCTGGGCAGGTTTGCTGCCTTAGCTTTGTAATTGTTGTCACTATCACTGCTATGATGTCCAGGGGTGATGGGGTAGCTTAATGGTTAAAGCGCTCGCTTGTCAAGCCAGAGACCCGGGTTTGATTCCCCACATGGGTACAATGTGTCCTGCTGTGATATTGCTGGAATATTGCTAAAAGCGGTGTAAACTCACTAGGATGTCTAAATTATCACAGAATTTCACTTGCTTAAAAGGACAGCTATTTGAAGTTTAATGATACAAGAATTTAGAAGATTTAGAATACCTTTTATCCAGGGTATTAATTGAAACTGGAGATATTAAACACCTGTAAAAAGATCTGGTCAATGGCAGTGCATATCATCATATGCCAATGGCGTAGATTGATGCTTATGATGTCAGTCACGTGATGGTCTGGTCAAGACCAGTGTGTTATAACTGGAATAAACGAACACTCGGCAATATTTCAATGATGACACTTGTATATGTCGTTCTAATGGACACTCATATTGCTGCCACTACCATTGGGTATATGCTCAACAGCAAGTGCTGTGAGACTGCTAATTACTGGCATAATGCAGGATTGATCCTGTGAAGTTATTCGAAAGAGTTTGAGTAGGATCTTGAGACAATGCAGTATCAAATATAGATAAACTGTACAATCTTGGGCCAACCCAGCAGAAGAGGGATGGAGCTAGCATCACAAATATGTGTAGTCGCTTAAAAACTCCACAATCAGGTTGGCTAGGTTGGTTGGTCTGTTGTCCCCCACCGCAACGCAGAACGGGGTACTATGTATTCAGCAGCATCCGTACGTATGTACGTTCCGATTCTTGTTAACGCGATATCTCCTGAACTGTAGTACCCAATGTCTTCAAATTTGGTGACAGCCTGCATCTGGGGATTACACAGACACAAGTCGATTTTGGTGACCTTGACCTTATTTTCAAGGTCACCATAACACTTTGACCACTTCTCAAACTCTTGTTAACGCGATATTTCATGAACTGTTGTACCCAATGTCTTCAATTATGTCGACAGCCTACATTGGGGGATTACACAGACACCAGTCATTTCTTGTATGGACCAAACAATAGAAAGTAGGAAATATGTTATGAATATTTCATTCTTTAGCGGCGGGGGACATTGCCATATTAGTGGCAAACACTTGTTGTTTAACGTTGCGCTCAGCAATATTCGAACTATATGGCAGCGGCCTGTAAATAATTGAGTCTGAACCAGACAATCCAGTGATCGATAGCACAAGCATCGATCTACACAACTGGGATACAATGTCTCTTATGACAAGTATGTGTTACTGAAGACAAATTTTGTCCGGTATCTTCACGGGTCTCAACATTGGCCTGTCTAGCTGACTGACATGGACTGGACAAACAAAGCATGGGCTTAGTCAGTGTGTAGTGTGCCTGATGACAGCTGTAATTTGTGATGTGACTAACACTACCGTTACCCCGTAGCTGGCCTGTGAGGTGCTGGAGTCGCTGCTGGACGAAGATGACGAGGTGCCCCCCGTGTGGTACATGCTGGGCTGGGCCAACTACCTGCAGGGGCAAGACTTCAGGGAGAATGCCAGGTACTATCTCAACAAGGCCAATAAGGTAAGCAAGCCCTAGTTGTCTGGATTAGTGTTGATAAGGTGGGGCGGTGGGGTAGCCTAGTGGTTAAAGTGTTGGCTCGTCACGCCGAAGACCCGGGTTTGAATCCCCACATGGGTACAATGTGTGAAGCCCATTTCTGGTGTCCCCTGCCGTGATGTTGCTGGAATATTGCTAAAAGCGGCGTAAAACTAAACTCAGTCAGTCAGTTGATAAGGTACTTTCCAAATTAACTCACAGGTCCTTTCACAAGTTCTCGGGAACACTATGGACAACATTTTCAATATATCATTACATTATCAATTTAATACTATTGAGGGGCGGTGGATAGCCTAGTAGTGAAAGCATTTGCTCGTCACACCGAAGACCCATGTTCGATTACCCACATGGGTACAATGTGTGAAGCCCATTTCTGGGTCCCCAGCTGATATTGCTGAAATATTGCTTAAATTGGCATAAAACTAAACTCACCCACTAATATTGTTGATAATAAATGTTTTACAGAGGTATGGTCTTTCATTTAATTCACTTTGCCTGACACAAATTTATTGAGACTGCTCCTGTATGGCGGCATATTGTGACTTGGACTAAAGAAACATTCACTCACTCACGCTTGTGTTACCATGGTTACAGGTGTATGCCAAGGTGAAGTACGAGGATGCTGATCTGTTGAAGCATATCACAGATTTATTGGAAGAGATTGGGCCAGGTGAGCTAAAATTGCCAAACTGGTTGCTCAGCTTCCTTCCACTTGACAGATGCCTAACTTAGCTTTACTTGTCTTGAAACTTGATCTTATTGTCAGTTTTATTCTCATCTGTTTAAGACAGATGGAGAAAGGTTCTATGAATCAGTTATGACTCTTACACAGTTATCTCAACAATTTCTAAAAAAATCTATTTGCTATTAATGTTTCCTCCAGGATCCAAAAAGGGCAGGGAGACAGAATTCCAAAAGGTGTAATTGTATTCCAAAAAGAGCCATGCAATGACAGATATCCAAGTATTATGTTAAGTTCTACATGGATATGATTCTTAAAGGCTCAAACAGCACAGTTATTTCACTTCAACATAAAACAAAACCTAAAAACCACCGAGTGTTGATATTAATTATTGTATTAAAAAGAAGGGCACCAAATATAGAGGGCAAGGTGTTGCACCCTGCCAAAACTGCCTAGGGATGCTTTGGAAGATGATTTCAGTCTGGTGGCTTGATTGGACAATATATGGGAGTTTGTGTCCATGGAAAGTTTAGATATACTATGGACTTTGATTTTTATTCAGATGTGTAATTGTAGTTATTATTCATGTAATTAATCTTAACATGGCAATTTGAGCGAAGTTTAGGTGTGTATTTCACCAATCGCATCAAAATCAGAGCTTTTTATCCCCCCCAGCATGTAAAGTTGGGGGATATAGTCGATGCCTCGTCCGTCCGTAATCATTTTGTTTCCAGAGCATAACTCAAAAACCGTTCACTATTTTTCAACAAAAATGGGTAAATATATCAAACAGAACCTAAGGTGGTGCCTTTTGCTGTTTACAGATTTTTGTCATTTATATTTTTCTCGGTTTCCATGGAAACGTTTTGGACTTAGTCCCAAACGCGAGGGGTGGGCTTCGTTTCCGGAGCACAACTTGAAAACCGTTCAATATCTTTCAGCAGAACTTGGCAGATATATGAGAGATCTTGAAGTGATGCCTTTTGCTATTTACAGATTTTTGGCATTTATATTTCTCATGATTTCCATGGAAACGATTTGGACTTAGTTTAAAAAAGTCAAGCTGGACTTAAAGTAATTGTCAGATGATTTGTTCTTTCAAATATGTGGGGGCCGGGGGGATATGTCATCTTCTGATGACTCTTGTACTTGACACGATACTACTCTTCATGAAGATCTGGAAAGATCCATAGCTGGTTGTGTGAGGTGGACTATTTAATCAGCCAATCAGGGCCAAGACTTCTAAGTTCTTGGGGCGGTGGGGTAGCCTAGTGGTTAAAGCGTTGGCTCGTCACGCCAAAGGTCCGGGTTCGAATCCCCACATGGGTACAATGCGTCAAGCCCATTTCTGGTGTCCCCGCCGTGATGTTGCTGGAATATTGCTAAAAGCGGCATAAAACCAAACTCAGTCAGTCAGTCTAAGTTCTTTATTGCATTAGGAGCAACATGACTGTGTCTAGAAGTGAATATAACCAAATGTGTGAAATAAAGACGTTATGGTTCATGCATTTCTGAGCACCGTGAGATCTAAACCCTACATGGATTAAGAGTTATTTTCTGGTGGTGGTTTTCTAGTTGAGATTAAAATGTTCAAATCAAGTAGGTACAAAAATAGCTGATGCTTGATTGGTCCAATGTACATGTCAGTACAGCTAGGGTTGAAAGAGAATTCATCGATGACACCAAATGCGAGGTATGAATCTGGCACCAAGACTGTGTGAGGTATAAATCTATGAACACCAGGCATTGAATCCATATTTTTCCTTGTATAGGTAAAGGTGATGACGATGATGATGCCCAGAATGGTGACAAGGACATTGAACCAGACAGCACTGATGACGAGGGCGAGGCTATGGAACACTAGACTTCAATGCCAGTTTATTCCATTTTGTTCTGTCAGAATTGTGGTGAAAGCAGTCAATATAATTAAAATGCCAAAAATAAAAATCTGTCCTGTGTGCTTGTATGTTTCCCAACCAAGATTACCTGCACGGCAGTCTGTATTGGACACTTTATTGTCTGTCTGACCGCCTCCGTGGTGTAGTGGTTAGAGCGTCCGCCCGGAGAGCGGAAGGTCGCGGGTTCGATCCCCGGCCGCGTCATACCAAAAGACGTTAAAATATGGTACTTGTTGGTCCCTGCAACAAGGACTGGTCGGCTCGGAGTCAGTATAATGTGTCTGAGTGGGGTATTCATGCGTCACTGCGGCATGGTATCTCAGTGGGCTAGCACTATAAAACCAGCTGTCTGGGCTAGTACAAGCAGCCGCACATACACATACACACGCATGCACGTCGTCATATGAGCGAAAGTTTCTCAAGCACGACGTTAAGCCCAATTTCACCTCACCTATTATCTGTCTGGCTTTGTTTCATAAGCTGTTGATTTTTAGCAATGAAATGTACTATATAGCTTACATACTTTCTTCATTTCTCTGTAAATACACTTAAGCCACGACTACAGGCAGTGAGGGATAGTCATGATGGTTGGGGATGGTGAGATTGGTCTGAGGACAGTGTCATGTGAATGACTAGTCCCTCTAGTGAGACAGGAGTCAGTTCAAGTATCACAGGGAGGTGCGGTAACCATGTGGTTTTGCGTTCGCTCATCACACTAAAGGTCCAGTTTCGATTCCCCATATGGGTACAATGTGTGAAGCCCATTTCTGGCACACACGTACATGCGCATACACATATGGCACACACACGCAAAATGTTGTTGCTAGAATATTGCTTAAAGCAACATAACACCAAACTCACTCACTCACTCACCAGTACTCACTCATCACAGCTATGAGTCATGGGCTGACAATGATTTGTTTACTTTTAGTCAAAGTCTTGCCCTTGAAGTTCTGTCATTATCGATAATAATGGGTTATCATTCTCTTTGGTCATGGGTTGTCAGTCTCCTGTGTTATGTCTCCCATGATTGTGTTACCATTCCCAGTTTGCTGGCACCATACCTGCTGGTTTTATGAAAGTGGTAAAAACTGAGCTTATCTCACACGTTCCTGTGACACAATGGGTAGTTACAGAACTACAGTACAGAGAGGCCTGCAGTGTGTCCAGTCCACTCTGTAGGGTGCAGCTACTTTGGTTGGGCTGAGAGTGTACTGTACTTCAGATTCAGGCGGGGCATTACTGTCTTAGCCGAAAACGTTTTGAATCAACCTGATTCTATTAAATGTGTTTGTTTGATGCCAGTTTGTTTAAGGGTCCTGATGTTATGAAGAACGTCTAAACCAAATGTCAAACTGTTTAACCAGTTGTGTTAAAACTATTAAAAGGCTTGTGTTTGTTTTTGTTGTTATTGTCTTTAGTTTTATAGCATCACACTCAGCAATATTATATGTATACAAGCGGGTCTGGTAATTCTGCGCAGCTGCAACAGCGTACTTCCGTATCGAAGGTAAAATCGTCTGCTACCACATTTACGCTTGATATCGGGACATTTCTAGAAGGGACTGGCTTTTAATCACTTAAGGTAAATAAATAACATAATTGACAGATAAATTGACAGTTTTATGAAAATTCGTTTTTTTCAGACTTTAAAACCTTTTTCTTTATTATTCATAACTGGATTTAATATGAAACACTCTTCCTTACATTGATGAAGTGATTTTTGAAAATAATCTGGTCCAAATACGCTTCCATACTTCGGATCTCCAGCTGGATGTCATGCGCATCAGTTGCTGCGCAGTATTAACGGATGCCGTCAGAACGCCGGTAAGGTCAACCGTATGGCATAATGCAACGTTAGAATCTTATAGTCGTCAATAAAACTTATATTTCTAGGTAAATATGATGCATACCAGCATATTTAGTCACGTAAACCACAAAAAATAAGAGACATTAGTTGCCGTGTTGCGATCGATGTGCTTAGGTGCGCAGAATTACCGGAAGGCATTGTATACGTATCAACTTTTAATATCCCATGATTGCCGTCTTGAGCATTGATCTGTGCAGTGACATTTATCAACATAGTCAGTGAGTCTGGCCAGCCCATCAGGTACAATTGTCTCTTGTAAAAAGCATGGGTTGCTGAAACAATTATAACTAAGATCTTCAAGAGGAACCCAGTTGGAACACATTCCAAGTATCATGTTTTGTATGGTGGCAAACCACAGACCCAGACCGCTGTCCAGGTTCTGTAGCTAGCTGCTGTATCATCATGTGCTCCATTCTCTTTGTGAGACTCTATTCAATATAAGTGAGATAAATATGGTATCCCACTTAGACCTTGCTGTTCATTATAATTGCGGTATATATCCTATCACCATCTGGCTGTTGAGAGGTGTGTAGTAGTGCTGGGAATTGGTTAAAGTCTCATAATTGATGATTGGTTCATTACAACCGATCAATCATCGAAAATAATTGGTTAGCGTCATTTATGAAATGTGTTAATGCACAAAAACATAAGGAAAAAAACATGTAGTTCTTTGGGGTTTTATTGGCAAAGTTTCACATCTTTAAAGGATGACTAGTATGGAGGAACATAAATTTCTTAGAGTCTTTAAGATAAATTCAATCATGACTTGGAACGAGCTTGTAGTGCTTATGAAATGTAACAGACAAAACCAACCTAGTGAAAAATTCTGTTAATGAAAACAAGTGTTCTAGAATTGTGTTCGATTATGAGAAAACATGATCGATTGCTTGGTCGTTTAGTCACTGCGACCAATCTTCGATAATTTCAATTAATCGGACCACCACTAGTGTGTAGTATTGCGACCTTGCTGCTCACAAATCTGAGATGTCTACCATAACACCACCTTGCTGTTGACATGTTTGTGGTATTGATATTCCATTGTTCAATGTTATTGAAGTATCTGTCATATCACGAACTTGCTGTTTCAGTATTTGTAATAAACTTTAGGAAATGGGGCGGGTCACATTTGGAATTCCCCTCAGCTGCTCCTTGTTTCAACAGGGCAGTGGGGTAGCCAAGTGGTTATGGCGTGATTCATCACACTGAAGATCTGGGTTTGATTCCCCACATGGGCACAATGTGTGAACCCCATTTCTGGTGTCCCCTGCCGTGATATTGCTGGTATATTGCTAAAAGCAGCATAAAATCAAACTCACTCACTCACTCACTTTGTTTCAACCTTTGACACCAACATGCCTGACCCAGGTTACAGTGTTCTTGCAGCTGTGCAGCTGTGATCTACAGCTGCAGTGTGTTTACTGGTCCACAGAGACAGACACTGAGCAACTATTGTATGATTTAATGATGATGATGGAAATGTGTACAATGGAAGGACAGTTATATCAGCAGCCGACTGACCAAGAGGATGACACTAAGTTGAAGAGCGCTGATCATGTGCCATTGAGCTCCACACACCTCTCCCTCCTTATCTGGAATACAAACATATCAGGACATTAATTCAGTTGTTATTTTTGTCCATAGGAATTGTCCTTATTAGTAATGGATGGCAGACCACTGGCGTCTGCCTGGGAGCAGATAGCAGTGGTTTGATTCCAGCTGCATCACACTAAAAGGTGGAACTTGTTGTTTCCCTGCCTGGTGATCGGCATTAAAGGAACAAAACAAGTTATGGTCGACTCACAGAGAGTATAATGTAGCTGAGTGGGGTGTCCATGTTAAACTGCATAGTATCTTAATAGGCTAGCACTATAAAACCGGCATTATATCATTCCAAACCAGTACAAGAAAACAGGCATACCCATACATGCACAGTGCTACACAAATGCAAAAATCTTAAACTGGACAATTTCTGCAAAAATGTACAAACTCACTGACACAGACTTGCTTGCACATTGCTATTGGAATGCAGTAATCTTGAATTAACTAAACCTATTTTTTCACTTCACTGGTAAAGTAACACCAAATACCTGATTGTATCCTAGCAGTTGTATTTGATTGTAACCTGCTGGAATGTGTGTCACCCGAATATTTCAAGGAGGAAGTTCGTGACAGAATAGGTATAACCATACACCTCCAGTCCCCAATTCTATGTACGTGTATTGTAAGAGTTAGTATGATCTTAGTGGCATTTAGGATTCCAAGCGAGTCCGGTAATTCTGCGCAGCTGCAACAGCGTACTTCCGTATCGAAGGTAAACATCGTCTGCTACCACATTTATGCTTGAAGTCGGGACATTTCTACAAGGGACTGGCTTTTAATCACTAAAGGTAAGTAAATAACAGTAATTGACAGATAAATTGACAGTTTTATGAAAATTTGTTTTCTTCAGACTTTTAAACCTTTTTCTTCATTATTCGCAGCTGGATTTAATATGAAACACTCTTCCTTACATTGATGAAGTGATTTTTTAAAGTAATCTGGCCCTAATACGCTTCCATACTTCGGATCTCCAGCTGGATGTTATGCGCATCAGTTGCTGCGCAGAATTACCGGACAGCAAGCGATGTCGTCAGAACGCCGGTAAGGTCAACTGTATGGCATAATGCAACGTTAGAATCTTATAGTCGTCAATAAAACGTATATTTCTAGGTAAATATGATGCATACCAGCATATTTAGTCACGTAAACCACAAAAAATAAGAGACGTCAGTTGCCATGTTGCGATCGATGTGCTTAGGTGCGCGGAATTACCGGAAGGCTTTGTATACGTATCAACTTTTTATATCCCACGATTGCCGTCCTGCAAGCAACATGTGGAAAGGGGACACCTTAAATGGGCTTCACATACGGCACCTATGGAACGAATCCGGGCCTTCAGTGTGAGGAGCAAACGCTTTAACTTCCGGAGCACCCACCGACCCTCGTGCCTACTTCCAACAAACAGTTTCGTCATGTTACCGAATTGTTGATGTTAAACAACTGATAAACAAACAAGCCAGGAAATATTTGGTCACCATTTTTAGGGCTCCTTGCCTCTAGGCAGGAGATCTATTGTAATTGTTCGGATTATTATTATTATTATTTATTATGTCGCCGATTTTTGTACCAAACATAACTCCTAAACCAATGCTCCGAATCGCTTACGAAAAATCACACAGATGCGCACAGAGGTGTAGATATTCCCCCAAAATTTAACCCACCAGAGAACGTTAATTTCTCGAAGCCGGCAGATTGGCCGGACTGGCGAAAGCGTTTTTTGCGATTTCGTATCGCCACGAAACTCAAAAAGAGTCTGAGGACATACAGTCCTCATCATTAGTGTATACCATGGGTAAGGAAGCAGACACAATTCTGACCTCTTTTACATGGGGAACTGATGAGAACCAGACTTATGATAATCTTGTCAAAAAGTTTGATGCACATTTCATTCCAAAGCTGAATATCATTCAGGAACGTGCCAAATTTTATCAGCGCTCGCAGAAACGGGGAATCTGTGGAGCATTTTATCAGGAACTTGAACTAGCTGAACAGTGTGATTTCGGAGACAAAAAAGAGGAGGCAGTCAGGGACAGAATAGTTATCGTCATTCTTGATAAGGAAGTTTCAGAGAAAATGCATTTGAGACCAAAACTAACCCTTGAAGATGCAAAACAAATGGCCAGACAGTTTGAATTGGTCAAGTCACAGATTAAGGACCAGGACAACAGTGGAAAAGATTTGGAGGAGCTAAGAAGTCGATCTAAGCCTTCAAAAGGGGCCAGTCATTCACAAGGTTCACATGGTGGAAGGAACGGTCCATGTTTCCATGGAAATCCTGGATTTGGTGGCAAGAGTGATTTTCATTATAAGGGACATTCACCGAAGCAACCTACGGACAGCAGACAGTGTGGACGTTGCGCTCGCCACCATACCGGTAGGAGGTGTCCTGCGTCAGGAAAAAAATGCAATAAGTGCAAGAAAATTGGGCATTTCGAGGCTGCTTGCAATAGTAAGTTTGTTCATGAGGTGGACACTGTCCCGAAGATACCACAGACAGATACTGAATTCTTCCTTGGAGCTGTGGACTGTGGTGATTCAAAGGAACCATGGTATGTCAAACTTAAGATTCAGGACACCCCTGTTGTCCTGAATATTGACACTGGTACTGATACGACTGTTATTAACGAGGAAACATAAGAAATTGAATATTGTTCCGAGGTTGGAGAAGCAACAACAAAGCTTAGTGGTATTGGGGAAAAGATTGAATGCATTGGCGAGTTCAGTACACTTACCAGATACCGAGGGGACATTTACAGGTTCTGTTGTTGTCATCAGAGGACATGGAAACCTACTTGGTAGAGATGTCTGTAAGAAAGGGGACTGATAAAGTATGTTGCAGAGATTTCCAGTGACTTATTTGGCACCAATGGATTGCTGGATTGTGATGCAGTCAAGATTAAGTTGTGAGAAGATGCTCAGCCATACTCAATTTCCGCAGCACGTAAGATTCCATTTCCGCTTTTGGGGAAAGTGGAGCAGAAGTTAAAGCAAATGATAGATGCTGACACCATAGAAGAAGTGAAAGAGCCAACAGAATGGTTGAAAAGCTCAGGACAGATAAGGATATGTGTGGATCTGAAAAGGTTGAACGTGAGAGATTCATGCTTCCAACTTTAAAGGATATTGCACCCAAGTTAGCAGGGTCAACAGTATTCACAACCCATGATGCCGCAAGTGGATTTTACCAAATTCGTTTGCACAAAGACAGTCAGAAGCTTACAACTTTCATGACACCATTTGGGTGTTACTGCTTCAAGAGAGTACCCTTTGTTATTACGTCGGCGCCCGAGATTTTTCAGAGACAAATGTCAGAACTGTTGTCCAACCATCAGGGTACAGAAGTAATTATGGATGACATTCTTATGCATGGAAAGGATCAGGAGGCCCATGTTGGGCATCTCAAACATGTCCTTGAAACTCTTAGAAAATCAGGCCTAAAGCTCAACAAAAAAGAAATGCAAAGTGTCTCAGGAAGAAATGTCCTATTTTGGACACCGAATTAACAAGGATAGTGTGAGTCCCGACCCTGCCAAGGTGGCAGCAATTTGCAACCTGAAACCCCTAACCGACGTCAAGGAACTTCGAAGGATAATTGGCATGGTGAACTATCTGGGCAAGTTCTTACCAGATCTGCCTAGCAAGATGAAGCCACTGACAGACCTGCTGAGGGATGACTGTGTGTGCGTGGGGCCCAAACCAAAAGGCATCGTTTGCCAAGATTAAAACAGCCATCACAGTTACACCTGTTCTTGCTTTTTATGATCATTCATTGTCAACAATAGTTGCTGCTGACACCAGCAGCTATGGACTTGGCGCTTCACTCTTTCAAGTACATGGGGACAAGCTGAAGCCGATCGACTTTGCATCTCGCACACTAACCGGGGCTGAAGTGAAGTATGCCCAGATTGAGAAAGAGTGCCTGGCTAGCACTTGGGCTTGTGAGAAGTTTGAGCGCTACTTAGTTGGACTCAGGAATTTCAAAATCCAAACAGACCACAGACCATTAGTTCCCTTAATGAACAGCCGTGACCTGGATAGAGTCCCATTGAGATGCCAGCGTCTACTCATGAGGCTGAGACGATTTAACGCTACAGCTGAATATGTTCCTGGAAAACACTTAGTTGTCACTGACACTCTTTCGGGAAGTCCTCTCAATGACACTGTCTCTGTTGGGGAAGTACTAGAGGTAGAACAGTCTGTTGATTCTGTACTGGAGAACAAGCCAATGACGGATGTGAAAATAGGGGGTTTGTGACAAGCTACATCAAATGATGTTGAATTACAGATGGCTATGCAGTGGACTAGGTCTGGATGGCCTGAACATGGGAGAGATGTTCCTACTGCAGCTAAACCATACCACCAAGTTAGAGGTGAGCTGTCAGTCGCCAATGACCTACTGATTTTTCGAAATTGCATTATAGTGCCAAAGAGCATGAGAGCTGAACTGTTAGACAGCATTCATGCACGCCACCAGGGTGTGACAAAGTGCATGGAGAGAGCCCGAACAAGTGTGCGGTGGCCAAGCATTTCAGCAGATATCAAAGATGAAGTCAGACAGTGCGAGTTCTGTATCACTAATAAACCTACACAACGCAGGGAGCCTCTTATTACAACTCAGTTGCCTGATCTTCCCTGGCAGAAGATTGCAGATGATCTGTGCCATGTGAAAGGACAGAACTTTCTAGTAATAACTGACTACTATTCATGATATATTGAGATTGCTCATTTGAGTCCCATATCAAGCAGACAAGTCATCGGGAAGATGAAAGCAATGTTTGCACGATGGGGAGTGCCAGAGGAGCTCGTATCTGACAATGGTACACAATTTATGTCGTCTGAGTTCAAGGAATTTGCCAGAGAATATAACTTTACACAGACAACATCAAGTCCACACTACCCGCAGGCCAACAGCGCTGCTGAGAGTGCAGTGAAAATCGCTAAATGGATTCTACAACAAAATGACCCATACTTGGCTCTTTTAGGTTACAGGATTACACCGATTAGGGCTACAGGGGGGAGTCCCTCACAGTTGATCATGGGAAGACAAGTACGAACAAATGTTCTTGTGTTGAGAGAAAATCTCAGACCCAGATGGCCGAATCTGAAGAAAATAAAAACTCGAGATGCCATGATCAAGCAGTCCTATGAGAAATATTATAACCAGAGGCATTCTTCACAGACTTTACCAGTATTAGAACAAGGAATGCCAGTACGTCTAAAGTTGGACGACGAGAAGCAGTGGTCAACTCAGGGTGTTGTGCAGTTCGGTGACCGACTGAAAAGATCTTATGTTGTTGCTACTGCCCAGGGAATCTACAGGAGAAATCGTTGTCATATTCTCCCAGATCAGTCAATCAACAGGACAACAAGCGAGGAAAGGTTGCCTATCCCAGCAACCCCTACCAAGACGGCCAAGCCCAACATTCCAGATCCAGTGGTTACTTCAGGGCCTAAACCCACTGATACCAGCTCTACAGAGACACTGACAACCAGATCAGGTCGAGTCATCAGTGCACCAAAGCACCTTGGTGAATGGGTGTAATATGACTGATGGACAGTGACGTTATGAGAAAATGCCTTCCAGTTACATGGAGTTCTAAATGAAAATTGAATTGTGTTTGAGTTAAGGTTTTTATGCTTTGGAAAAGGTATGTACTCTTTTACAGGCAGTGATCTGAAACATTTGAAAGAGACTTGAACAGTTTTATTTCCCAATTTCCATCAATGTTTTGACTATGCAGAATTACCTGATGATCAAGTGAACATGGTGCAAGATTTAAAAATCTTCAAAATAAGGGAAAATGTCAGTATTGGTTATTTTTAAGTGGTAATCCATTCAAGAGTTATTCCCCCTTGTTCACGATCATTATGGGATGTGTGCCGAAGCACATGGCCAACACTGTATCCCGTCACTATAGCTGTTACGAAAAATATAGTTTGTTCTGGTCGTGACAACGGCTTCGTTGACACCATTTGGTACCCTTATATTACAAGGATGGGTCTCGTGTCGCCCGTTCGTCTGATGTGCCGCAATTCGGAAACACGTTTCGTCCTGACTATGTTTCAGGTGTGTTCGCAACATCACTGTGTTCACCCAAAACATCACGGTGACATGAAGTGATATCACTTGAATACTGTTCAACGCTCACTCACTCACTGGATGCTACTTACCCAACACGTCTATTGACGTTGTGTCGTAGATAGCACGCCTTTCATCTGTGGTAGGCATGACTTGGCATTTATAATTTGCAGTATCTTCGCATTGCATGCTGTAGAAGTATAAGCTTACGGATCCACTCTCCATCGACAACTGAGACCTGTCTTTGAGGTCAAGGCCACTTTTTGCATATTCGGATATATTACGGAATTCGTTGAATCGTGCCAGAGACTTCCACGACACATCGCTCTTCCTCATCCTGTCGATTGTCACCGACGTCACATTACCCGTATACGTGCAGTTAAGACCAACGGTTGTGTTGCCCTCTGTAGGCGTAGAGTTCGTTGCGATAAGGAAGACGGTGTACCCATCTGGATCTGCACCAATGGATGCTGCTGAAGACAAAACGTTGATAATGTACAAGTTTAATAGCATCTGGCGATAGCCTTTTCTTTGTATTTTCGAGATGTTTACGTACCGACATTACGTATGCGCCTAATCCATATGATCATGGGTTCGAATCCTAGAGTAATCCTGATTAGTATTCTTGGACTGGCGGCAGCATACAAAATAAAGATAGCAAAACCTTTTCCATATTCGTAAGAAATCTCTGCTAAAGGTTGGATCGGTTGTCCAATTCTGACTGTATCATGAGTATATGTTTGACGCCGCATTTAGCAGTATTACAGCTGTACCACGGGGTCTGTAAATAATCGAATCTGGGCCAGACATTCCAGTGACTGACACGAGATACGATGAAAACTGTTCACCTGTGAACGGAAACCTATGATCAAGTCAAAACGGGGAATTGCATCGGATTTCTTATTGATCACTGATGCATCAAGCGTGCCCTTCACATGTCTACCATAAAAAATGTGAAGGCATCACTGTACACCATAACGATGTGACCGGCCTATCTTAATACGTTGTTTACACGTAGAGGTCCCTTTGATGAGCTATCTCAAACTGAATCATTTTTCCTCCCTTTGCTACTGCAGTTAAACGCACACGTTTCTGAAGCTACATGTATATCTTCCTGATGTATGTAAATACCTGATTATTGAAGTATACACGAAGAACCTATTTAAGCACCCTTGACATATCTCATGATTGAATGCGCGCCAGTCTTAGCCCTTTGGAGCATATATGGGACATGATTGGTCGTCGTGTGCAACCAAGGGATCCTCCTGTACAGAACCTGGCCCAATTGGAAGCTGCTTTACACGAGGAATGGCGTAGACTGACCCTTCAGAGGATCAGGAGGCTGACAGGGGGTATGAGGAGAAAAGTGCTTGCTTTCATACAGTCACATGGAAGTTACACTCGGTATTGACCTTGAATTGTGTAAGACACGCAAACTGATATTTTGAATGTTCACATTCACCCAATAAATTCAACATTAAACATTCCAGGGCCATACTTGTACAGACATGGTTTTGTATGAAAGTCAGTGGGTGTTTTTTTTTTTATAATGATCAATTATCATCATAAAATCAACATGGATTCCAATCATTTTGTCGTTTTTTATGAGTCAAAGGATCATACGATTCAGAGAAACCATCGTGGTGACCGCGAGAAGTTTAATGTACGTGTTTGGTGAGGTGAGGTGAAATTGGGTTTAACGTCGTGCTTGAGCATATTTCGCTCATATGACGACGTGCATGCGTGTGTATGTGTATGTGCGGCTGCTTGTACTAGCCCGGACTTAAGCTGGTTTTATAGTGCTAGCCCACTGAGATACCACGCCGCAGTGAAGCATGAATACCCCACTTAGACACATCATACTGACTCCGAGCCGACCAGTCCTTGTTGTACCCAATAATGCCGAGCGCCAGGCAGGGACCAACAAGTACCATATTTTAACGGTACGTGTTTGGAAACACTTTCTATGTATACTAAGCTGCATGGGAAGTCTGTCTTCCACATGCACTAGGCTGTTGTGTTTGGGCGTTTGAATCAAACATGGTGCCGGTGAGTTTCTGCACCCTTGTTTTTCACTGTTTTTTGACAATATTTCATTTCAGTCAAACTCAACGAATATTGAATCAGTTGCTTCACTGCATGTCCAACATGTCGTTTAAAGTGCCCATTAAGCACACAAAAAGTTGCATTTACCTTAGAGTAATAATAACCTCACCACGTTTAAAAGTTATATATGACTATCAAGTTTTAGGGTGTTCCCACACTTTTTGTTTGTAGTATATATGAAGTCTTCAACCTGGCGAACCATGATTCTGACATGACATGGACACTCATACGACACAAGAGACAGAGACAGTGGGTTGATATTTTACTCAAGCATATAGCACTCTACATTTACCAGAATCTGACGAGTGGGGAAAGGTGTAGGTTTAGTCTTGTAACGCTGAAGTCAATTTAAACGCATCAGTCAGTGACAGTTAGAAGTTTTGAAAAAAAACCGCACGCTGACATGGTTGATTATAAGGCTATTGTAAAGGTCAAATACAGAGCGTAATTTCATTTTTAAAAATGTCTCACTAACTATCTACAACGCACTCGTAGTTTGATCGTGGTTTTAAATAATGGACACTTGAGTTTCGTATGAAAGTAGGGTATCTGTCTGTATTTGTGTTTACGGTGCATTCAAACATTCACCGCATTCCACTCTGTATATGAACATGGGTGGAAGCAGCTGTTGGCGAGCGATCACTCCAGGTCGAACAGACAAGCGATCTTCTGTGACCTGTTCCACTCCAAAACCCAGGACGTTTCTGTGTAACTCCCGGGGACACAATTGCTTAAGAGAACTGAGATATAACCAGTGATTAAAGTAATAAAGCCAAAGTACAAATCCCCAACATGTAGGAAAACTTTCACTTGTAAACGAAAAACACCATTTACCTACAGATTACCTCGTATGGATTGCAGTTTCCTAATCAGTGGAACGTACAGCATCGAGGAATAACTGGAATGCGATGGTTGGCAAAGATACCATCTTCTCACTTGCTACGTGATAAAAAAGGATCTTATGTCTGAAAGTTCCCACCTTCTTGGAACATTGTCAGACAACTCGGCAATAAACTTTTCAAATATACCCGAGCTTCGTCCTGTCAGTATACTAGAATCCTTGGTCTATGAGACGTAGATATAAATCAAGTTCAATAAACCACCATCCTGTCAAGAGGGAAAGCTTCTTTTGAAAAGTTTATTCTACAGCATGGGTCTTTACACTTAATGCTTTTTCTTCTAACAATTTCTATTGCTGACATAAAGTTCTATTTTCTCATTGCACTGTTCCGTTTTGTAGCAAGTCTGCCGGAATTCCAGATTTTACGTGCACCCTGTATGTATACTTTTCTATCTTGTTGGTCAGTTTCCTTATTACCAACAGGGGCGGTGGGGTAGCCTAGTGGTTACAGCGTTCGCTCGTCACGCCGAAGACCCGGGTTCGATTCCCCACAGGAGTACAATGTGTGAAGCCCACTTCTGGTGTCCCCCGCCATGATATTGCTGGAATATTGCTAAAAGCGCCGTAAAACTGAACTCACTCACTATTACCAAGAGATGAAGAGATTATCTACATGTAGAATGGCACTAAGTGGTCAAATGTAACAAATGTTACAGTTGGGATTGCATTTTCTTAGTAAAATACAGATTCTAGTACTTTTGTTGGGTTGAGTCCCACCCCACATCAACCCAGAGTCGGGCACCTAGACGTCAGCACACAAAGTCAGCCACGGCGGCTTCCACAAGTGTGATAAGGTTCCTAAGGTGTGAGTTTGAATAAGCGTCAATATCTAACTGAAACTCTTCTACAACCAGAAATATTTTGAAACAATATTGTACAGCTACACAAGTACATTCATGACAGTGTACAGAAACTCGTGGCAGCACCATTGATGAAGTAACTATGCATGATTCAAGGTCCTTCATTCATTGTTCACAGATATCGACACTCTCGTGTTTCCAAAATCATAACTGTATTTCTTAAAAGTTAATTACGTTTGTGGGAATAAGTTTCATGGTACACTGTTTTGGGGAGACGGGAGAAGGAGGTCGAGGTGTTTAAAGACAACAACTGCCTTTGACGTTTTAGTCAGGTGGGCGAAAACAAATCTATATGTGTGTCTCTTAGTGATCCAGTGATCAACATCATGAGTATCGATCTACGCAATTGGGACATAATACCATGTGTCAACCAAGTCAGCGTACCTGACCACCCGATCCCGTTACTCGCCTCTTATGACAAGCATGGGTTGCTGAAGACCAATTCTAATCCGAATCTTCAAGGGTTTATTGACTGTAGTGTCGGTCCTTATCGCACAATACGCGAATACAGCTGCCACACTTTTTCAAACACCGTCTATATCCGAGCTCAGATCTATCCCTGTTAAACGCTTTTCGACACAATATAGCGTCAGTTTGTATTTGCCAGATGAAAGAAAACATGTTTCTCTCAAAGACAATTGCCATTGATTCTACTCTACACATGTTGCGTTGATACAGGAAGAAATCTATGATGTTTAGTGTAACCCCATTGTGAACAGGACTGGTGTCCTTTCTGTCTATTTCCGATCAATGCCAAAAGTTGGAAATCTGTGACATGCATGCACCGTGTCCCTGCACGGATTGTGTGGAAAGTTGTTGTTCACACAAGATACACCGTCAGGAAAATAGCATTCACATAAATCAACACGTAACATTATTACATTCCCAGCTGTGATTTCCCACTGTATCACCATCACGGCGGAAACTATTTTCCAGCCCGCTCATTATTATATTACTTTTGACATTTATAGGGGATATTCGTCAGTTCTTCCATCGAATGAACCATGAAAATCACATTTGTCACGAAGGATAATGTCAACTTTAGGTCACGAGATGAGCCAGACATGGTATGTGACACGAACAGACATATTCTGTGTGTAATGTTTTTGACATATCACGTTCACATTCCTACCATGAAAATTGTTAAGGACTGATACAGACTCTTATATAATTAGTGTAAATTTAATTTCACATTCTTAGATATAGTATAGTATTTTATCACTAAAATATCAAATTGCACACATGTGATATTAGATTAAAATGTAACTCCAAGCTGCTCACGTATGGCATTGTATGATAACGTTCGGAATTGCGCCGCAAGAAGGTAGTAGAGTTTTACAAACAGTTGTCACATCTTGAACAGATCTTATGTCAGTTTTTTTGTTTTTGTATACACGTTGTGCGTATATATATGGGGAATGGTTGTATATAGAGCTCTCATATTTCCCAGAATGTTTCCACGTGCCTGAAAAACTTCAAGGTGAGGTGAGCGATTTAATACATGGATTGGCTGTTGGGTAGCCCAGTGGTTAAAGCGTTCGCTTGTCACGCCGATTTCCCATATGGATACAGTATGTGAAGCCCATTTCTGGTGTCCCCCACCGTGATATTGCTGAAAGCGGCATAAAACCATGCTCCCTCACACACCTATAACATTGACATATTATTCACTATCTTGAATTATGTAATGTAATGTAATGTAATATGAGCACGTATCATGTTTGCTTCTGTGAGCATAAGAAAATATACACCAATGTTTAATTGGAGTAAACATGTATCAAATAAGAAATAGTTTTTCGATGGTGATGTATACTTTAAGAGTATCATACTTGTGTTTTAGACCTAAAGTCTTTTTCGGCGACTGGGTTCAGCACAGAAACATTCCAATGATCTTTGTGTCATGTTTTGGTTAAATCCATTTTCAATTTTACTAAGTGTATATTGGCACTGGTCAGGTGTCGCAGTGCATTTAGCTCAATGCCAGAATATAAATGTTTGATAGAAAACGTTCATCAGAACAGCTGTTGTACCGAGGTATGATTTGGCTTGGTTTGTTGTTTAACGCCGCACTCAGCAATATTCCAGCTGTATGGCGGCGGTCTGTTAATAATCGAGTCTGGACCACACAATCCAGTGATCAACAGCATTAGCATCGATCGACGCAATTGGGATACGATGACATGTGTCAACCAAGTCAGCGAGCCTGACCACCCGATCCCGTTAGTCGCCTCTTTCGACAAGCATGGGTTACTGAAGACCAATTCTAACCCGGATCTTCACGGGTTGAGACAAGCATGGGTTACTGAAGACCAATTCTAACCCGGATCTTCACGGGTTGAGACAAGCATGAATTGCTGAAGACCAATTCTAACCCGGATCTTCATGGGTTGTGACAAGCATGGGTTACTGAAGATCAATATTCTAACCCGGGTACCGCGGTATGAAGCAAACGCATCACTAAACATATATGGCTGTAACCTTGTATCCTTGATATCTCTAAATCATAGATACATGTATTTGTGCAGAACCTGGGTAAGAATTAAGTTCAGTATAGGTGGTTCAGTATTTACATTGTAGCAATTCTGCAATCTCCCAGCAACACCCTGGTGGGGGAATACCAGCGATGAGCTTCACATATTGTACATCCGGAAACTCGAACCCGGGCATCGGCCTTCGGCGTGAGATGCGAACGCTTTAACCGCTAAGCTACCCGAATGCCTCCTTGTTTTCAGAACAGTGTGAAACTGCAGAGACTGGCTCAAAAACATCATTCCCTAACTTTCCACGGCGAGTTTCTCAGTTAACACACAGGCCCTGAACTTAATCCGCTGTAGCCTCCACCAGACATCACTTGAGTCTCAAGGCCAGATGAACGTAGGACTTAGTGATGGAAAACTGACATGCTCCCCTCTTGTGGAATGTTTAGACAATAGCACATAACGGCACCGAGGTCACGCGAGAACTTCTAACACATGTAATCACGTGGTATGTTTTGCCAACATGTTTGTTTGTTTGGTTACGTGCTTGTTTGTTCGTGACCAGTAATCAGTGACTACAGTCCACCTAGTCACTTAACACTCACGTTCATGTGGAAACTATAATGAGCAACGGCTCCGCTGACGACTTGAGAGGTATCAGTATACACAGAGAGGTGTACATGAACTGGGACGGAGAGGAGGGGAGGGGCGTGTGCACAAGGTCACCTTGACACTGGTGATAAGTCCATGCGCTCATTTAATTGAGATTCGCATCATCCCTCACCTGTATTTAAGTAATAACTGAACCAGGTGATAATATATATCACGTTGTACAGTTTTGTTACTACATGGTGTAACAAAGTACAAATATCTGTACGGAAAAGCCCGAGCATTCCTACCTCCACCTCTTTATACCTCAGCTTTTACTTTGCCAAGACACTGGTTTGTTTTGTTCTTACATTTGCAAGGCTTGAACACATAATTGTAAACGTAAACAAAGCCTAAACTCAGATCGTAGTTCTGGCTAACGCTATCCTCGATGACGAGAGATAATATTTAACTGATTTTAACGAGCACATCCACAACACTTAAAAATGCCAACATTTATAATCGATGGTAACAAGACATACTCATTTTATATATAACCAACCTGTGAAAAAACAACTCCATAGCATGATAAAATAGAACGTAAAATGTTCATCAATGAATTACCTGCACAACTGAGAAGTACTATCCAGAATATCTCTCGCGCCATTATCCTTGCTTGGCGTTTTCTGCGTTGCATTCCCTAAACTTGCGCACGGCCCACTGGAGATATAGTCACTGGTTTCCTTCTCGGCGTTTTGCCATGCAAGTGAAGTAAGCGTGCACCAGCTTGCGCATCCTGCTGAATGATGGCAGTACAATCGACACACTGACTCTCCAGATACCAGCAACCGTATATGGACGCTCCCTACGCAAGCTCTGCAGCCAACAGGTTTTATTGGGCTGCGCATCATTAAAAACTACACACACATTCTGCGCGATCTCACTTTAAAGCTCAGTGGGTACCGTGTTTGGTTGTTATCGGCCATTAGTAAGGTTAACGAGATAACGGTGAATGGTGTGGTATTTCCACGGGAATAGTTTACCCTCTCACCTGAAGGTCAAATAAAATAATTACACAGTTTGTTAGTGAAGGCTCGCTAGCATCACGCTTTAGATGCTATACATACACATTTGGTTATTTATGTACTTGTTTATGTTTTACTATTATTTAGGTAACGAGCGATGACGTTCATTACTGTCTTGCTTTAATGATATTAGACATAACAGATGTTGTTGTTTTTTTAAGAACTATGATTCTAAATGTGTCATAAGATATTCTTAGCTGGGATATGCAAGCCTTGGCAGGACATACCAGATGAGTCGGTAAGATGGATGATGTTTTACATTGGATTGAAACTGGATCTGGTGCTCCATCTCCAAGTTCTGGCACCAACTCAGAATTGCATCACACCTTACAGCATTGCTCTTGATCTCAAGGTCCCAAGAGTTCTCTACCTTTTCAGTTTTGTTTTGGTATCTCGCAAACAGTCTTAACGAACGACAATTTGCCGACAGATTAAGTATTTCGGTTTCCCCGGCATACATTTTCAAATATATTTGTCTCTACGGCAATAATTATTAGTTTCAATAATAATTTCTGGATTATATAAACATTATGAACAAGATGTCCCTACAGACGACTGACGTCCTTAGACATTCTGTCTGCTAAACGAGACGCCTGTTGTAACAATGGAATTACTACACACACCCGAACTTATCATTCAGTATATAGTTGAGCAAGACAAGCTGTCAAACTGGCCAGGTAGAGACAACTATTAAAAGTGATGTAAAATTATGACAAACGTCAGAAGGACACGCCCTCCATGTTTCTCAATTTATAAATATACTCTTTAAAAAAGTAGGGGAACTTCATTTTTAATTCAAGATTGAACAAAATGGGAGATATATCTGGATCAGTCAATGTTGATATGATAATAATGAATGTTTTGAGAGTGCATCACCACTTGCACTTCCTTATGACCATAGTTGTTTGTACAGTAATCGATTGATGTAGATGACTGTGTATGACGTGAAATTTGCAGGTGTATGATTTTCAATTTCAAAACAAAAAAGACCGACTAGAAACAACTGTTTGATGCAAGATGCCAAGTTGTCAAAATTAGTGATTTATCGACCTTCTTGAAAAACGTCAAATCAAGACACCCCATGCACGTGTATGTGGCTACTGCGTTGTGCACGTGCATCTCATTCGTTATGTTTAGGGGTGGTGATAAAGAGAAATGGTGGTGCGTTTATAACATGTCGGTCTTTGAAAGGTTGTTAACGCTTATACTTCCTATCCAAATTGGAAGTTCAGGTTCCCCTACTTTTTTTGAAGAGTATACATGGCACGTTTTTATGGATAACAACTTCATCACCTCAAGAATGAACAAGATTGAACTCTGAAACATCGGATAAAGAATAAAAAGAAGTCGTTATCCATAAAAACGTGTCATGTATTCATGTTCGTCCAACTTCTAAATGCCTTTCCAGAATTAATAAACACACGGATAGCTCGTCAGTTTCCTATGAACCCCTGAAGGTCCGGGTTAGAATATTGATCTTCAGTAACCCATGCTTGTTGTAAGAGGCGACTAACGGGATCGGGTGGTCGCTGACTTGGTGGACACATGACATCGGTTCCCAATTGCGCAGATCGATGCTTAGTAAAACTAAACTCACTCACTCAGTTACCTATGATTATTCATTGTAGGATTTTGGACACTAGGAGTGAGTAAACTGGGTTTCAGGTTACTGCAGGCGGAAATCCTGAGGTGAGGCAAGTCTAAGATGTCTACCACTTTGATTAAACCTTCAAGCACGGTTATATGACAAGTCTTGAAACACTCAGGGAGAACTGGGATTTGAACCCTTGATGTCCAGGTTTTGGTGTGACCAAAGAATGCATCTCTGCACCGAATTGTGCAGTACCCCCTCTGTTGTTTAGACCTGTTGTTTTAATACGGTGTTAGACCCCATAACTCATCACCGTTAGATTGACCACCATGATTTGCTCAAAGTTCTTCTGACTAAAGTCTTTTGGAGAGTCACCTGTCCTTTACAGAGTAGTGTTGTACCGCATTCTCATTTTAACAAGACTGGCCTCCATTAAATAGGTGGAGTATTGCCGAGTGCTGGAAATATTACATAAAACAGTCACTCAGTGGCAGTCATACCTTCAGCATCTCAATGAATTCATACAATATTTGAGTGACATGACTGACTGACTGAGTTTGGTTTTACACCGCTTTTAGTAATATTCCAGCAACATTACAGCGGGGACACCAGAAATGGGCTTCACACATTGTACCCATGTGGGGATTCGAACCCAGGTCTTCGGCGTGATGAACCAACGCTTTAACCACTAGGCTACCCCACCACCCCTTGAGTGACATGAGTAACATGAGTTAGAATAACATGGTGTGTGGAGCTTAATGCGATTCGGTTCTCGGACTTTTCCTCTTCCATGAGTACAGGTATGGTGCTAACAAACCCGGAAATTTAATTGGGCAACTGGATTCAAACCCGCTATTTCAGGTTGTGCCCAAGGAACACACCGAGGAGCTTTAACTGACAAGGCAACCTGTGCCGTTGTGAAAAGAAAAACACAACAAAATACTAGAGATGAGGTTGTGTTTATGATACAAATATGGAAAGGTAACATGTTAATCACTTCTATGTACAATACTAATGTCAAAACTATCAGGAATGTATCTATTGCACCATTCATCATTGTACACTTTGAGCTAACAGGTTCAGATTAACCCTGATTTGAACATTATTTCAGTGACATAACTGTTTTTGCTTGATGCAGCATGTAAGCCAGGACTTCTGCAGGTGTTAGGTCTCAGGTATACCAAAATTGCTAAACCCTTGAGCCAGGATGTTGTACTGACAAGCCAAGAAATATAATCTCAGTGAATGGGAATCCAAAACCCACCTGTACCTTTGAAAATGGCATATACAGAAACACTTAAAACCTTGAAACAAAAACAATAAACGCCTTTCCCAAAGGTGATCCCAGTGTTGCACAGCAATGGGTAGTTGCATCATACGGCAAACTTTACAATTTCAAAAACGTTATTGATTAACAATCGCAATAACTTCTAAATTTCTATATAAGTTAAATATACAAAAATAAAAGTTTGACTTTTTAAAGTTCATGTGTACTTCCTTCAGTAACACCTTGCAAAATGTCAGGGGAATGAGTTGATAAGAGAAAGGTTTATATGATCCAACTAAGATTATTGAATTTTACTCACAAAACAAGGGCTGTAACTCTCAATTTTGCATGTGCATTTTTACATGAACCAATGAAATCTTCGCAAGCAGCATCTTACCAAACCCTCCTAACAATGGTATTTCCATGGGAATAGTTTAAGATCTCACATAAAGGTCAAGTAACATAATAACACAGATTAAAGCTAACATCATGCTTAAGATGCAATTTCATGTGAATATAGGCTCATCCCTATTGTTATCACAACCTTCTAATAATGAATCCTCTATCTGTCTTAGAGCACAGCCAAACAGTCAACTGTCATCAACAGTAAACAGTATTTGACATATGAAGCACCTTGCTCCACGGAGTCCCTACGGTCAACCAGTTCTGCAAGCAATCCTTATAAGTACACCCCCCACCCCCAAACACTGAAAATTAACATCATAGTCTGTATTTTTCTGTGTGTTACATGCGTTTTGTTTTTCCCAGACAACAGCACAGTATTTTATTTCCTAGTAACTTAGTTCCTTAGTTGGTTTAGCGCCACTCAATCACAGAAAACATATCCCTCCTGTTGGTTTAGCGCTACTCAGTCACAGAAAACATATCCCTCCTGTACATGGCTTTAACACATACACACCTCTGTCCATACTCCAAGCACCCAGGGATTAAATACCGTATCAGAATATTTAAAGAATATCAAAGTGAGTGAGTGAGTTATAACCACATTGTAGTAGGTGTCTACGGTATCCAATAAACATGACCTCAATCACACAGGTATTTCAAACGACTGATGAAAGCTCTGGATATATGAAAATGAAGAAGGGTGGTGTTTAACATATTCCAAGGTGTATAGATGAACACTATGAAGGTAAAACCTGCACAAGCCTTTCCACAAATAAAGAGTGAAAATATGGTAAAATAACCTCAAAATAACCATGCATCCTGTTTACATAAACACATATATTATCAACATAAACACCATGATCCCTTAAACAATAAGCTTCCAGCTTGTTTATAAGTTGTTGAAACCCACCAATGTCAGGTCTGCGGTCAACAACTCACACTTTCATATTCTTGATATAAAATAAACCTGTACACCTACAGGTACACTGAGCAAATTATGAAACTGTTTCATTCAGTATACGGTCTCAAAGAATATTCTGATTTCATAAGTCAGTAAGTTCCTGTGTTGACAGATGAATGGATTTTATATTGTTGGTTTAAGTTTTCAGCTGTCATGTTTTTGGACGGCAGTATTTATTCTTCCCATAATGAGGCAGATTGCGTCACTCAGATATTAAAATATTTGGATGATGGCCTGTGTTGAAGATAAAGTTGTCATTAAAAAGTCAGTGATATGTTTTACGAGGATACGTTATCTTTTAAAATAAAATAAAATAAATATACAAAATATGTTTTGGAGGCCCTGACTGAAATCAATCACTTTACAATTACTTTTGCAGTTATTTTTATGATACTATCATTATAAATATTGTCACATTCTGATGTAGTTACTATAAAATTGTCAACATTTCCAACAATCATTGTTTGTGTTCACACACGTCTTTTATACTCATCAATGTTATTCCAGGCAAGTCGATACGAGACAGGAAATAATGTAATAAACGTCAAGAAGTATAGTCAAGTGACTTATTCTCTTTAAACCTTCTACAAACAGATGTGCCGTTACCATGGAAACAGTTGATTAGAAATACAAATATCTTACTATAGACATTTCCCCCATTCGGGATTTTTCAAACCATGGCATCTTTACAGTTAGGGTTCATTAAAAACATCTGATGAATATTTTAGTAAAATCTAAATATATTTTATATTTGTATACTTATCCTGCACTACTTACTTCCTGCACTTATTGCTTATGGCTTGAAAAGCGTGGCTTGCCAGACGATGTTAAAAGACGTAGAACTGCAATCACGTCCTGGTCTCGGCTGCTACTCGTCTGCGCATGCATCACCGGAAGGTGACGTCAGCCACCTCAGATTATTGCCAGAAATCCCACAGATGGCAAACAAAGCGGGGAGGTAGCTGATAGCATAGGGTGGGCCCTTATCATATGTAGTGCAGAATAAGTATACAAATATAAAAAATATTTAGATTTTACTAAATTTGTAACTAATCCTGCACTTTTATCCGACAGGCTGGAAGGTGATCGTGCCATCTGAGGGATCGCCTCGCTTATGTAATAGCAGCCAGCTCAATCCGTAAATCCTGTGCTCGGGAAGCGTTGGTAAGTGCTCGAATCTCGTGTGGATGAGAGGACGTAGGAACCAGCCCAGCCGCTTAATATGCCTGAAGAATGGTTGTTCTCAACCATAAGGCAATTGTGTTTTTGCTGACATCTGATTGTGAAGCCCGGGATAGGGGAAGAAATAACCGTTTCCGTGTAAGTTTTGAGTGCACAAACCGGACATAAAAGCAACTCAGTATCGTCTTCAGTGCCAACAATAGATGACAATGGTGGAATGGAAAACTGTCGATCAGGTTGACCTGGTAGTTGATGTTTAGCGATGAAATCCCAACACAGACCCAAATGTACAGAACCATGACGACGATGCTCAAACTTGACCCTAGTCACGTCGAAGGTGTGAACCTCACTCACTCTAGTCGCTGTCGCTAAAGACAAAAGGAAAGCCGTCTTCCTGGATAAATCAGCGAGGGAAGCGTTCTCAAGTGGTTCATAAGGTGCACCACGGAGATGGTCTAAAACAGTGTTGAGATTCCATGCAGGCGGTCGAAACTTCAACTTCTGGGCTTCAATTTTGAATGAACAAATCATAGCCTGTAATTCTTGGATTTTGGAAATCCTTCTGTCAGTGGGAACTGCTAAAACTGAGCTAATTGCCGCCAAATACGTGGCAATGGTGCCTCCCTTCAGACGCCTGGACGTTCGGAGATAAAGTAGGAAATCTGCTATGAACTGAGGAGACGCTTTCAGCAGATCCTGCTTCCTGGTAACACCAAATCGCTCAAACGACTGCCATTTGTCGTCATACAAGTGGCTAGTAGAAGTTCTGTGTGCAGTCGCAATGGCTTTGGCTGCTGTGTCCGAAAACCCCTTAGCACTCAGTGCTTTCTGCAAATGGTCCATGCGTGCAGATTGAACCTATCTGGAGCAGGATACGGAAGACTGCTGTGAGGGGGCATGAGAACGTTCCTCCAATAGCAATATTCCAGCAACATCACGGTGGAGGACACCAGAAATGGGCTTCACACATTGTACCCATGTCGGGATTCGAACCCAGGTCTTCAGCGTGACGAGCCAACGCTTTAACCACTAGACTACCCCACCACCCCTCGTGGGTAGAGGAAAAGGATCTCCTACCACTAGACTTTTTAGAACAGGAAACCAGTTCCTGGCCGGCCAACAAGGCACGACCAAAATCAGTCGAAGGCTATTTGTCTCCTTGACTTTTGCGAGAACTTTGGGTAGTAGAACCGGTGGCGGAAACGCATACACATGAAGCCCCTCCCACGATAGGCGAGAGCATCCACCGCCCAAGCCGCTGGATCCGGGACTGGGGACACATACACTGGCAGTTGATGGATTTGGCTGGTGGCAAACACATCTATGTTTGGAGAACCCAGAGCTTGACTTAGGAGAGTGAAGGCCTCCTTGTGTAGCATCCATTCCGTGGGAGCAACTCTGTTGGGTCTCGATAGAGCGTCTGCTAGGATGTTTCGGCACCCCGGAATATGCCTAACTCTCAACAAAATGTGGAGATCGTCGACCAGTTGAAAGAGCCGAAAAGTCTGATCGAGAAGAAACTGTGAGCATGTTGACCCTTGCTTCTGGAAGTACCATACCACCGTGGTCTTGTCTGTGGCCACGAGAAGACAAATTCCTCGTAGTCGATGCGCCCAGTGATTGATAACGAGGATCACGGTCTCCAACTGTTGGTAATCCGGTGGCCGCTCTGTCAAAGAGACTCCTCCTAAGACGTTCAATGGGCGTCCACCAAAGAAGGTAGCGATGTAACTGAGGTGGAAGACAAAACCGTTGATGAACGTCTGCCTGACGAATGTATGGTTGAAGAAAGCGCTGCAGAGGACGAAGTTGAAGACGCCCTCTGCTGGTAAGGTCCTGCGCCGACGTCAACAATCCCAGGTGTGCCTGCCACTCGCGGAGAGCCAGAGTTCGGAGAGCGCATGTTGAATCAGAGACTGAATCTTTTCCAACCTGTCCAGAGGAATCTGAATTAGGTTCTTGTCCGTCTGGAAATGGCCTCCGATGAATGTCAGAGTGTGAGACGGGACAAGCTCCGATCTGTCCAAGTTGACCAAGCAACCTAGTTGGCGCAACAGACGAAGGGTGAAATCCCGTTGTTGTATAAGAAGCAGACGGTCTAGCATGTGCATAAGGCAATCGTCCAGGTACGGGTCGAAATTTATGCTGAGGCTGGTAGGTGTTGGATGGCATGGATGAAGGGCGTTGTCCCTCTTGAAAAGCTTTCAGAGCAGTCTCCCCTTTCGCAAATTCACACACCTCCCGATAAAATGTGTGTTAAACAGTGTCTACGACGACCAGGGTTGGTGGAATAAGAAAAGAAATGAAGAAAAGGAGAGGAAGCCTTGCCAACGAAAAAAGCAGAAAACCCAGTAAACGCACATAAAAACATTACATACAATGGTAATGAATACAACAGCATAATTGAGAACAAAGTCTCAAAGATCTTAATGATAAAGAGACCATAATACAGACATAATAAATATACCACTACTGTATGGTATAATATATAAGCCTGAACCAAATAAAACACGACGACTACAAATACGGCGAAATGTTGTAATGGTGAAATGATAGAGTGATGACGGGACCGTGTTATAAACAAACGACATCACTAAACAGAACTACTTAACTAAAATAACAAGAGAAAGTGAAAGATAATACCTACACTTCTCGTAGAAGAAAAAATAATAATACTGTGTGGTCAGATTATTAACCACACACAGAAAATCCCATAGGATACAATGAACAGCTGGCAACCCACACGTCTAGTGAAGCGTGCGAAAAGCAATGATCTGAGGTGGCTGACGTCACCTTCCGGTGACGCATGCGTAGACGAATAGCAGCCGAGACCAGGAAGTGATTGCAGTTCTACGTCTTTTAACATCCTCTGGCAAGTCACGCTTTTCAAGCCGTAAGCAATAAGTGCAGGAAGTAAGTAGTGCAGGATTAGTTAAAAATCTATCTTTTCAAGAGACCATTCCCACAAAGTGATCGTAGCATCACAATTTTAAAGGATAGGATTTATTAATATTTTATCGCTACAATCACTTTGTAGACAGAGCCCTCATCACAAACAAATGTTAACATCTGTCCCCACCAATGCTTGTCCTCAAGATGTGTGGTTAAACCACATGAGATCTCTGAACACCAATACAACGCACATATACTTAGTATATTATAAATATGTAAAAAAGCCAGTCAAATATGCAAATTGGTCACATCCTTCTTAGAAAAGAAAACATTTAAAAATTAACAATGGTTTGATGTCATAATTGAACTTAAATATTCTTATGACACTTAACACAACCAATCAAATTATTTGATTTAACCAGGACGTGATAAGACAAACACAACCTGTACAATATTGACCACTTATCAAAACAGCATGGGATAAAACACTTACCACATTTCTTCAAGTTAAATGAACAGGCACATATACTTCTTTCAAAAGCTCTTTAACCCATTTAATTGTATGTATAAAATAATTGGGGGAAATGTTTGTATATGAAAAAATACCCAGTGTACCCCAAACTACCCATTTCAGTCTTGGCATTTAACTGAAGAAATACAGTAATGCCAACTGAGGGAAGTTGTCATGAACATCTTCCTGAAGAACATGACTGCCTCCTCATCGAAGTTGTGTAGTCGGTGATGTTGTGTGGCTAGTGATGTGTCGCAAGTGATGTTGCGTGGTCGGTGATGTAGCATGGTCGGTGATGTTGTGTGGCAAGTGATGTTGTGTGGTCAGTCATGTTGTGTGGCAAGTGATGTTGTGTGGCAAGTGATGTTGTGTGGCTGGTGATGTTGTGTGGCAAGTGATGTTGTGTGGCAAGTGATGTTGTGTGGCTGGTGATGTTGTGTGGCAAGTGATGTTGTGTGGTTGGTGATGTGTGGTCGGTGATGGTGTGTGGTCGGTGATGTTGTGTGGCTAGTGATGTTGTGTGATTGGTGATGTGTGGTTGGTGATGTTGTGTGGCTAGTGATGTTGTGTGGTCGGTGATGGTGTGTGCATGGCCATTGAATACCAATAACACACACTATCAGTCACAAATGGGTCCACAGTTTTCTTTGGGTATTCAATAGATTTTTACTTCTTTGGATCCACTTGATTTGTTCTTTATAAACCAACACATAGACATTAATAAAACGCTCTGGTAAGTGTTACTTAGGTAACCTGTAACTTCCCTGTGATGCCCATTTCATTTAAGCTCACTACAACGATTCATGTTTTAATTAATGGCATATTTAAAATTATTTACTACGGTTGAGGTTGCATATGCAAGCTGAAAAGGTTGTTTTGGGTAATAACACACACTGTTCCACTAAAAGCTTTTGATTTTTTCATGCATACCAGAACATGAGTTACTAAACGTAATTACCGGTGGACAATTGTAATATATTTTATGCAAATATGCAGCTCATATGGACACTGATTGTTCATTTTGCTAGAGAAAAGCACTCACTCACTCACTCACTCTCAAACAGCTGAACAGCTGAGCGAGTGAGTGAGTCAGTGGGGTATACTCTGCTGTCAATGATACTCCAGCAACATCACAACAGGGGACACCAGAAATCAGCTTCACACATTGAACCCAAGTGGAAAACACATGTCTACATATGTTGAATACATCAAGATGTGGGCATGCTTCCTTACCTTGCACAGAAATTATTTGAAAAAATTGAAATCTTTTTTTACAAAATCATTTTCATGACACGTCTTCAACATAACAACAAACATAAAAATTGTTAACTGAATTGTGTGCTATCAGATTTTGTTTTGTTTTTCTCTAAAGAGATGTAAATGCACTTGCATGGGAATAGAACCCAGGTCTCTGACATAATAAGCTAACCAATGGACCAACCAATGTCACCCTTAAGTTAACCTAATAAGCTAACCAATGGACCAACCAATGTCACCCTTAAGTTAACCTAATAAGCTAACCAATGGACCAACCAATGTCACCCTTAAGTTAACCTAATAAGCTAACCAATGGACCAACCAATGTCACCCTTAAGTTAACCAAACTGCCTCTCATACATCTTGACACATGTTCAACAGCGAGTTTGAGTTATTTTCTAATGCTTTTAACTGATCAGTAAGCTGGTTAAGTTCCATATTACATTAGAAGGATTAGCTAACATGACCTCTCACAGGAGAGATACCCAGAGCATCAGAGACAATCACTTGAAGCAGGCAGGATAGTGTATCTGTTCTCTCAACAAAGATCATCTTTAGTGGGAGGATGTCTAGGGCATATCACATGATGCATCATGGTCAGGTCACATGACACAGGAGACTAGGATGAGTCACATGATATGAATAGCCAAGTATTTTGATCACATGACAAAGGGAGACAATCAGACTCGGTTTTCACTTGCTTGTGTGACACTGTCCACCCGGGAAATAACTTGGTCGATAAAAGGTCGTTCCATCACATTCGGGGTCATCAGATAGAAGATCATATCTTCCACTGACTTGCTGAAACTGACAAAAGAGGAAACATATGAATATTTGATACTATAACATTTTATTTAAGTTACCCAAACCTCACTTACATATAATTTGTAACAACACAATGATACTGTTCAAATACTTCAATCACAGATCTCCTAAAAAACAGTTTCTGGTGAAGTCATTCAACATGAAAAATTAACATGATGTTTAAAAGTTTTAACTGAGATTTATTGGACTTCAGGTAAAATATTAAACACAAAATAAATGAAATAAAATATCTGCATTCTCTTATACAAACAGTTAAACTGTTGTTGATGCAGCTGTGAATGTTGACAGAGAGTTAAGCTGCTGATGATTGCAACAATGCAATGTACGGCTAAACTGTAAGTGCTATGTCCAGTAGTACCTTTGAAAACTGACTGGTACTACAATTACCTATTCATTGGACGAATGTTGTGTTAAACAACAACAAAATCAAAACTAAACATATCAATTGGCAATAATACACAGATAATATGTCAAATACCGTGAGTTTTCAGGAAACTTGACATTACGTCCGAGGGAAGCCAGTGCAATACTGTCCCCTCTTTGGTAGGCCTTCTCGAAGGGAGATTCCAGGAATGCCATAGCATACAGCACACAACCCAGGCTCTGACACAAACACAGGAAAACTTCATGAACTTTTTTACACAACATTTAGATTTCAATATATATAATCTAAATTGATATTGATACTGTCTTCCCTCACAATAACTCCCTTTGCGATTCAGCGGTTTCAGTTAAACTGTGGGGTAATCAGTAGCTATACCCAAAAATGTTCCCCAGAGATCACACATCTTCATATCTTCAGATATAGCATTTTAACACATTCGCTCTTGTGATCAAGTAAATTGTGTTGCATAATGCTGTGTATCTCGACTTGGGTGGAGATCATTATCTTAGTTGGAGAATAATCCCCTGATACCTCACCACAAGGAAAACAGGCTGCAGATGGAGTTCTACGCAGGAGAATAAAAGATTTGTCGCACTCACGAATAAGAGAAGTTGTTATCCATAAGTTTGTTCTATATTGTACTTCCCAACTTCTAAAATGCCACTCAAAGAAATAAAAAATCTGTTATCTCTGCTTTAAAGCAACAAGTTGAATGTTGTTAACGAGTCAATGAAACTCCTGTAAACCAGCACAAGTGTATCAAGTGTAGCTGGAAAAATTTGTTGTAGCAGTATGATTTGGGTATATGTGAGAGTGGGTGACATGGCGCTGGATCTAATCTGGGAATAACGAAGCAGTGTTAGTCCAATACATATTCCTTTTGGCTCTTCCCTACTCCAAACTCTTCAAAGGTTTGATTGTAATAATTTTGACTGCAATCAGCCTAGTACTGAAAAATTTCAAATCATTTAATTCATCAGCTTGGCATACATGCCTAGAGGAGTACTGAAGTTGAACTCAAACATAATTTGACTTCATTAGAAAGTTCCAGAGCCCAAACTGTATACTCACCCAAATGTCTGTTCTTTCATCAATATTAGCATTAGAGTCTACGTTGAACAGTTCTGGGGCCCTGTACAGCATTGAGCACCTCTCTTCTGCAGTGTCCTGTAGTTGTAAACATGTGAAATATCTCAGGGAATACACAACCTAGTTGTCATGGCAACCCCCAAAATGAACCAATAATAAAACCTGTGCAATGACCTTAATGACATTATTAATAAAAGGGGATTACTCAAAGGTGTGTACACTCTTTGATAATAAACACATAAAAGAAAAACTTTGACTTCAATCAGTTAATGTTTAATCTATTTTACATGTTTAGCTGCTGTTTATGTAATTTTCTGACTAAAATTAATATTTTATACTTATCCTGACTCATGCTAATTATGCTTGTCTCCTTCCTCTTGCGAATGATAGTGGAACACTTGAAATCCATTGATGTTCCCTTTAAAAAAGCGGATGTAAAATCACTCACCCAAGAGTAGCGTCCCTTTCCTCCCTTTGGCGCCCAAATGGTCATATGATCAGCCATATTTGTCACTCTCCGTATGTAAGCCCGACACCTGTATTTACAGGGAAATCCAGAGTGCCATAAGAGGGGAGGTTGGGAGGGCTAACCTCATGAGTCAGGATAAGTATAAAATATCAATTTTAGTCAGTAGAATTACATATTTTTCCTTATCCTGACTCATGCTAATTATGCTTGCAGAATCCGTCGGAAACGGTGGTGGGTCAAGCCACGTTCTGGATTCACTGGTTGTAGATTTACGTCCTGTATTACCCCTCTTGGGAACTTATGACGGCACTGTTAAAGATTCTTTCAACTTCTCTCTGATGAGTCTGGGGGGACCACAACTTATCAGATTTTTTCCGAAACTTCTCCTGACATTTTCGTGTGGATTTTTGATATACTAATATTCCATTAGTTATCTATTGCAACTCGAACTCTTGAAGCGCGCATCAAGTGGAGATGCGACCCTTCTTCATGCACGAGTATGTCCTATACAAGTACAGGGTCTATCACTCATGCTAGTCTGTCCTAGACGTGTGCATGGACTTATAGCCATTGCACTCCAGAGCGTTGGTTTTCACAAGTCACGTGATCATAGGGGTGAGATTTACTCCGCCTTTGTGGAACTGTTAGTTGTGGTGCTACAACAAGTGGCCCAAACTGGTGAATGCCTGAGACGTCTTCAGTGGCAATGTCTCTGAGGTAGTGGTTGGCAAACACCGTGTTCGATCTCCAAAAGCAGCCCTCCATTATAGTTGTAATCAAGCAGTTTCCATGCAGTGCAAGTGTTGACGCCAGGGCTCTGACTTCATGTGGATTGGAGGCTCGTGGAAGCTCAAGTCCTGCTGCTTTATAGGCCCTTAGTATAACGGCTCTCATCCAGACTGATATAGTTGTCCGTGAGACTTCCGTGGGCGTCTCAGTGGATAAGGGGATGAATTTTCGGCTCCTTGTTTTAGTTCTTTGTAAGTAGACTTTAAGTGCTCTGACTGGGCATAAGGATAGATCCTGCATATCCTGTGGCCCAAGGCCTGTAGATAGTGCTGGGATGTGGAACTGTCTGTCAGGCTGACCAGGCAGTTGATTCTTGGCGATAAAATCCCATCTCAGTCCCAGATGTACGATGTCACAATGTCTTGATTCAAATCGTGTTCGTTAAAGGTCAGAGCATGTATTTCTGACATCCTTGCAGCTGTTGCTAGGGCGATCAGGAACAGCGTTTTCTGAGCTAGTAGTTCAAAGGATGTCCGTTCCAGAGGCTCGTAGGCATCACTGGTGAGATGTTGTAAACCTATGTTAAGATCCCAGGCAGGAGCCTTAAATTTCTTTTGTTGGTTTTCCAACTTGAACGAGCGTAGTAGTGCCAGAATCTCTGGTACTTTGGTCAGCTTGATACCCGATTTCATGGTGATAACTGTACTGAGGGAAACTAAGTACGTTGAGAGTGTTGAACCTTTTAAGTGTCTCGTCTGTCGTAGATGACATAAGTATTCCTCCACTTGAGGATGTGTTGCTTTCACCGCTGTAAAGCCTTTCCTCTTTGCATATTGTTCAAATCTCTGCCACTTGTCGTCGAATAAGTTGCGAGTTGATCTGCATAGAGCTAGTGTTACTGCTTTCGCTGGTCTGGTGGAGTACCCTCTAGTCTTCAGGCAAGCTTTAATACGCTCCACGTGTGTTGCTGGAACAGTGTCTGGTTCCCGTGAGCTTGCTTGGTGTCTGGATGGGCGAGTAGGTTCGACCACTCTTGTAGGTTCAGGGTTGGAATTCCGAGTTCTTGTATGAGGACGGGAAACCATACCCTCGCTGGCCAGTAGGGCTCGACCAAAATCAGTTGCAATGTAGTCGTCTGCTTGATTTTCTGTAGTACTTGTGGTAGCAGTGCAGGAGGCGGAAACGCGTAAGCATTTAGTCCTTCCCATGAGATGCTTAGAGCATCTGCTGCCCATGCCTGAGGATCTGGAATCGGTGAGACGAACGTTGGTAGCTGTTTGTTGAACTTTGTTGCAAACAGGTCTATTAGTGAGGATCATAAAGTCTGTCTGATGAACTGGAATGCTTCTGGATGCAACATCCATTCCGTCGGGGATGGTTGTAGTGGACGAGATAGGGCGTCTGCTATGACATTCTTTGCTCCCGGAATGTGGCATGCCTTCATGTAGATGTTCAGGTCGTCGACGATGCTGAACAGGAGAAAGCTGAATTGTAGCAGACTTCTTGATCTTGTTGACCCTTGTTTGTTGATGTAAAACGCCATGTGGAGTTGTCCCTGTGTACCATGAGTCGTGCGTTCTTTAGTATGCTGGACCAATGTTGTAAAGCGTTGATTACCGCTTTCATCTCCAACAGATTGATGTGTGACTTCTGATCCTAACTCGACCACTTCCCTGCTGCCACTTTGTTGTTGAAGTGCGCACCCCATCCTTGTAGGGAGGCATCCGCGTAAAGATGAGTGTTGCAAACCGGCTCTGACAAAAAGGTCCCTCCGCAACGTTCGACTTCCGAGTCCACCATAGGAGATATGGTTTCAGGCTGTCCGGTAGTATTAACGGATCTAGGCTGTCTAGGTGGGCGTTCACAAATACAGTAGAACATGGTTATAGCAAACACGGATATAGCGTACAAACGGATATGGCGAACAAATTTAAAAGTCCCGTCAACAGTCCTTTATAATATCATTGAAATTATACGTGAATAACGAACTCGTGAGTAGCGAATTAACGGCTATAGCGAACTGATTTACTACCCCCAAGACCCAATTAACGACGTGATTAGCGAACTCACTCAGTGTCAGCTCAGCCACTTAGCGGTACAGTATACATCAATCTTGTTGGCGGTGAATCAACATTGTTTGATGGTCATTAATCAATTAACAAAACAAACATATCGTGTTTAACGAAAGTTTTCGTTGACGAGGACGGTATCCATTGCCGTAGTATGATTGGCTGCCTTAGGTCACGTGTCTGATTTTGACCAATCACGATCCTTATAGCAGACTGTGGCTAAAAAGCGCCATTAGAAACCAATCTTTATCCAATAAAATCGCTTTTACAACTGTGAAAATACTCGCAAGGGTACAGTGATATTGTTGATGTTCCAGAGCTGTCGAACGATACCAGACACCACACGATTTCTACCTCGCATGTTATTCATAATGGCTTCAAAAACGGAGGTATTTCCCGTTGTTGTGTCATGTTAACGAACGGAAAGCCTGATTACATAAAAATGAAAATATAAAAGAAAAAGGCACTGGCATGTTATGACATGTCACAAAAGGAAAAAAAATCGCTACAGTTTTTGCTTCTTTCGTGGTTTATCTGGACATTATAAATGTAAGCTTGCATTTTCATTAAAAAATAAATGTATTTAAGTTGTAGTTGTATTATTTCAATTTTATTATAAAAATAAACTTCATATTTATCAACATGATATAGGTAATGTCTGAGAATGTCTACATCTCAACAATCCAAGATGGCGGTCAAATGTGAATAACGAACAACGGATATAGCGAACTAAATTTCTTGGTCCCTTGGAGTTCGTTATATCCGTGTTCTACTGTACTTGTAGTGGGTGCAACTGTAATCTCCCTCTGCGAGTCATGTCTTGAGCTGAGGTGAGTAGACCGAGCATGCTTTACCAAGCACGTAGTGTCAACGGAGAGAGCAATGCTTGAGATATCATCTGTTGTATTTTGACCCAACGATCCTCTGGAACGACTATACGATTCACTGGTGTGATGAGTCGAATTCCTAGGAATTGCAGATCTTGTATCGGCTCCAGTTCTAACTTGAGGAGATTCACTAGCCATCCTAGTTGAGTGAGCAGCCTGATGGTGAAGTCTAGTTGCAGTCTGAGTTGACAGGGATCTTGATGAGCTTGAATCCCGTCGTCCAGGTAGAAAGCACTGCATAGACCTCGACGATGTAGATATGTGACGATGGGCTTGGTCACTCGAGTAAACAACCTGGGGGCTGACGTTATTCCAAACGGTAGAACCTTCAACTGGAAGTGCTGTCCGTTGAACAGGAAACGTAGGTATTTCCTTGAGTCTGTATGTATCGGGATGTGGAGGTACGCATCTTGCAGATCTATGCTGGCGAGGTAGTCTGCTGGACGAACGAGATGTCAGAGCTGAGAAAGATGTATCATCTTAGATACTCCCGGTGGAACTTCCTCATGTTGTAGATGAGCCGAAATTTGTCCTTGGAATTCTTCTTCGGTACCAGGAAAATTGGGGAGTAGAATCCGGCCGTGATGAGATCTTGATCTATCTCTTCTACTGCCTCTTTGCCAAGTAGGGTCTTGATAGCGTCGTCCAGTTTCTCTGTCTGGTCGGCTGCGTAGTTGAAGCGGGTCAGCCGCAGACACTCAGTACCTACAACGAACTTGTAAGAAAGTAAACATGAAGAAAACACATGTCAAACAACGGAAAATTTAGATCAAATTTCAAACCGTAATGTAGAATATAATCCTACAAAAAGACAAAGTCATCAATATCCCCTGCAATGGCAAAATACTCTTCATGATTTTGTCTACGAGTTATGATTATGTCAAATATTTAGGTGTGTATATAGAAAAGTGGAAGGAGAGTATTGAAAGTTTTTTAAAGTTCTGCTCCAGAAAGGAGCACTATCACCAATTTCAGTCTAAGTCAAACTTGTTGCTATGGAAATGCCAAAAATATTTTATTCAGAATTCCAAAACTACCAAAAGGCACCAGTACACCACCAGATCTATCCATGTGCCAAGTTTGGTGAAGAAATATTGAACGGTTTTAGAGCTCTGCTCCGGAAAAAAGCACTACCACTAATTTCAGTTTTAGTCAAACTTGTTGCCATGGAAATGCCAAAAATATTTTATTCAGAATTCCAAAACTACCAAAAGGCACCAGTACACCACCAGACCAATCTATGTGCCAAGTTTGCTGAAGATATATTGAACAGTTTTAGAGTTCTGCGCCGGAAAAGAGCACAACCACCAATTTCAGTCTAAGTCAAACTTGTTGCCATGGAAATGCCAAAAATATTTTATTCAGAAATTTTATTCGTAAACAGCAATAATTATGATGTAGGTCCCAAAATATAAAGGATATGTATAAGGACCGAGGTGCTCTCACAACCGTCATCAAGGGCGAAGAAGGAGAGAGTGACAAATATGGCTGTTCATGTGACCATTTGGGCGCCAAAGGGAGGAAAGGGACGCTACTCTTGGGTGAGTGATTTTACGTCTGCTTTTTTAAAGGGAACTTCAATGGATTTCAAGTGTTCCACTATCATTCGCAAGAGGAAGGAGACAAGCATAATTAGCATGATTAATGATGTTTACAACATTCCCATAATGTTTTGGGGTAGGTATAATTCTTTCCGAGATTATCCAAGATAATACATCTCAAGTTTATTTTGAGAATGAGCACAAAGCTTGAAGTAAAATGTAGCATTTTAATCACATAACACTTGGGAGTGAGAGTGAGTGAGTGAGTTTAGTTTTACGTCGCACTCAGCAATATTCCAGCTATATGGCAGCGGTTTGTAAATAATCGAGTCTGGACCAGACAGTCCAGTGATCAACAGCATGAGCCCCAATCTGCTCAATTGGGAACTGATGACATGTGTCAAACAAGTCAGCAAGCCTGACCACCCGATCCCGTCAGTCGCCTTGTACGACAAGCATGGGTTACTGAAGATCAATATTCTAACCCGGACCTTCACGGGTATGGGAGTAAGAGAAATCTTTGCTTTGATACTGAGAGAGGAAATAGAGATTGTTACACCACTTCTGAAAAGCAGGGGCGGTGGTGTAGCCTAGTGGTTAAAGTGTTTACTCGTCATGCCAAAGACCCGGATTCAATTCCCCACATGGGTACAATGTGTGAAGCCTATTTCTAGAATATTGCTGAAATATTGGTAAAAGTGGCGTAAATTCGAACTCACTCACTCTGAAAACCAGCTATGGCTTGTCCATGGCATTTATAATATTGATTGTGATATATTGGAAAATCTTAAAGTGCCCTGGACAACTGCGGATGGGTTGGCCCCTGCAGTGATGTTAGACTGGATTCCAGGAATACTCACCTGCAGTGCCCGGGCTTCTCGGAGATTCCTCACATCAACCCTAGCTTTGGCTGCCGAGCCCAGATCCATCAACACCGGGGTCTCATCATCTGCTATCATGATGTTGGCAGGCTTCAGGTCTCTGGGAGTGAACATGTTAACATTTGGTAACAACTTTTTTTTTTATTATTTCAGTTATAAATATATGGCTGGATGTTGGAGGATAGCCCAAAGTGGTTAAGTCTTAGACAATTACCATGTTGGTGCAAAACAAATGCATGCATGGTGTTGATATTGCTGGAAATTTGTTTACATCTTTTAGTTTGACATTGACCAAATGAACAACCTTGCTCTCTTGTCAAACACTCTATCCACAAGACCATGGAAGTAGTATACATGAGTGGATCAACCAAGACACAGAACGGTCAAGGGAGAGAACCATTGGGCAGACACTCTATCCACTAGACCATGGAGGTAGTACACAAGAGGCAATCTACCGAGTCACTGAAGAGCCAAGGGAGAGAACCATCGGGCAGACGCTCTACCCACTGCACCACCGAGGTGGTACTTAACATGTAGAGGTGACCCAGTATATGTGACACACAACAGCAATATTACCTGTGTGCATATGGAGGGTTGAAGGAATGCAAGGCTCGGACACCATGACAAATGCCCAAGAACATTCTCCACAGCTTCTCCTCCGCCATCTTCTCCGACTTGGCTGCTAGGTATTCAATCTTGTCTTGTATACCACCTCTCTGTGTGAGTGAGGGAATAGAAATATCCTGTTTTCAGATCTGTAGGTGCTCATGAGCATTCAATGCCTGGACTCTTCAATTCAAATATTAAAATGTATTAACATTTGATAATACCTTTAAGTCTGAAGACACATGTTTATCGACTTATCAAGTATCTGCAACACTATCTTTATGTGAACTGGTGTGACGAAACCCTGCATCAATTTGACTTCATTACAATTTATGTAGTCCATGTGTGCTTGTCACGGACATATCATGTCAAGTATTAAAGTCAACTTTTGAATGTAACCTAAATCTTGTATCATGCAACTAGGCCCATAATACTCAGTTTTCGGTCTATATGGTCTAATTTATATAAACTTGTTTATTTTGGGAGAAATACAGTATTTTCCTCTATTAATCCCAGTGGAAGACTATTTTCAAGTCTTTATTGAGACTATATCTTCATTATTAGTCAATGTAGAACAATTAAAATAATATGTGATGGTAGCCACTAACGTCTGCTATCACATGTCCAGATTTGACTCATAAGATTAATGAATATTTTTTGGCTATATCATAAAACTTGATGCTTGAGAAACACAGTCTCTAAGTTTCAAGTATCATTTTCAATCTTTCTTGGCCAAGTCAGAGGTTGTCCCCTCTGACGTCCGGCAACTCCCTATAAATTCCAAACCATTCTAGTTGGGGGCAGTTCCCACGGTGGACTCACTCCAACTAGGACCTCTTGGAACGCTGGACACAGGAATATGTTGGTAAGTTCCTTGTAATCTTACCTTCAGTCTGGCGCTCCAATTATTACTTCACGTAATACACTATTCCTGTCAGGGGTATTTTTATTATAACTGGTTCTTCATGTCCATATAGGCTTAATAGGAGTTCAGCTCATTGATACATATTGCAATTTTAATTTGGGTTATTCAGATCTACATGTATAGTCCTAATAAACGTATTAACATTACTGTTTGGTTGTGCTCTTTTTTATTATATATTATTTTATCTTAGTCACTGGTGCGGTCATTATGGTGTCTCTAGACGACCACACATGGTTGAGCCAATGACCCTTAACGCAGGGGTCACTACCGCTGCCAGCACCATGACAACTGGTACACTCTGAAAGGCTATAATGTCATGATACCTCTCAACAGCTGAACTTGCCTGGTTAAGTTAATGTGAAGGAAGCCAGCTAAGCCAAAGCTGTTTGGATGATACTGATATTCATGTGGTATCCCTTACGCATTGCTAAAATAATTTAAACTTTATATCTCAGATCACGAGAGCAAAGGATTCTTATCAAGAAAAATGTTCATAACATTCATAGAGAGAGAAACATTAGAAGGATTTCTGGGATCCAACCCTACTATTTCATATCCCATGGTTGTCTTCACATACTTGTTGATCAATATATCAAAAGTTCAGACAGCATGTACTTCCTTGAAACAGCACTTGCAGCTGCAGTGTTCAGCAATGTCAACACTTTTCTCGACAGAACTGCTCATTTCATCCATACTTAATAAACTGTTCAATAGAGGCAAGTTTGAAAATTTATCAGTCTGTTCAATAGAGGCAAGTTTGAATATTTTTTTCAGTCTCAGTAAACTTAGGCTCTGTACTATTCGTTACAATACTATGCTGAGTCAAACAAACCCTAGTAGAAGGTCGCGTTTGAAATGACCCCAAATCGAAATGCTTCCCAGTACAATAAATCATGACAAGGCTGGTTTACCTCACCCATCTGCTTTGCTGATCGCTACGCTACCATCGCATGCAATCAATTAAAACTTAATGTAAACATAATCATGGATGATTGGCCTCTCGATCACCACTCATGACGCCTACCAATTCTTTATTGTTATTTCTGCAAGTCAACTGAATGCTGATTTTGACCCTCAACGAAACGACCTAGTCATGATTGGATGACGATAATTCCACACAAAATGAGGGTGTGGTCGAAGCAAGCCTTCTGATTGGTCGATGCTTTTAAATCTGCACATTCTTTATTAATTCGCAGGAATTTTGAATGTCATTGCCTGCTTGACTTGGAAATGTAAGATTTTTTTTCCAGCAAAGGCTTCTTAAAAGAAAAAATCAGCTGTAAATGTCTCCTTAACAAGCGTTGACCAATCAGAGGGCTTGCTTCGACCAAAGCCCCGTTTTGTAAAAACATTACATTTACGTTTCTTACATTTCCAGGTCAGAGGCCACGAAGTCTGTGGTCAGATGTAAGAGATAAACAATTAGTTACAGGGCGTAAAAATGTAGGAAGTGCTATTCTGATAACCAACCATATAGGAAGTGAGATTAAGTGAGTTTTTAGTATTAAACCAATTTTAGCAATATTTCACACAATCGAATCCTGGACTTCGGTGTGATAAGCGAACGTTTTAAACACTAGGCTACCCCACAAACAACTACCAACCTTATAATACGGCATAACGATGAACACTTCACTGGTGATGTCAAGTGTCTTGGAGTAATGTCCGACTGGCTTCATGCAGTGGGTTTCCAGGGGCACGATGTTGTTGTGGTGAAATGTCCGCATGATTTCAACCTCTTGCATCGCCACCCGTTCTTCATCCTTGGAGTGACATGTGATCCTCTTGAGGGCAAAAAGCTTGTGGGTCCGCGCTTCTTCTAGCAGATCAACATAACTGAACCCTCTGGAGCAGAATTTGGAAAACATTACCCCAAGAACATGAGTACGATGTACAACCAGAAAACATTACCCCAAGAACATGAGTACGATGTACAACCAGAAAACATTACCCCCGTCATACAGTAATTGTAGTGGTACGATTAATTGAAATAATTGTTGACTAGTCGCAGTGACTAAATGGCCAAGCAATTGATCATGTTTTCTCATCATCCAACACAAACAATTTTGGAGCACATGTTTGCATTAATATTTTTCACAAGGTTGGTTTTGCCTGACATTAAATTTACATTTCATAAGCACTACAAGCTTGTTCCAAGTCATGATTGAATATATCTTGAAGACTCCAGGAAATGTATGTTCCTAACATACTAGTCATCCTGTAAAGATGTGAAATTTGCAAATGCATTTTGTACAATTTGCAAAAAACACACAAAAGAGTGAGTGAGTTTAGGTTTACGCCGCTTTTAGCAATATTCCAGCAATATCACGGCGGGGGACACCAGAAATGGGCTTCACACATTGTACCCATGTGGGGAATCGAACCCGGGTCTTTGGCATGGCGAGCAAATGCTTTAATCACTAGGCTACCCTACTGCCCCAAAAAACAAAAGAACTACATATTTTTTCTTTATTTTTTTGTGCATTAACTTTCTTTGTATCTTTCGAATCCCGGATGGGACTCAACCCAACAAAAGAACTAGAATCTGTACTTTACAAAGAAAGTATAATCCCAAATATAACATATGTTACATTTGACCACTTTCTAAATGGCATTGTGTATTTCATAGCTTTCGGCCATGGGAGCCGTGCCAATTAACGCTTATCAGAGGGGTACACAAAGTCCGCAGTCTAGACTACCAAGATGACTTCCATTTTTGTGGAAGCCGCGGTGGCTGAGCGGTCTGACTTTGTGTGCTGGCGATTAGGTGCCTGACTCTGAGGGTGTGGGTTCGAATCCCGGATGGGACTCAATCCAACAAAAGTTCTAGAATCTGTACTTTACTCAGAAAGTATAATCCCAAATATAACATATGTTACATTTGACCACTTTCTAAATGGCATTGTGTATTTCATAGCTTTCGGCCATGGGAGCCGTGCCAATTAACGCTTATCAGAGGGGTACACAAAGTCCGCAGTCTAGACTACCAAGATGACTTCCATTTTTGTGGAAGCCGCGGTGGCTGAGCGGTCTGACTTTGTGTGCTGGCGATTAGGTGCCTGACTCTGAGGGTGTGGGTTCGAATCCCGGATGGGACTCAACCCAATAAAAGTACTAGAATCTGTACTTTACAAAGAAAGTGTAATCCCAAATATAACATGTTACATAACAGGACAATTTGATAAATGACACTAACCAATTATTTTTGATGATTGGTCGGTTGTAATGAACAAATCATCAATTAAGATGTTTTAACCAATTCCCAACACTACCCTCTGAACATAAATGACATTACAACCTAACAGAATAAGGTGTACGACCAGAAAACATTACCCCTGAACATGAATGATTTGTACAATACGATTGGTTCATTAGACCAAGTAGTGTAACCAATCAAATTGGCATATGTAAATCAAAGGTGCACAGGAATGGATCCAGGGGTTAGTGTAGGTTTACTGCAAATTTAGCCCTGGAGATATATATTGATGAATTGAGTATGTAGGTACATAAGTCATTAGGAGACAGAGAGAGACCCCAACTGTAAAACCTGGTGCCCTGAAATGTAAATCAGAAATGTGGTATCATTATTACCCTTCTCCAAGTCTTGACCGAACATAGAAGTTTCTGTTGTCAATGTTGATAGATTCTTTGCCACAAATGCAGCCCATTTTTAACATCAAACTGAGTCCAAGTGTATTCATACGTGGTTGCTAGGCAACTTTTTCTTGTGAAGATGGTTCTTCATTTCATACCCTGTTATCAAACAAACAAAAAGCAAACAGTGACAAAAAGTACCAAGGCAGGTAAATGTGTATCATGAAATGTATCATCTGAGAATATTACTGACACATCAATGTATTGGAGAATCCTGACAAGCCCTGAAAAATAGCACCAATACACTGTTCATCGAGAATTACCATATAAACAATGATTAAGTAACCATCCCCTGGCCAATAAGCACCCCCTACCAAGAACATAAATGACAGTCCCTGTTTTCTTGAAATACCAAGGTCGTGAAGGTGTATCATAGCAGAACAATTATATACAGGTGCTCAGTAAAGTTTTAGCAAAAGATCTGGATTTCATTATCATTTATAGGTTCTGCACTACTGCTTGACCCCTGAACAATGAAATTTACCATGTTCTATCACTATTCCTTGCACTATCAAATATAAGCTTTAAGTCGCAGTGACTGGGTGGGTTAGATGGCTGACTTTGGGTGCCAGCAATTGGGTGCCTGACACTGAGAGTGTGGGTTTGAATCCTGTATGGGAGTCAACCTATCAAAAGAACTAGAATCTGTACTCTTACTGAGAAAGTGTTATCCCAAATATGGGTGTGTGGTCTTGTGCATAGAGTTCAGGTCACAAATCAGTTGAAGTTAAGCAATGTTGATCAAGGAGAGTCATTGGATAGGGGACCGTGTTTGTCAGTTTGACTCCTGAGAGTTTTAAGGACTTCAGTACTGCCCCCACAACGGAGATGACGAGATACATATGGTCTCACCTTAGGCAAGTGAGTTTGTTCAAAATTCCTCTATTCACCAGCAGAAAAATGGGTACCCAGTGGGATATAAGTTATGTGACTATTAACCTTCTAGCGCCTCACAGGCATTTTTGGAGTTCAGGGGCAATAATAATTATATTGTTTGGGCACTACGGGCATGTATTGTCCATGGAGCAATGTACATGATAAATGGACTATTATTACTATTCTATAAAATATAACATAATATTATGTTACAACAGATTCTGTTCAGGATAATAACTTTAAACTGATAGGATAAAACCAATCCAGAGATGCTGTTAACATACTTGGAATGGAAATATGTTACAAAATCATAACTTGAAACTTGACACTTCATGCTGAATACGTCAATATATGCTCTACTGTAAACTGAAGTGAAATATTGATTTTTCCTGAAAAGACAAAAGCTATTTTGACCCTGAATATTGGAAATCAATAACCCGATAACAGATTTCAGTGTTCTTAAATAACTATACAATATATTAGCGACGCACAATTCATGCATAAAATCATTAGCAACTTAGCAGACGAATTCAGTGAGATGTACATCTGTTCAGCCTGCATATTCCATAAAGGTTTTTACCATGAACGTAAAACCTCATCGGGTACATGAAAAGATATGGTCGTTTTAATAATAACAACAACCTTGTGTATCGCAAAATTAAAATACCTAACAAACCATATAAGTGGTATGTAATCTAAAACAACACTTACATGAACACGCATTGACAGTTAAAGCATTTACTTTACTAAATGAAAACAAGCACCTGTCTTCTGCTACCGGAAGTGACATCGCATACCTTAGTTCCTATACAACACCTTAACTAATATAAGACCTCTAAGGCATCTTGATATAAAATAGTGTTCTACAAGTTTCACGTTTTCATATTTTTATATTTCATAATATATTTTGAAATTATAATATCCCATAAAGCTTTCATGTACTGAATAAACATCAAGCAATACAACATTATTTGATGAACCGCAATAAGTTGTGCCTCGTATGTTCACAATCTCGCGAGAGTCCAATCTCTGGCGATAAAGATGGCTGACCCAAAATATGCTAATCTTCCTGGGATTGTAAGTTATAATTTTCAAAATGATGTTCAAGAATAATGTATTGGACTCATTTTTTACATCCGATTACATTACTTTCCAACAAGTGAAACAGATAGGTGTCATGCATACCCAGATACCTCGATACAACGGATCTCGCTACCTGTCATTTGTGCAGACACCACTTGTTTAGTCGAGTGACTCATTTCACATAGGCAGATTTAGTGGCAGTTACTTTGTTCATATTTGATGTTTTCTGACAAAAGCCCTGCTAAGTATCCGGCACATCAGCTTATTCTAATGAGTTGTTGCTCTCGCCTCACTGATCCTTCATGCCTCTTTGACCCTTTGGGTTCGTTGTGTAGGTTCACCTCAACTCTGTGCCTATCCAGGAACCCATTTGCCACATTTTACAGCCATTTGGGTACAAGGGTACCCCCTTTCGATCAAATTGGCCTTATCATCTTTGGCTTTGGCTCCATATTTAAATAAATCCTGATGTGTAGTTTTGAGTTGGTGTATGGATTATCTTTCTCATCCTGTGTTTTTTGCAAAAAAGTTCAGCATAATTTCACAGTGATCACATATTCTCTTTCGTAGGTGTCCCACAGCTATTAATATTGCAGCTTTAAAAAAACAACAACAACAGCAACAAATTTCCAAAACGTCTCAGTCTACTTGGCTACAATCTTTTGCTGTAGATTTTGATGTTTTTGGCACTTAGCTGAAGTTATCGGACTAAAATAAACTGTACTGTACTCAAACCCTGCAGACTGTTTTCAAGCTGGCAAAGTGTGTTTGATCCTCTTTGTAGCCCGAACTTCAATCTGTAAAATCGTACCCCTTTTGCCTCACTGATCTTGTGTGCCTCTGAGAGCAGGAGAGACCCGTGAAGGTCTGGATTAGAATATTGATCTTCAGTGACCCATGCTTGTAAGAGGCGACCAACGGGATCGGGTGGTCAGGCTCGCTGACTTGGTTGACACATGTCATCGGTTCCCAATTGCGCAGAGCGATGCTCATGCTGTTGATCACTGGATTGTCTGGTCCAGACTCGATTATTTACAGACCGTCGCCATATAGCTGGAATATTGCTGAGTGCGGCATAAAACTAAGCTCACTCATTCACTCGTGTGCCTCTGTAGTTCACAAAACTTTGGGTAATCTACCCATATGGTCAGGGTAGATTACCCAAAGTTTTGTCCTCGGAAATATCAGTGGGGAGATTGAATGGTTCCAGTAAAATGTTTGGATAAAAAACAACAACATGGATTCTTTTAAATATCATTGTTACTGATGTTGCTCTAATGTTGGAAGTCTTGATGTGAAAATGTATGACCTTTTTCATGTTGCAGGACCACAACTCACCAGATGTGTTTGAGACAAATGAGCTGCCTGAAGATGACCAGGCTATTCATCAAGATGCTGTAAGTTGACGTCTTTACTGATTTAGATGAGCAATACGCTGGACATGGTACATGCCAAGTGGTCCTTGTCATAACTTCAATGTTACAAGCTTAACACTTAGGTGGACCTTAAATTCAGATTTCAAGTTTCTAGTGTCGGATAAGATAAGAGGATGAGAAATAAGATCAATTCTTGTCTGTTACTTGTATAATGCTATTTCTATTATGGAAAGATGAAAGAAAGTTTTTTTCAAAGTATGATATAAAAAGAATATGCCATTTGCTCAGATATGGTGACCACGGAGTGTACTCTACTATATGATTAGAGTGATTTTATGATGGGCAAGGTGTAAATGGGCCCAGTTGCCCGAACACCTATTAAACTTTTAATTATCTATCTGTCTATCTAGAGTGATCTCCCCTTCCCAGTATGAGCCACTGATAGTGCAATTTGCCCTTTCCTTTTCCAGACAGATGTAAGTCCTGACTGTGTGGAGAAGTTGCCTATAGACACCAAGGCAGCTCACAGTATTTTTAAGGGGAAGGAGGCCAGCTCTTCTGGGATAGGTAATCAGCCATAGATGTTTCACAACATGTCAAATTTGTATAAGATCATCAGTTTCTCAAGCCTTACTAGTAATAAATTACCAGCAATATGGTTTGTTTTAGAAATTGGTCAGTCTGTAACCTTAGTAACCGTATTTGGACAAGACTGTTGTGTACCTGCCTAGTGATAACATATAATGTTTGGGACACCCTCATCCAACATGTTTAAACATCTACCAACCTCTAGGATACCTTTTGAATTAGAAAGACCTGAGAAGACTATAGCTAGTTACTCTTACAGAAGAGGGGTAGTGTTTAATTGAATCAGCGAATTATGTGATACTAATTATTTCCTTCGCCAGACACCCCCCTCAAGAGTGACATCTGTGGGATGAAAGCAAACTTTGAAACATTCTGTACTCATAACCATCATTAACATAGATGCAAGCAGTGATAAGGGCTCAAAGAGTGAATGTGTTGCCTGAACCTGCCTGGCCCGTCTGTTTCAGATTTCTCTGACAGGATCAGCAAGTCAAGACGCACTGGCTATGATGTTCATCAGGCTGAATATGAAATAGTAAGTTGACTGCATGATACAGTCATTCACAGTTAACTGGTTTTATATGATTATTGGCGCAAGTTGTTGAGTTATAATGGCGCAAGTAACTGATATGAGGTAAATAGTTTATTGCTTGGGCATGTTGAATGAAATTGGCTTGCTTGATATAAGGTTTTGATCCATTCGTCACCACTCGCCCCTTTCCATAAACTCCAAGAAGATTCGGTATTCGGCTTGTCCCGGAATAACACGAGTGGGTCACGAATGGTTTTGATCAAGTTCGTAAAACGTTTGTAATTAGGGACTGTTCATAATTTAGGGGGGATCATGATGATTTTTATGAAGAAGCATGTACAATGTGTATGACACACACACACCACGCCACGCCACGCCACAACCAGTACATGTGTACAAAATTAAACGGTTCCTTAGCTGTTTTCATTCATTTTGTTTGAATTTTTCTCTTGTGCAGAGTTATGTCCCTGGGACATGCCTGAAACACTTTAGTATCCAAGTTTGCTCTTACGTTTTTAGGTTTGTCAACACCAAACCCTTGTTTCTGTTTATCACCCAATTAGCAAACATCCATCTCCTAGGGCTTTCCTCCCATATCAGGCTGACATGCCTTGATATAACTGAATTAATGTTCAGAAACACCTTAAACTCACATCCTCTCTCATGTTTCTACAGCCAGGTATTTCAACTTGATTGAGGCAGCTGCCTGGATAATTTCCACCCAAAAGTAAGGCATGTGTCACAAAGTATTGACAAATGGATTCAGAATGTCCTAAAAGTTCAGTCTGTTTTCAGCTGGAACAGGGGTCGACAGCCAAGGAAACACCTCAGCAAAAGTACCAACGTCTACAGCATGAGATCCGTGAGCTGGCAGAGGAGGTCAACCAGATCAAGGTCTGTTGTGGGTCATTGTTTAAAGTCATTGTCAGTTATAGTCACTTGTTCAAGTGTCACAAGATCAGTTGTTTGTCATAGCTTGTACGACTTTAGTAATGTCTTTTCATGTCGGTCCTTTTGAACTATCAGTGTATCCCTACAGGTTGCTCAACCTGTTTAATTACAAGATACAAGCACTGAATAGATGGTGGTTAGTGTTGTGATGTTGTTTTACTGTCTATGTTTCCTCCAGGATACAGTGAAGGATGAGAAGTCCACAGAGAAGTTGTCACCTGTGCAGATGGGGAAACAGCTGGAGTACTTGCAACATCAGCTGGTCGACCTCCACCTGGAGAAGCTCCTTGGACCTGAGGCATCCGTGGATCTCTCCGACCCTCAGGGAGCATTGAGAAAGTAGGTGTATTTAATAATGACAATGATCATTTTTAAAGCGCCTGTTTTCATGGATTTATTACCACGGATAACCCATATTGCCTGTGATGCGATAGAAGGTTAAGAGTCACTTATCCCACCGTGTACCCATTAACTGAGAACAGAGGCAAATCATGAACAAATTTACTTGCCTAAGGGATAGGTCCAAATAGGTCTCCATAAAAGTGGTTGAATGTTGATGTTACACTCCGGGTTCGATTCCCCACATGCGTAGAATGTATGAAGCTCTTTTCTGGTGTTCCCCGCCATGATAGCGCTGGAATATTGCTAAAAGCGGTGTAAAACTAACCTCACTTGCTCTTACAGTCAATGGACTATTGGCTGCCCCACCATTCTTCCACAATGTAGTTCGTGCATCCTTTTTTGGTAGTATTTATTATAACTGTTTGCATTTGATGAGTTTTCCTGACAAAGTGAAACTGTTGACAATATCTCATTGTTCCCACTCTAGGCGTTTAATGAGTCAGATTGATGCATACAAGCCTGTTCAGGCAGCTAAGAATGTGCCAGCCAATCAGCAAGGAGGACCAGATCATGTGACATATGAGCTGTATTACAGACCTGAGCAAGCCCAGTTCAGTAAAAATGCTCGGGTAAGTTATCATGGTTAATGCTACAGCATGTATTACGGGGTTGTGTCATGTATCATGTATTGCTCATAACTCGCACATCCCCTCCTCACCTAACTCCACCCCCATTTAAAAATATATACTTGATATAAACTGACTGTTGGTCAGTGTAAAATGTAAAAAAAGATTACCACAATTGGCACTCCAAGACAATTGCGTAGATCAATGCTCATCCTGGATTGTCTGGTCCCGACTCTATTATTTGCAGAAAGCTAGACATATAGCTGGAATATTGCTGAGTGCATTGTTAAACAACAAATAACAAGAAAACCCCAGTGGGCGATTGATTTCAGGAGCTTTGTGGTAGTCATGGGGTTTGAAATGTTTGCTGTTACATTATATTTTACCCTTAAATCTCCACATCCGTCTTAGCCTCTCTGCATGAAGATCTGACAGCCCCTCTATCAGAAGTCCCATTGGCTGGACTTTCTAATTACAATGGTGACTTTCTATATTCTAAGTGATGCATGTCTGTGTTCTGTTCAATGAATGATTTGTCTTGGTTACAGGTTGCAAGTCTAGAAGAGAGGCTGGAGCGCCTGGAAGCCGTTTTAGGACAAAATGTAGATAAAATGGTAAACATACAATGGCTCTCAATGAAACCTGCCAACAGCGGCACCAGTTTAATCCAGCACACTGTCAAAACCGGCATAAAATTTTGGTCCCGCCATTTTACAATGATATTATGATCATTAAAACATTGTCTAATCCGGCACCCGTCTATTCCGTATTCCAACTTGACTTTCCGGTCCCAACAAGCAATTTTAACACTGTCTAAACTGGCATGGGTATGAGCAGTCTAATCAAGAACCCATAATTCAACACACTCCTCTCTGCACTCTTGATAATCAGGAAGTAGTGATTGCGCGGTGAATCAAACGCTCGTAAGATTACCGCAGTTGTGCTTTATAAACACTTGGGGATTGCATCAACTGTTTTCAAATGAATGACCTGTGTCAGAGAGTAAATGATAGGCACTGGTTTTATTGACTCGTAAGTCACTTTGTGTGTCATGATGGCAAGACCAGCGAAGCTTGGAGTTCAGCTTATCAATGACTTTGACACTCTTCTTCGTCCCTCTCGAAACATCGCACTTAAGAAGACCAGTGAGAGGGCGTCAAGCCAAAATGTCTGACGTTTTCTTGCCAAATTCTTGATTTGTACTTGTTATTTTAACAAGAGATAAAGAGATTGATGAGTGTAAATGGCAGTCATGTTGGAAAATGATCGTCACTGTCTAATCCAGCACCCTGTCTAAACTGGTATTATATTTCGTTCGCGTGGGGTGCCAGTTTAGACAGGTTTCACTGTATGTATCTTTTCATAATGCTGAAAAGGGTGAGGCAGCATCTCTCACAAAAGGACCAGATTTGACTTACTTGAACACAAAAATTATTCAAGAGATATTTTGAAAAAATGCGTTTTCCAGTGTTGTCTATTTAATATACGTCATCTGCACATCTGCATTGATGTGGGCAGTAAGCTTCCCTCCATCACGATATTCCTTGCCGATGCCATCCTTGTGAATGGTTCGCAGCGATCCAATTTTGTCATACAGTGCCTCACATTTGAAAATTGATCACATGGTCAGAGGATGCAGTTGATTGTGTGATATTGTAACCAGATGATATGAGGTGTGCTCGTGATATCCTGGATCTGTGATGTCCAGGTTTACATACAGATTGCCAACATGTAGCTGGAATACTGTTGAGCTGAACACCAAACACCAAAAACAAAACTGAAAACTTTCCCTTCGTCTGTTTGAACATTCTGAATACAAAACTATGGTCTCCTCAGTTCATAAATGCACCGTTCTGGATCATGGGTGGCTCAGTCGTGTAATGTACCACAATTTGTTGTGCAGTGTTACATCCTTTAGGGAACTTGGTCATATGTCTATAGAGGTTTGCTGTCCTTAGGATTCCAAGTTTGTCTCATCCTGTCATTGTTCATTGGTTTTACCCAAGCAGTAACAAGCATCACTTCAGGCTTTCCCTCCACACTAAGATGTCCTTCTCTTCAAAGCAGCATTAAACCAAACTCACTCACTAATTGAGCTGTTCATGTTTCAGACACTGCTGACCAATGACACTGATAACAAGAGTGTTGTGGTAAGTTATGAGTCGAATGTTATAAAGTATTATCTCCCATGTTATAAAGTATCATCTCCCATGTTATAAAGTATTATCTCCCATGTTATAAAGTGTTATAAAGTATTATCTCCCATGTTATAAAGTACCATCTCCCATGTTATAAAGTATTATCTCCCATGTTATAAAGTGTTATAAAGTATTATCTCCCATGTTATAAAGTATCATCTCCCATGTTATAAAGTATCTCCCATGTTATAAAGTATCATCTCCCATGTTATAAAGTGTTATCTCCCATGTTATAAAGTGTTATCTCCCATGTTATAAAGTGTTATAAAGTATTATCTCCCATGTTATAAAGTATTATCTCCCAGTGTCCAGGAGAATCAAGGGGCATGTTGGGACTCTGGGTAGCACAGTGGATGTTGTCGTCACACCAAGACCTAGGTTCCCTTCCCAACATGTTGCCTGTTTTACATCCTCAAACATGATATCGCTGGAATATTGCTGTGTCGAAAATATATAAAAGTGTCTAAAACATGCACGCACACCCCCAAAACCCACTCACTCACTCAAGTCCTGTCGTATACTGGACTATGAAGTGAGTGAGTTTAGTTTTACACCTTTTTTAACAATATTCCAGCAATATCACAGCTGGGGACACCAGAAATGTGCTTCACACATTGTTCCCATGTGGGGAATTGAACCTGGGTCTTCGGAGTGACGAGCAAACTCTTTAACCACTATGCTACCCCACTGGACTATGAAGATAGATGCTGGATATTATCAGTTAGCATCTGAATAATATGTTCTGAATTCTCCCATTCAGTAGTCACATGTGAACACACACAATCATTATCACATTGTAATGATTGCTATATTTTCTGTTGATTATGAGGTACGATGCGGTGCTTCTATTATTTGTTGCTACAAGCAGCCATGTTGTAAGCCATTGCTCAATCTGCAGGGTGCGGTCAGTGTCCTCAACTCCAAACTGTCCCTACTGGAACAGAGCAACCTAGAACAGGTGGACATTCGGCTGCAGAGTGTGTTGCAGAAACTCACGCAGATAGCAGAGAAGAAGGCCTCACAAGAAGATGTGGAAAAACAGAAAAAGGTAGCGTGGATCATGATGATCATAGGGGCTAAGGTGGCCTAGTGGTGGTCTAAGGCATTGCACAGTTCACACTGTATTCATCAAGGTTCGAATCCAAGAATGGTGTTGATAATGATTCACACTGATTATGATCTGATCATCACCATACTTGTGTTTCAGCAACGTGGTAAATGTCTTATCGTGTGAATAGTTATTTGTGGATATACAGAGCTGATTTAGTGATGTGCAGTAAAAGGTAGAACTTGCTTAACTCCCTTGAGGAAATAACTTTTTGAAGTCTCCAATGTCAATTTAAGACTAATTAATCCCCGCCCACCTTGGCTTCTGCCTAATTAACTTGGTAAACCCACTCATCTCATTCATGTTATCTTAGCCCATCATTAGCTATTGTAGCTCATCATGTACCTTTCTTTGATGCTTTGTTTCCCACCCTTGTTATTGTCATCTCTTTGTCTTATCTTGTATATAAACTGGTGTACCCCTTCATTCCCCCATATGCTTGAAAACGGTATAAGAACCTATAACGAAACGTCGCCATTGTTAAAATAAAGAAGTTGATCATCCATAAAGTCTTGTCATCTCGTCTCCAATGTCAGTTGTAGCCAGCAAAGTACTTGGCTTGTCCTTAGGTGACAAAGTTCTTGCACAGGGGAATTACTTGTATATCTCCTCTTGTCAGTTAGATAGTGCTGTCAGCTCCTGCTTCAGTTTAGCAGTATCTGGCATCACGGTATATAAAGCCACATTTAACACTTTTGCTTTCATGGAGGAATACCGGGTGCATATTGTGTAAATTAAATCTGCTGAGTCAATTTCATGAATAAATGCATCAACAACATTTATCTAGTCACTGTAGAGAGTAACAAATCTTTGTCATTGTTTAGTGCAATAATGCAACACAATGTCAGTCTATTAGCAAGCAGTAATTCATGTGCTAGGGCTGGCTTTCTGTTTGTGATCAGTACCACGATGAGCATCATCTTATAGGCTACCCGTGAAGATCCAGGTTAGAATTGATCTTCAGTAACCCATGCTTGTCTCAACCCGTGAAGGTCCGGGTTAGAATATTGATCTTCAGTAACCCATGCTTGTCGTAAGAGGCGGCTGACGGGATCGGGTGGTCGGGATCGGGTGGTCGGGATCGGGTGGTCAGGCTCGCTGACTTGGTTGACACACGTCATCTTATCCCAATTTCATAGATTGATGTTCATACTGTTGATCACTGGATTGTCTGGTCCAGACCGATTATTTACTGACCGATGGCATATAACTGGGATATTGCTGAGTGCGGTGTAAAACTAAACTCACTCACTCACTCTTATAGGCAGTGACTGAAAGTTGAGTGGATGCTAAGATGTTTTAGAAGAATTTGTTCAAGAAAGTGACTGTAAAAATAGTTTTGGTGCAGTTATAAATATGTGTTGAATGTAACAAAACAAGTTGCAGAATGTTTTCAAATAAGTGTCTAATGTGTACATAAGTTTCCAGGGAATGAATTGTAGGTGTTCTTGCTGTATAAATGGATTGTGTAACAGAAGGTTGCCTTGGTTCTCCTTTCAAGTATCTCTGTTAATTGTTTTAGGTGTCCGAGTTATACGAGCTCGTCAAAAAGTGGGAGAGTGTTGCTGATTCACTTCCTCAAGTTGTTGACAGGATGGTGGCCCTCAAAGATCTCCACGAACAAGGTACGTTTCTGACGAGGGGAATACTCTGGTTCAGAAATTCTGTGTATAGTTCTCATGACTGAAAGATTATTGGTGTTTGCACATGTTTGTGAATTGTAATTGTCACTTTATGAATTACCTTCTAGAGTCATATGAGGAAGATAACAATATATTGATGAACAACTTGTTTATCACTGTGGGAGCAATGTTGCCATGATAACTATGTTCAAACCTACACTGAAACGTTGCACCCACTGTAATAAAGTTGTTCATCAAAACATTGTGATCCTTCTTTAGTGCCCCAAATACCTCTCATAGAAGTGTCTGCCACTGCCATTAACTCACTCACTCACTCATAGAAGTGTCAAATAGCCTGAATGTGTCTGAGTGTGCCGTTGTCATGGCTACATAATAAATTTGGGTGGTGGAGTAGACTAGTGCTTAAGGTGTTCGCTCGTCACTCCGAATACGTGGGTTCGATTCCCCACATGGGTACCATGTGTGAAGCCCATTTCTGGTACCCCCGCCGTGATATTGCTGGAATATTGCTAAAAAAAGGTGTAATACTAAACTAATATAACAAATGGAAATTGTGATGGTGTTATGTATCTGTGTCCACAGCTCTTCAGTTCAGCCAGGCCTTGACCCACCTGGACACGTCTCAGCAGGAGATCAATGGCAGTCTCAAGGCACACACAGACATGCTGGCGCAGGTATAGTACTCGCACTCTGTGGGGATTCTGGGTTCGATTGGTCCTACACTGATGGTAGGAGGCAAGTGAAGACATTCGTCTCCCGACTCAATGACCTGGTGTCATTGCATCCCAATCGTATGGAATGCTATTCATAGTATCAATCATTGGATTGTCTTGTCCAGACTCGATTACAGGCCACTGTCGTAAAGGCGGATATTGCTGAGTGTGGTGTTGTCAAACAATGTGACTGACACTTCAAAGCCGATCTTGTCCTTTATAAAGTCTTGCTCGATTAATGGGTGGAATATTGCTGAGTCAGCAGTTGTTCTGTCAGCTCACTGTGACCCTCTTGATAACATTATACGTTGTATGCTTCTCTCGAGGGTAATACGGTCTGATGCACACCTCTTTGTAGCAGTGTTACCCAAGCCAGTAGGCGAGGGATGACACTGCTACAAAGAGGTGTACCATCAGACTCTATTACCCGAGGGAGAAGCATACGACGTATTTATCTTACCGCCATGTTAAATGTACAAAATATCATCTTATTTTATTTGGGAGATCGCTACCGACTATATGACATGTAAACAAAATGGCGTCTGACACTCGTCTGGATTTTTAAAATCAGTGAAACATATTCTGACAAGCTTAAAACTGCTATAAAAATAGTTAATTATGTTTAAGTTGAGTGTGCTAACGATTCAATGTATAAAATAGTTTAAATAATGCAGAGAAAGTCGGTGAAATAAATGTCTTCATAGTGAACTCAAAAACGAACGGTTTTCGAACTCCGGGCACTGCATGCATCATATTATGACGTCATACGATCTTTAGCGATACAGCTTCTCGGCGGAGAGTTTGGCAGTTACCGTGGCAGCGAGTAATATTTTTTCCATTTGTCACCCACCTTGGAGGGGGGACACGGAAATTTGTTAAAGCATCATTGACCAATGAAATTAAAGTAAATTACGTGAAGGTAAGATAAAGTATGATGGTTGTTTTGAAGCAAGTGGGTCATCATGGTTTTTCAAAACATAACAGTTGTTTGCCAAATATGCTGGATGTCCTTTGAAAACTTTGTGTTGGGTTATTCAAAGGTAAACTTGTACGTCTCAAAGCTGTTATGGAAAACATTTCTAACAATAAGTATTTTAATTTTTCGAACCTGTCATGACAAAATCCAAGACAGAAAAATCCACAAGTATGGTCCCAGTGAATATGTTTTTTGATAAACAATGTGTCATGTTTCAGCTCCAGGGAACATTCAAGCAGAACACCGACGCCATTAAGAAGAACTGTGAAAGCCTAGAAAGCCGAATCAAAGTCCTGCAGAAATAATGGACTCCTAGCCATAACATTGTCTAATTTATTGATGTGCAATTTCCTCCTTCATCTTTCTACCACTGGTTCGGAGGGGTCTTGTTGAAGTTTGACACAAATATGTATAAAGGAAGAAGGCAGGTTGCATGGACCAGTAAAAATTGAATTAAGTATATATAAATTACTTAGATTATTTACAGATTAAATAATTGCAGATTATTACAGTGATGATATTTGTTTTGATCGTATTTTAGGTATGGTTGTTATGGTAATGTGACACATTATTTTATTGAACATTTAAAAAGTTAGCGTGTGTATTAAAAAGACAAAATAAGTGAATCAATGGGTGTAAAATGAAAATAGCCAGAAGTGGAAATCACTTGTGAAGCTCCTGATTGAAGGAGGGTCAAGAGTGAGACATTTATCAAACAACAGAATGAGTTCTCACTGGTAGGGAGTGTTGGTGCACCGATTGTATTGCCAAAGTATGTCTTTCAGTTAACCTGTCTGGCATTTGAATATGTTAATGTATTCACACTGACTGAATATTCATTATATGTCATGCATTTATCAGCAATGATTGAAAAGCCATGTACTCCATTACCTTCCTTGAAACATCGTAACCATGATCTGAATGAACATGGGTATGTTTAGATTCATTTTCAATCTTATACTTGGGTTGACAAGCAACATCTAGTTATAAAAATTAGTTGAATTAGATCTTATTAAATGCGAGCATTGAATATTGGTGTGAAGTAAATTTCAACCTGTTATTTGTTTCGAAAAGCAACTTCTTATAATAAACATTGTAATTATGATAATATGAATCTTCTTTTTTCTACATACCAGTATATGTGTTATGTTTATTATGGCAAGGGATCTGATACTTGACTTGCGCTCTGTATGGTAATGGTTTCAGTAGTTTGATTAAACAACTGCCTTTAGCTTATAGTCCCCATTCCTCCATAACACCTGCATATGTAGTGACAAAATGTAAAGAAATTTCTTCTTGCAGTGTTGTACTTGAACAGTTATTGCACCATATAAAGCTTCCAAAGCCAGGTGGCCTGTTGTCGAAGGTGCCGTAATTAGGGTTGTCTCCCTTGAGTGAGTGAGTGAGTGAGTATGGTTTTACGCCGCTTTTAGCAATATTCCAGCAATATCACGGCGGAGGACACCAGAAATGGGCTTCACACATTGCACCCATGTGGGGAATCTAACCCGGGTCTTCAGCATGTCGAGCGGACGCTTTAACCATTAGGCTACCCCACTGCCCCGTCTCCCTTGATGACACCAGGAATTTATGATCATGTGTTCGTATCCCAATGATATTTGTAGGTTTGTCAGCATTGTGTGCTTGTGGGTTTCCTCCCACATCAAGTTTCCATCCTGTGATATGACTGGAATACTGTTCAAATTGGCCTTAAACCTATCTCACACTCACGTCAATGCTAGCTGTTTATATATACTCAACTATCTCACACTCACGTCAATGCTAGCTGTATATATATCTTCAACAACAAAAGTTAAGGACCACCCCCATTTTCAATATTTAGATATTTAAGAGTTCATATTATGATCCATTTGATACTTAAATATTGAATATTGGAGTGGTCCTTAACTTTTTTTGTTGAGCATACATAGCGGTATGTACCACTGACACCAAGGTAACATTGTAATTGTGCATTGCATGTGAATGTCTACTTAATCTGTCCCCAGTGATAAATTTCATCTATTGTGGTCGATAAGTCAAACATTTTCTGAAGCCTAAGATAATGTTAGACGTGTATAATGATTAGTGTTGGTATGTACATACACTCTCGATGTGCTGGTCTCTGTAATATACATCTGTTGTGCTTCATGGTGCTTTTCTCAGTGCTTGGTGAAGCCTCTGTTGAATAAAGCTTTATTCTAATCACATGTCTGGGTGTATTCTGTGGGCTGATCAAGCGGTGTGGAGATTCATGCACAACCCCCTAGAAGGCAGTGCAGATCTGAAGGCTGAAGGCAGTGGTGGAGAGAGTGCAAATGGACGCAGGATAAACTTATTTTACAATAATAATGTTCTCTCATGAATTGTGATACATAGAGAATCTCACCCAAGTGTCTTCTGATATCAATTATATCAACACGAGTTGATAAAGTTACAAATATCCGAGGCTTGCCGAGGATATTTTTACTTTATCAACGAGTGTTGATATATTTGATATCAGAAGACACGAGGGTGAGATTCTATTTATCATCCAAAATCACTCTTCATTAATTTTCAATGAAAAATGTACATCTCTGAACATGGTACTGCCATTAGACTTGCAGTGCAGCGATGTCATAGCATTGTGACGTCATCAAGTACATGACGTCATAGCATTGTCAGGGCATTGTACAAAATCTACTGTCAAAACGATATCTCCTAGGAGATATCGTTTGATCTCACACATGCGATATCTCCTGTGGAACACAGTTTTGGATGATAAAAGCCCATGTCATGACACTTCCACCCAACTCTGACGACGTTGAGTCACGCAAGCGTCTCTAAAACGGTCTCTTGGATGCCTGTAGACCTTGTACAACCAACAAAGTTGATTGGATGAAACCAAGGATTCCATTGTGAACAGTTGACTGTCTCAGGTCTGACTTCTGAACCTCAGATTCTGTATGTACCAACTTAGGCGTGCTCAGACAAGCAAAATTTGGTGCTTTGCCGGGGTGGATGTTGTTCTGCCCCAAACGTTCCTTAACTGGTCTCACCCGGGAAAGTATCCAAAGCTGTTTATGTGGGAGTATGGTATCGATTCCATAGATGCACCAACCGAACATGGTTGTCAAGATGTCACAGCTGCATGTGGTAAAGAAGAGAAGGAAGACAATTCCACCGAAGACGTCAGACCATGTGTTCTGCAAGGGGGTCGTTTTGGAGGTGGAAGCGTTATGATCTGGCGTGAGACAACAGCTGCAGCAAGCACGCCAATGAATGCGTTTAAGGGAGAAGTACTGAGACGAGATTTTGCAAATGCAATGGCCGCTTGACCGTTTTGGCAATAGAACGGTCGTAGAGTGACGTTTCAAAACGACAACGCCATGTTGAATGACATGGGTCATGGAATAAAGGGCAGTGGTCTTGTCCCAGTCATCACCCAGTCGACATGTGTGGTTTGTGCATATGGATGGAACATGAACTAATTGACGAACTTGACACACACATACATTGCTAACTGCAAAGCGATAAAAATCCCAAGTTTAATATGAAAGCAATTTTGCAATGAATAAACACATCAGCTATATGAACGCGCCATGGTTAGGCTTAACACTGGATATTTCATTGAAGCAGTTGCTCCAGTCCTGGGTTGTAGTTTTTATAGGGGCACTGATCCAGAGCGATTAATGTTTCACGCTAACAATCTAATTATGTATTGTTGCTGCAAGTTGGTCAGTCTCTGCTCCCTTGACCGTCACGGACACGGGGACTGGGCGATGTCCTCCCATTAGTCATACGTCCCACTAGTCATGCGGGTTAAAACAACATATGGTATAGTTGACTGCACCAACAACTATCTTTGTAATGCCTTTGTGAAAATAAAGTGGAATGATCCAAGAAACAAAAATACAGCCTCACATCAGTGAACTTAAAATAATCTGCCTTCAGCATGGTTTACATACATAATCTGATCTTGAGCATAGTATACATACATAATCTGTACAAGGTATCATTAACACATTATTCTTCATCTAAATAACTTCAATAACTTAAATAACTTAAATTCACAGTTTCGCAAATAATGGTCAGATGGGTAGAGGCCAACAGCATCCAGAAATTGAACAGAGTTTTTCTGGCCTGCTTCAAGTTGGTCCCACAATCGAACGAGTCTGTTTCCCTTCTCGCGATACACTCGCTTTCTTCCCTGGATGGCAGCACCGAAGTCGATTTGGCGCATCTTGGCAGATATGAATCTGCCAAGATGCGCCAGAAGTATGAACTTCTCAATCTGCTTGATCAGCTCAAAAAAAGCGATAGACGTTTGGATGATGGTGTGGCAGAGTCTTGTTCAGGTGGTAATGGAAGCCTTCAAAATTGTTCGTTCGAGGCCCAATGTTGTGGTGATTCCATAAAGGGATGGGGAATCTTGCGTCATCATCAACCCAAGTTGTCACAATCAGAATCAGAAGTCATTAAATCTTTGGGCGTTGTCTACTTCTGGCGTACTGTCCATGACGTTGACTCAGGCATCTTACACATCACATTCTGGTAATGTTCAGGGCCAGGGATGGGGCTCTTGTGACTCAAGCCATGGTTGTGAGGAGTGGAGTTCCCGACATGGTTTCCAACTGTAGTAACTCTACCCTGGCAAGTCTTCACAACACACCTCCAGTGGTTACAGTGTTCCTTGGTAGAATTCTTGTTGTGAAGGTGACCTTGAAACAGTACCTGTTGTGTACCTCGCCTAGAGGTGACGTATTCCCATTCAATCAATGCTGCCATGATAACAAGAGTGATATGCCGGAGTCTATAACATGGAACTTTTATGCACTGGTTTATGGGGTTTTTATGAGATTAAGTAAACTCAATAAAACTCAGTAGAGTTTAACATTGATTTAAATGTTTTCACTATCAACGTTTGTGGTGTATTATGTTCATATAACTTCATTTTAATTATAATTACACTGTACTTTAATAACATTCATTTATATGTTTTCATTACCAAAGACTGTGGCATTCTCAGTGTTAGAGATTACAATATTTACAATATTTGTTCCAAAATTTCCAAACATCCTTCCAATAAGGGTTGTTAGTTACTTGATCAACATTTGCACCAGATTTTAAAGTGACACCAAAAGGAACATTACAGGGATTTTCAATTGTTGTTTTTCTACAATATGATCTCAGGTTAGCTAGTTTCAAAGGTTCACAGATCCAGTGTCAACCATCCTTAAACCATCATTTTTGTATACTCTTTTCAAATTGTTCCTTTTGATTATCAGGTTTGTCATTCCATATGAATTTGAAAGAGATATTCTCCAATGAAGTAATGAAATCTTTGGAGGATTAGGCAGAGTATTGAATATATGAACAAGTTTTGACACAGCCAAAGTCGTTATGACAGTGATTTTGGCAATCAGTGTCAAGTGTCTTTTCCTCCATTGTGAAAGCAATCTATTTATCTCATCAAGTCTTTTTCTTGTATTGATTATGCACAAATCGTTAAGATCTGAGTGGAATTTAATTCCCAAGACTTCAGAATTCCCTATTGCCATTCTATTATAATGTCTTTACATAGTATATCCGTACTATTTGTCTTTGAGCCAATCCATATTGCTTTTGTCTTATCAATGTTTATTTTAAGTCCTGACATTTTATAAAATGTATTAATTTCACCAATAGCAGCCTTTAAGCTTTGTTCATTCCCAACAAGAAGTAGTTCCGTATCATCCGCATATTAGTTTAATTTATACTCATTATTGCCAATAACAATACCTTTTATGTTCTCATTATTTCTAATCATTAAGTATTTCAGCGACAAAAATACAGAGATACGGTGACAGAGGTTTTCTTGTCTGCATCCCCGTTCATTTAGGAAAAAATCAGAGGGTTAACCATGTTGGATGACACAGGATGTTGTTTCATATGTCAGTATATTTATCCAACAAGTGATTTCAGGACCAAAACCATATTTAGATGAAACAATATTCAAGAACTATTTGGATACTGTATCGAAAGCCTTCTCAAAATCTATTAGGAGAATTGGTCCTGGCATATTTCTTTTTTTTAGTTTCAAACATTATATCATAAAGTAATCTTGTGTTTTCACTGAACGTTCTAGCTAGAATAAAGCCAGTCTCCAATTTTTCAAAAGTCCTTTTTTAAATCTCTGTTAACTTTAGGTATACAAGTTAATACTCCTCTTTTCATAGTTACAGACATTTGATTTTTTTTCTGAAATATTATTGACAAGTCTAAAGATCCAAATTTTTTAGTTCCTTCCAAAAGAATTTAAATAAATCAATTGGGAATCCATCAATTCCCATGCTTTTGATATTTTCAATATCTTAACTACATAGGAAATTTAATTCATATCGATCTTTTTTCCAAATTGTTTCTTAATTCATCATTAAGGGTTGGGTTTACAATGTGATCTAGGGCGGTAAAGTATTTTTTTCTTGTTTATCATCAGAATAGTTTTTTTATAGGAGGATTTTACTTCATTCAGTTTAGAATCACTATCTGTTAAATCCTCATTGTTGCTTGACCGAAGTTTATTAATAGAGTTACTAACATAATTTCTGTTTTCCAAATGACAAAAATATTTTGTTGGTTTTTCACCTTCTTCATACCAGAGCAGCCTATTTCTCATCAATATTCCTCTCATTTCTTCTTCTTTTATCTGTTCAGTTTTGTATTTTGAAAGTTCACCTAGCAAATTTTCACTGACGTTTTGAAAATCTCTTCTTATATCTTCTTCAAGAGTCTTTATTCTAGATTCTAGTTCATCAGTTCTATTCTTTTTACTTTTTTAAGATATGTAGAATAGGATATACTCTTACCTCTTATTTTCATTAACAGGGTTTCTAGAAATAACCTATCATCAATCTAAAGCTGTAATTCCTTTGGATTAGCACAATTGACTGGTCCAGATATTGTGTATTCATCAATGGCTTCTTTCATTGTATTTCTAACTAAGTTTGCACAATCTGGATTTAGAAACAAGGAATTATTAAACTTCATATAACATCTCCCTCTTTCTTGGTTAATAGAGTTTGAAAATATTAGGGAAATAGTAGAATGATCAGATTTATAGCCTGGTAAAATATTGGGATCCAAGGTTAGGTCACAAATGTCTTGTGAAATACTGAAGAAATCTAGCTTGTTGCTTTGGATTTGTTTCCACCACACATATATTTCTTTTCAGTTTTATTTAATTC